TAATGCGCTAACATTATTATTACTGAACCATAGTTCAAAGTGCACAGTGGCAGCTTTGTAAACAAACTTCAAAATAAAATCTTTGACGCCTGCTTTTATTTGCAAATATTTTTATACTAACAAACACGCTCGATAGGTTTTGGGACTATCCAAGACCTTTAACCATGAGAGGCCATGAAATGAACGCATTTAAAACAAAAATTTGAGCCCTCCATACATCACGACAAAACCAGTTATTTTGATTTAAATATTAAACTACTGAGCCGATTTTGATAAAATTTCTATAGGACCAACCTTTATCTCTTTTTAGAGAAAAAAGAATTGTCCAAATCATTTTACAACTAAAGGAGTTATGAGGTAACAAACATAAAAAAGTCAATTGTAAATGACAGTATGATTTCGTTTGCGGTGGTATAAAGTTGCCTACATACGAAGAAATCTATTACTTTATGTCATCAAGTATTATATATAATCTCTCAAAATAAAAGCCATAGCTGCACATCTACGCTTTACGTGGGTAATACGCAAACGTGCAAAGAATCCCAAACACGCTGCACCCCTCCCCATACGTGCGCCAATAACATCAATAGAAGCCACACTTATACATACCGGTTATAAATAATTAATGATCAAATACTCAACTCTCTAAAATATAAATTGATGACCTTCGTAATACCAATTTATCAAAATAGTTAAAATTCCAATGGCTACGGATTCGGTCCTCACACAATAGAAACATTAGTTTTACTATAGACAGTTGTTTAGTATCCATAACACAAGCTCTGCTTAGTTTAGGAACTATAGAAAAGTATATGTTTGTATACATATATTTTTCTTTTATATATATATATATATATATATATATATATATATATATATATATATATATATAATTAATATTTAAATGGTAGAACTGGATTAACTTTTATTTTTTTATTATTATCAATCAATAAATCAATTTCTTATTAATTCAGTAATACCGTACATTTTTATTCATGTAAACCTACCGAGAAGAACAATACATTTTTCTGTACTATACAGATTAGACGATAGAAAAATTCACGAGTGCGAACCGAGTACAACGGGCGTTTTAATTATTAAATAAAAATATATAAACATTTAATTTTAAAATTAATGAAATAAACTGCCCAACCATATAAAATTTAACAATGCACAACAAACTAAAATTCAGTTTACTTATTGAAGAATTAAATTTTAAATGATGAAAATAATAAAAGAAAAACTGATCTTTCCAAAAGTGGTGGAGTCAGAAGGAATTTAGCCCGCCAAAGCGTAACATTTCGGTGGCGGACATCACACACACGTGTGAAGAAACCGATCATCATACTCCATTTAAAACCTTTAGAAAGATCGTCTTGTAAACTCTATTCTTCCAATATTATAAACACTGAAGCAACAAAATCATAGCGACGTTTAGCTTCATACTAGCGACATCTATCGGCAAGATTGTGAATTAACTCAAATCAAAACTAACACAGGTATATTATAATACTACGCTCCTGACACATCCTACAACCGAATTGAGAACCTCCTTCTTTTTGAAATCGAGTGAAAAGATCACGATTCATGCCTGTCAACAAGTAGTCTTTACATATGGCAATGTGTGCGTTACAACAAGTACTAAAAAATAGAGTTTGAGTGTTGACGGGTATTTAAGAGAGGGTGAGGTCAGATCGCAGCAGATAGCAGGGAAGTTGACAACCTCTGTACAAAATAAAAAAAAATACAATATAATACAAAAAAACAAAACAATAATTATATATTAGCGGAAATATTAAATTTTGCACAGACATCTCTCGCAACATCTAAAAGGAAAGGCCAGGATTACTAAGAATGTTATACTCGACGGTCACAGGTTATGAAACAGTGATTGACATTCTCTAAAAAAAAAACAAAAAAGCTTACTAGAATATTATGCTATTAGACACAATAGAATCCTAAAAAACATCAAATTACGCACAGAGATTTCCATCATCGTTCACTAACGAAATGTCAGAAATTGCACAGAACATTTTATCCTATAGCTACAGACCGTTTAAACAGTGCATGACTGTAACCAAAAAATAAATAGCTTAGTCAAGTTTCAACAGGAACACAACAATAATCACAAGTGAAGATAGTTCATAGTTCTTGTAAACAACTAGTTTCATCAAACGCAAGTTTCTTAATATCCAAGTTTGGAACTTTGCATTTACTTTGATACGTCCACTATAATGTAATCAAGCGAACATTCCATTCCGACGTTTTGGGAATTCAAGTTAAGTCTATACGTAGATAAACGTATTAAAAATGCAAATTTTTTATTTACCTATTACTCGTATGTTTATAACAAAAATTACACAATTTATTATATTAGTTATTATATTAGTATAGTCTTTCAATCATTTATATCATCTTTACCCATGTATTTAAGATCCTGGTTGCTAGTTTTGGATAATTTGACATGAGACCTTATTTCCCATTGAAACTGGAGAACAACATAAAACAGCGCCCAGTTCATTTAACAGATCATACAAAAAGCTGTTACTTAAAACGATAAAAGATAAAATATCATAACTCCATTTTGTCGATTCGGTGTCTATAATAAACATCGAACAGTTATGGCATACAATTATAAAACAATTGTATATTACATCCGATTAGCACTCGTAACTTACACAACATTGTACGTGATACTTGTAGTAATAACAAAAAGTTTACTTCCGACAGCGTACGAGCCATAAAATTATGTGCGTAGCCATTCACGTTATAGGGACACGAACCCAATCAACAACGGTAAATTGCCACAGATACTTACTGATGGCGTAATAATTCTTGATCTTTACAGTTCTTAATTTTATCACGACAAAATTTATCATACTAATACTAATCTCTCCCAATTTCGGCCAACTGTTATCACGCTAAGGAAATATAGTAAGAGAATATATTGTCTTTTCCCCACTTTTCCTTTTCTTACACTGATGTATTTTGCTTCGTTCCCCTTATTACCGCTTATTACATTTACCATATATACATAAATATCTGTCACAATTAACATACTGAAATAAAATAAATATAATTAATCTACGTTTATATGTTATTATTTATAAAATTACTAGCGATCTAGCCCGATTTCGCACGAGTAGATAGACAAAAGCATAGGTAATATTACTCACTGATGATAAAATTTTGTGGAAGTCTATTTCGCTATTTACAGGATTAATATTATTTTAATAAGTTCCGCTATTATTACAATGCGTTTAAGCATTATTTACAACGTAGATACTGTCACTAATAGAGATTCCATCCCTGTTAATGGTTGAATTTCTATCATTAGTACGAGTATAAATTTTTTTACACATTTTACTTAGAAATCAAATTAGAGATACAAATAATAGAAAACTCAAAGAAATGTGTTGAGGAACTTAACAGCAATAAAGTGTATAAAATTAAAGCTGGATTCAACTGGCATCTACGGAGGCAAGGTTTAAGCGAAAGTGAATCAGCTCGTACATTCCTTGGCTGGCCAACGTCAAGTACCGTTAACAGCGAAATCGGATGACTGTTAACTCATGTAAATGGGCCAGTGTCACAATCTTACGCGGCAACCGCAACCACGTTGTAGGCACAAACAGGCGCGATTTAATGAATGACGTGGAGATTTTGAAAAATTTCACTCATTACTATGACACGTACCTAATCCTGTATAGTTTTACGTTGACTTATGAGGCCAATCAAACAACTTGACGTGAAACGATGATCTTTTATGATTTGGCCTCTGCTGTTAGAGAAAGTATGTAAGTATTTAATATTTGCAATAGAACCATTGTGAATAATGGAATTTATAAATTACAAAAACACCCGTATATACACAATAATACATTCGCATTAACTGTAAACACCAGTGGTAATTCGATCCTGATATATGTTATAAGCGATTGATTACATCAGCCACAACATTTACCATCCATTCGGGTAAATATTTACTTAGATGACATAACCTTTTCATAATTAGGAATCTCTTGTTGGATAAACGAGAGGTCACGAGAAATTGTAAAGGCTTATAATATCACGAAAAACTATAAGACCAACAGAAGAATTGTACTGCGATTGAATCAAGCTGTTCGTTATCTAGTTTCACATAGAACAAAATGGTATCATTTGAATGAACAATGTGGGTGTTGGCGTATTGAGATTATGTATTAACCGTTTGCGCATATTTAGATTATCTCTATTAAATTTTATACCCACACTTGCATGAATATATTACCGAATTAGTTAACGTAATTTCATATTAAGTACTCTCTAATGTTGCTGTAAGAAGGTGCAATTTGAAAATATTATACGGTTCGTTAACAATAGACACCCATTACGACTACCACTAGTGGTGCAGGGAAAGCCAGTTTTCCGGGCTAGTAGCCCGTGGCGGCTACGCTGCACTACTCTCGTCGTACGGTCTATGCTCCGGTTGATTGTCGTTCATAAGTGAACTGTCATTTGCAGCTTTGTATCATACAAGTGGCCATCAAACTTAGCTTGCTCCACTAAAAATACCGTAGTACAGTTTAACGGTAAACTATGACAGTTGGACACGTGAGCATGATACGATGGAATTTACGTAACTTGTCTTACATTTAATGCTCAAGCCATTAACAAATAGAATCGTCAATTTTAAATATTATTGTATTAATATTATTTTTCATCGTTAGTATTAAAAAAAATAGCTTATTTTGTAACTGCTGTGTACAGAACTCGCGCTATAGCTATAAAAAAAAATAAAGATAAATGTGAACAAGCGAAGAACTAATTGAAATAATAATTTTAAGGCGGATACATATTATTTCCAATTAAGAACTTCCACATCAATAGCAGGATAGAAAACAGTTCTGTGATGAAGGCCGTGTACTTAAACATTGCTGTATTTAAAAGAATACATTTCTTTATATTTTCAAATATACAGTTTCAATATATTTTCAGTAATTACAGAATATTTTTTGCAGTTACGTACGCGGCCCCGTTTGAGGCCCTGGTTGCTCACCGGACTTGTCTTAGCAACACTACAATCCGTCAAAGGAGAATGCCCTTGGGAAGGTGCTCCAGCCTTACAAACTGCATGTGTTTGTGCACTTAATTTAGCAAGAGATTTGTCAGTCCAATGTGAACAGGTATAATATAAAAAAACATATTAAATAAGTATCATTTTTAATACATTATCTGTATTATAAATATCTAAATTAATCTTTTTTCGTTATTTTTAATTGCAGGTTGACTTTTTTGGACTCCTAGCAGCATTAAATTCGAGTGCTCGAAGTATTTCGTTAGACCTCCTGTATATAAATAATTCAACAATTCCCATTCTTAGAAACGACATGTTCGGACATCTTAAAATTCATAATCTTCAAATATCTGCGTGTAAAATTAAAAAAATAGAAGACGATGCATTTAAAGGACAAACTATATATTTAAAGAATTTAAATCTCCAGGATAACGAACTGACAGAAGTTCCAGTTAAAGCTTTTAAAACATTAACTAATCTGTCTCTGTTAGATATATCTAAAAATCGTATAACGCATATAGAAAATTACGCGTTTAATACACTTCGTAAATTGACTACACTAAAGATATCCGATAATAATATAACCTTAGAAGCACATGCTCTTTCCGGATTGGAAAATTCATTAAAAAATTTAAACCTGAAAGGAACCAAACAAAAAGTTGTACCTGAATGTATTAGAGGACTTCGAAATTTAGCATTTCTCGATTTATCACAGAACAGTATAAGAGAACTGCCCGGCCCTGATGGAGTTCGAACTTTTGAAGGTTTAGATTCACTGACAGCTCTTAATTTGGAAAGAAATTTAATAGTCAATTTAAAAGAAGACGCTTTTGCAGGAATAAAAATCACGTTAACTTCATTAAGCCTGTTAAACAATCTATTGCCTGAGTTTCCAACTGCGGCAATTGGAACATTAACTGATTTAAGAGTTTTAGATATTGGGTTCAATTTATTAAATAAACTTCCTCCTGATGCGTTTCTGAAAAATCCATCAATAACATTGTTGGCATTAGATGGAAATCCACTAGCAACAGTGCCAGTTGAATCTTTCACACACCTTAACCAAACACTACGTGGACTTAGCTTGGGCGGCAGGTTTTTGAATTGTGATTGTCGTTTACGATGGATAATCGAATGGATTCGCAATGGTGAACTACAAGTTACATCTCGTGAAAGAAATCCTCAGTTTTGTGGTAATCCTCCACATTTTCGGGAACGTGGATTTTACAGTTTCGAACCGAACGAATTGGTGTGTGAATCTGAAACAACTACCGCTCCGGAAAAATTGTCTACGAAGGAAATAAAAGAAAATATCGAATTAAAGACTAGTACTACTACTACTACTACCTCTACAAGTTCTCCCAAAGAAACTGTAGTTAGTTCAACAACGCCTGTAACGAGTAACTCTGTAGTAACTAGGAACAATGAATTAACTACCAAATCAAATGTTACACAACCCGCTACTTTCAGTACCATACGAACAACTCGTATTCCTCCCGTAAGACCCGCCGCCCCAAATTGGCGTCATGCACCGAATCAAAAGCCTCCAATCATTATGAATTTTCCTCAACAAAAACCTAAAATAGACGATTCAAATGAAGTTATAGTGAAAAATGCTTACAGACAAGATAATGCAGTTATTATTCAATGGGATTCTGATGTAGCGAACATTCTTGGCTTTCGTGTTGTTTATCGACTCTTTGGAGACAAAAGTTTCAAACAAGGTCCACCTTTGGAGGCCAGTGAAAGGGAATTCAAAATCAAAAACGTTCCATCTCAGGTATAAATATCACATATCTATTCTAATAATTCTTGTAAAATAATATTTTTATACTTATGACATTTAAAGATGCTCTTAATTCTAATTATTTGATTATTATTATTAATCTCTAAAATAATTAATTCGAGATACGTCAGAGTTTAAAGACAAAGGTCTTTAACCAGTGCATGTTGCTAATGATGATTTACTAAAACAAATCGTAGTCCTACATGGTTGCCTAAAGCTTTAAATTACTTTGTAAGCTATAGAGAGAGCTATGGCTATGTTCGAAGTTTCTTTGCGTGATAGAATCCGAAACGAAGATATCCGCAAAAGAACCAAAGTAACCGACATAGCCCGAAGAATAAGAAAACTGAAGTGACAACGGGCTGGTCACATAGCTCGAGGAACCGACGACCGATTGCGAAGAAAGGTTCTTAACTGGCGACCCCTTACAGGCAAATGCAGTGTAGGACGATCTCCAGTAGATAGAACGATGACCTCATTGCATAGAGTCAATGGATGCAGGTGGCCCGGAACCGTTCCTTACGGCAGTTTATGGGAAAAGCCTATGTTCAACTGTGGACAATTAACGATTAACATGATCTATAAAATACTACGAAATATAATTATGGATGATATAATGAAAAAAAGCTATAGCATTCTAAGGCACCCCAGATAGAATACAATATTTTGCATGTCAATTTAAAAAAAAAATAACAATTTGACTTAAGCTATAGATATGTAAATTCGAAGTTCGTGTAATAAAATCACTGGCGAAAATTTAAAAAATTAAAAGTACATGTTTTCATAAGAAATTAGTGTGTAGTGTTTGCTATTAATATATTATCATCACGTCAATAATATTAGTGGCATACCTACTTAAATGTTTATATGTATAAATTGAGATGCTTGCATCGAGTATGACTTCAGTTCCAAAATAATAATAAAATTTCTTCAAGTCGACTCTTCTATTTTCAGGAATGTATCGTAGTCTGCGTGATCTCCTTGGAGGAGGTTCACGTAAGCCCCGAAACCGTACCATACTCACAATGTCGTGAAGTGCGAACCGTGTCTGCCGCCGCTTCTAACATGGACAAAATTACAATAGCGGCTAGTGCTGCCATTTGCGGCACGATAGTCGTTGCCGTACTTGTTTTCGCAGCTGCATCACGACGGAGATCTCGTACTGTGCATAGATTACACACACAAGCACCTGAGAAGCTTCCCAATGCATGTTGCGGTGGACTCACTGGCACACCGAGCCCCAATGGACCACTGTCATCGTTAGCAACACTCGGCGCTTTTGGAAAGCAGCGTGAGTGGGATCAAGTGTCCGCTTACAGCGCACGATCAATACCGCGAGCACGTACTTATACCGAACCAACTCATCCCGACCCACTACCAGGCCGGCCAGGCCGAACACGCTCCCTTGCCGATGGCCAATCACAGCACAGCTATTCGCAATCTGGCCGCTACGGTATACCCGGTTATCCTGGCAGCTTATTAGGATCGAGAACAGGTGAGTGAACTAATTGAACACTATTTCAAATACATTGTGTGATAAATATTTTCTCCAATTATTTACTTCAGAACCGTGCTGGTTAGCAGAACATTATTATGATATATTTGAAATTATATAAAATTCTCTTTATTCCTTTAAAAAAAGATATATCCTAGAAGGAAAATTAGTAAATAACTATGTAAAATCAAGTAGTAGTAGTTCAGTAGTAACATGTATAGATTCTATTTCATATCATCTGCCTCCGCCTGTAGAGATAGCAATTTATAGTCGCTAGATCGATGAAATTGTTAGTGAGCCCACAGCTGAAATAACATATTGCCCATTACAGATCTTCGACAGTCTCGTCAGTCTCTTGGAGCTGCATCAGAACGAGCCTCTCGACTATCGCTTAGCGGTGCAGCTGGTGGTGCAACCGGTGGAACATCGGGGTCTCGACGACGGCCACGGTCGCGATCACGCCCTGCCAGTCGGTATAGTGTAGGCTCTATAGGAATGGGCTATTGCGACACTTCTGATAACTGGACGGACCACGATATGGATATTTACATGGCGCGAAACCCCACGACACGAGGCGGCCTGGTGCCATTATAGCGTGCAAGAAGCACGGCGCGGGGAGAAATGACGTCGCGCGCACGCTGCTCGCCGTCACAGACAGTCATCAAGACTTGTACATTATCGTGTGTGCATAAAACCCGCCCGCAAACGACTTTGCACTATCATTGCCACCGTTCCAGCCGCAAGAAGTATAACAGAGGCGGATGTTAAAAAGCTATAACTACCTATTACTGCAAAGTCAGCAGTAATGTCTAAGTGTATAAAGTACTTTACTACTAAATATCGCGATACTGTATAGACGATGAAGAGTGAGACATTGTCAAGAATTATTATTGTAAAAACAAGGTCGGAAATAAAGTAAGTTTACTCTCATTCATTAATCAAAATGAGAGGATAGCTCAAAAATTGATTATAAATGGTTAAAAGAATAAATAATTATATTAATACTATTATATGTTATACTCAAAAATACTAAATAACTCAAGTTTCAAACCTGACATTCCATACCATGTAGACATATTTTTCATAATTTGGTTAGTGAAAACTAGTCACAATTATTTTTCATATAAGTTGCAAATTTTCGAAAATATTAAGAAAAAATTTTGTTAGTTGTCAATTATATAAATGATTTTAAAATTTATTTTCATAAATATCAACAAAATGGCAACAAAATATTTTGTACATATTTTAAAAATAATAATTTACACTTTATTATAATAAATAGTTAAATAAGATTGTACATATTAGATAGATAAATTACGTAAATATTAAGTACTTAATTAGATTAAAATGTTAAACCAAATGCAACAGAAGCGCAATCCAAATGGTGCTATTTTTTAAATAAATGTCAATTTAGACAAATGTACAGGTTCATATTTGTATAAAAGTTATATAATAAAATGTAGTTCATAATTTAAATAATTATATATTACAATAAATGTTAATAATGTTAAATATCCATTTTTTTTTATACTATTTAAAATATCAAATTATTTGACAGCCTAACCGATAAAAGGAGATAATAAAGGTAGGATAATAGGTAAGTAGTCCTATAAACACAACAGCATCATGAATATCATAAAAAGAAGATACAGAGTAACACCAACATTAGAACAGTTCTCCTCATACATTACTGTTTCAAGGAACAAATTTTTTATACCTCTGTGCCCTGTAATTCCACTGATAAACAGATACCATATCTATACAAGTATGATCCTTTAATATCTTAGCATGTCATATTTCTTATAAATTAGTATATTAGAGACATATGATAGAAATATAGAAATATAGAAATATATAAATATATATATATATATATATATTTATTTATTATAAATGAAAAAAAATTTTGTTTGTCTAATAAAATTATAATAAATGTAATGCACTCACCCAGGCACTAATATACGGTGCTCCCATCTATACTGTAATTCTTGTGTGAATTCATACCAAAGGTGAGCTAAGTAGAGCAGACCTCCTGCGTCATACAGCCGTGCGGCAGTTACTGACATCCTCCACACTAGACCACCCTCAGGGCTTGTCTTAATGTAACTACATAATTTTGGTTCACTGCTATCTGCCTGGAAATGAATATATTTCTATTTTTTAATATTTTCCCTTGCATTGATTTTCAATTATTTATATTTGTTATTCCTCAAAAAAAAACATTGCATGACTCCCAACATGTTTTACAAGAGAATCATATTTAAAAACAAAAAATAGTTATCATTTCAATTTATTAAAAATAAATTGATATAAAAAAGTTATTTGATTCAATATCACAATTTCACACAATAATGTTGAAAGAAACTGTGAAGAATGATTAATTTTTAGCCTAATATTCATAAATTAGAACATCTTTGTAACCGAGTTCAGGTAACCAGAGAACCTTCTCTTATTTTATCAATAGAAATCATAATTTTTATCTCAACAACATTATGAAGTGTAAATTGTCTGCTAATCTGTTCAAAGGAAATGCAAAGTGTTTATCTTAAATTGTGGTGATTAAAATGTATCCACTGATGAGAAATCAATATAATATTCTATACTAAACCATATGGCCATCATGATAAAGGAAGCCTAAAAATACTTGTGTTATGAGGAGACAGCAGTATCCTGTAATGTCATACTAAGGTATTGTTATAATATTAAATATTAAAAGAGCTAAAGACATACCTGTTTAAATTCAACTTCTAATTGTGAGGGATACTTGAAAGTAGCATCATCAACAGCATCAGGAAATATATAATATAGCAGAGGCATTAACAACTCATCACTTATGGGCCCTTTGAACTCATGTATGTTTGAACTTTGGCCAATAGCTGCTTTGACAAGTTTAGAAATTGTTATAGGAGCTTCAGTGATTTTATGTAAGGGGTTAACAAGACCTAAACTTTTACTCAAACCTAATGTATCCATAAGAAGATTGTTGTTATCTAACAAATCCATCATCTTAGCAATAGTTTCAGATAATTGACATTGAATGTTATCCCTCATTTTAAGTGTAATTGTCCAAGTTGGTGCCATAATAGGATCAATATCGGAAAATGTTGAAGAATCAACAATTGTAGATTCCCGAAACCTTGGCCATATTGCATTTAGTAGTATACTGTTAATTGGATTTTTATCAGAACCAAACGGCAACTCTGTTAATTTCTTCACATCAAACCCATCTATAGATAAAAATTCATTTGTAGTGTTAGTCTTTTTCCAAACAAAAGGTTCTGAATCCTTCAACTCATATGAATATTTAGCAGAAACTAGAACAGTATCCAGTGCCACAGGTGAGGCAATTTTTGATTTAAATAAACTTATGAGCCCACTAAGATGAGAACATTGATTTGATATTCGCTTCAAATGTATAGTATCGAAACTGGTTTTGTACTCATTATCTTCATAGAATCCTAAGTAGCTTTGCTGCCAGTGTTCTCTGATTTTTACAAACAAAGGTACACTACAATCAACGTTTGCAAAAGCAATATTGACAGAACTCATTATTACTTTAATCAGACTACCGTCAATGAGTGGAATGCTAGGGCACAACATTAAATATCGCTTTAAGCCATACCAATTAGACACAGGGAAAGGACTACCATCATTGTCCTCCATAAAACGAGATGTCGCTTCCCACAGGCCATTTTGTATTTCTAGACGAATAAATTTATCAGATTCTTGGGATCCTTCTACGTCGCAGCTGTGTTCTAGCGTATGATAGGATAGCACAAATTTTACTCCTTGAAAACTAAATTCTTCGACTTTACACACCCATTTCTTTGTATACTCAATAGGTTTCGATTTATTCGATTTAGACAATTTCCACTCATTTAAAATTTCCTCTATACGTGCTATAAATACTTCCCAATCTGAAACTGTAGTGAAATCTTGATGATATATATCATATTCGTCAATTTCCTCGTTCATTTTTAATGTTTTGATCGAAATATTTAAGAAGAAAGAAAACAGCTGGAAATTAATGTCAACTATCAACAAAACTGACAACTAGGGTCGCCAGTTGCGATTTTTTATTTTTAACCATATGTCAAATACTTTTCTCCAAATCGATACAATTTCGTTTACTTTTACTCAATCTTGGATTTATATCGTTTTTCTCTACATTTTATGAAAAGTCACAATGATTCTATTTTTAGCTTGCTTGTCTTATCCCATCTGTTTTGCTACCTTCAGTAATGTATTTTATATATAATTTATAGTACCAAAACTGTCGAAAAATCTGCTCTGATTTCTTCAAGTCTATTTCACATTTCTACAAAAATTTCTTCAAGAATTATTTTTCTCCGAAATTACGCAAACAGAAAATTTATACCCAAAATTATTAAAAAAATACCTATTCTGGCAACACTAATGACAATATGACTGTCAAGAAATGACATACTGACAGTACCTCCATGTGACAAACGCGTTACCATAGATTAAACAATAGTGCTTGCTGTAGTTTAAATATAACTGGTACCTGTATTATCTGCTTCTTGTCTCACTTGAACTACTTTTATAATTACCATGACAACCTGGATGTAAACATTTAATACAAAAGCATAATAAATATCCACGCTTCTGTTTACTATTTACATATTTTTTTTCTACCTTAACCTGTTTTTTTCTTCTATTTACTTCTAATATGTTTCGTGCTGATAATCCTCATTCACTGAGTTATGAACAACAATCCAAGTTTATACAAGACCGTATTACAAATGTGGAGAAAAACTTTGGTGAATTATGCGTTGCGTTTGGTGATTACACTAGAAAAACAGCAAGGTAATCTTTAAGTATATTTAAAAAAAAAAAATACCTACCTACTAAATAATTCGGGCAGAGAAAGATGGTATTGTTATTAGTAACTGTGAAAATGCCTACTTACAAATCCTTACACAATACTATGTACGTAAATAAAGTTACAATTTTTTAAGGCTATTCAGTAAAAAGAAACTAGGTAATTACTATTTTTTCTTTCATTCACTCAAAATGTTATTTTCATCTGTCACAGGTAGGAAGAAAATATACAATTATTTATAGCGCCATCTAGCTTTATCCACAAAACACTATAAAGGAGCTCTATCCATATGGTATTGACATTTGTAAAATAAATAAAGTGACAATAGATAGCGTTATAAAGAAATGTATATGATCAAGAAGTATCTCGTGGAATGATAAATATGATGATAATGTGATTATATCAGCTTATAACGGAAAGCAAGTGGCCTAAGAACTCACCTCGATACAAAGACTTATTGTACAAGTCAAAACCCGGTTTCTCATGGAATACTGCTCTCATCTACGAACTTTTTTGTTTTTTTTTTTTTAATGGGTGATAATAGTTCTAAAAGCTCCTTTTCTAACAATATACCCTATCAGGTCGACCTCCACGCGGTTCCCTCTGGAAACCATCGTTGTTAATTCTTGTCAAATTCTTCTAGATGGCCCAACTGACCTGCCTTCATCTTCACCTATCATCTATCACTAGTGCCTTGCCAACGTATACAGACTACTGTATACACTACGATTAATCACGATGGCTTCCAGGGAAAATCGCGTGTAGGTCAACTTGACCTCCACTTTGGAAGGGACTGTTAGTAATGCGGATTATCAGTCCCATTGCTAACAATATACCCTAACAGGTCGACCTCCCCGTAGTCCCCCTGGAAACCATCGTGATGAATTCCAAGTGTATTCATCACGATAGGGTAACTGACCTGCCTTTTCATTCTCACCTATCATCCCTCACTGGTGACTCATCAGCGTATACCGTGAGCGTAGGCCGGGTTACTATTCCATTATCATTCATTAAAAAAAAGACCTCCACGTGGTTAGCAATACACATTGTATTGCTAGCAAAGTCAATTAAACCCCATTACTAACTTCGATACCAACTTTGTTCTCTTAACTCAGTTTAAAGACGGGCAAGGAGAATTGTCGACAATTCCAAGGCGGTGTCGAGCCCTTAAATCTAAAGCAAGACTTTGTCTTCTTTTGTGTGTTCTACCGTTTGTATAATGGATTGTGTTCTTAGGAATTGTTTGAAATAAAGCCCACAGCAATCTTTTATTATGGCACCGTTCGCCATCGACAGGGCATTCATCACACGCTTGAACCTAAATGGTCGCGTACAGTATGGTTTCAAAGGAATTTTCTCCCAAGACCGCTCAGGCTGTGGAATGAGTTCCCTGCCGAGGTTTTCCCTAATAACTACAATATGGGGTTCTTCAAAAAGCGTATATTAAGGTTACTTCAGGGTCAGCAACGCGCACATGCCACCCCAAGTGTTGCAGGCGTTAATAGGCTACAATGACCGTTTACCATCAGACGGGCTGTATACTTGTTTTCCACCTATGTGGTAAAAACATAATAGTGAATAATAAAAATAATTTTGTTATATATTATTAATTCTTAAGATAAACAAAAACAATAATGAATAATAAATATAAATAAATAATATTATAAAATAATTTATAGACTGCGCGACATGGGAGATGAACTTACTAAGGTTCTTAAAGACTACGCAAATAACGAGATCGTGAATAAATCTTTGAGTACCGGTCTGGAAAACCTCTCTATAACATTAACTGCCATAGAAGAATACAGAAATTGTGAAGTTCAACGTCTGGAAGCAAAGGTCCTGTTAAGTAACGTTTATTAATGTATAATTAGTATAAAAGAAAGGCACATAATGATCTGCATCTGCGTGTGATGATGCAGTTATTATGCGATGTGCTACCGCTCTTTTCATCCCCAACAGCATAAGTGACTAGGGAAAATTCTAAATATTGATACCAATTAGATAGCTTTCTAATCAATTAGTAAGTTTCTTCTCTTTAAAAGGGAGTCTATATACCCAGTAGTTCGATAAGATGATATTCATAAATCTCAATTATGATTTAATGATCTGAAGTTTAATGTACGAGGTCTGTCCGGAAAGTTCGTATAAAAGTGTTCTGGAATGCGAGAAAGAGGAGTGGGGAGGCCAGGTAAGCGCAGGACCCCTTCCTTATGTCCCTAACAATGCTTCAGTTCTGGTCTGACCGCCGTGCGGTGCGAACTGGCTTGTCACGCCATCTGTGAAGTTACCTCTTAACGAAACCCCGTCGGCATGGAGCCCGCTTCCGTTGAAGAGCAGCGCGTCGTAATCAAGTTTCTCTCGAAACTCGGCAAGAATGGCCGTGAAATTTTTGCCGATCTCAGAACAGTTTATGGGGATGATGCTGTGAAGGAACCAACCGTCCACAAGTGGCTAAAAAGATTCAGAGAGGGCCGAGAAAGCGTTCAAGATGACCCACGTTCAGGACGTCCTTCCACTTCACATTCCGACGAAAACGTGGAAAGAATTCGAACTTGTGTTAATGGGGACCGTCGTTTAACGGTCAGACAGGTGGCTGAAGAGCTTAATTTGGGCAAAACCGTGGTCCACGAAATTCTAAGAAACGAACTTCAAATGAAAAAAATTTGCGCCAAGATCGTTCCCACACACCGCTGTTCGCCCCTGCCCACACCTCTCTTGTTGTCCGTGAGTTTTTGAGTAAAAATTCCATTACGGTGACCGAACACCCCCCCTATTCGCCGGATTTGGCCCCGTGTGACTTCTTCTTGTTCCCAAAAACCAAATTGGTACTTCGGGGGCGGCATTTGGGGGACATAAATGAGATAAAAAAAGCTACGACGGGGCAGCTGAGAAACCTACAACCAGAGGACTTTCAAGGAGCCTTCTCACAGTGGAAACGGCGTTGGCACAAGTGCATTATGTCACAGGGGGAGTACTTTGAAGGGGATAAAATTGATTTACCTGAATAATTGTAAAATAAAATTTTTAAAAAACTTTTATACGTACTTTCCGGACAAACCTCGTAAGTTAAAATTAATCCGAAGATTAGTCACAGGCTCTTATTAATTGTATTGCCATATCTACGTATTTATAGATAGATCTAATCATCTATCTAAACATCATAGGTACCAGTATAGTATTTTATTATGGGTATCAATGATAATTTTTGCAGCTTAAGTTTGATCTATAGATATATTGTGTATTCGTAAAAGAACTCAGCAGATATGGCGTACCCAAATTGGCCACTTCATCTTAAAATTTCCTAAAAGTAACACTTTGAATATTTATTTTTTCTTACAGGTTGTTGGAGAATTATGTCAATATGAAGCCATTTGCAAACACGCACGAGAAGAATTGAAACACACGATGAATGTTAGAGAAAAGGAACTGGCAAGAAAGAAAGTATTAGATAAAGCAAAGGAAAGACAACCATTTAACAGGCAACAAGTTGTATGTTCTGTCTACCTATTTTAAAATGTATATCTAATGAAAGCTTTCCCAGAAGGGTAAGAAGATCCAGTCAAAGGCATTTTGTCGATCATTGCCATAGTGATAAACGTATAAAATAGTCAACTCTCACCATGTATTGAATCCCAATATCATAAACTAAAATTAATACCTACTTATAATGTCGACTAGAACTAGACTTAAAATTGCTATCAACTCAAACTTGATCTAAAGATAAATTAGATCACGATTCGAAACTTAAAAATTAATTGTTTATTTTTATAACAAATAAAAATAATAACAACATTATAACAGCAAAAGCCAAATCAATGTTATAAATCTAGTGTGCTAACATACAAAATTATAATAAATGTATTTAACCCGACTCTAGATATTTCTGAGCTCCTTCTAATATCTTTGACAGGCTACTACTAAATATATCAATGATGTTCATAATATTAAGTATGACAATTCATATTTTATAACTTGTAGTCATCATTATTGACATGTAGGTATCATTATATTGGCATGTACTGTAATTAATTTATAAAGTTATTTTTATTTTATATTTTAAATGTTATTAACATTTTTATTATTTATTGTATTAATTTAAAAATTATAATGTAAATATTGACTTGCCACTATGCGACGTAAACTGCTACATTGATTAATAAAGAAATATAACAATATATAACTTATTCAGTTCTTCTTTAAAATGCAGACATATGCAGAATCTGAATTACTGAAGGCCTCAGCAGAAATGTCGCGAACAGCTAAAGGACTCAGCGAGCAAACTGAATTCTTCGAGCGACGCAAACTCCAGCAACTGAAGACACTTCTATCAGACTTCGTCATGATAGAGATGACATTCCATTCGAAGGCTGTAGAATTACTTACAGTAGCGTACCAACAAATCAACGACATTAATGATAAAGCAGATTTAGAGGTAAGAACTTACTATTTAGTATATCATAGTAGCTACATTATCAATTATGTTCCACAAAAAAAAAAACAATTGTCGCAAAACCAATTATTTTGTTTCAAAAACAAAGCTACTGAACCAATTTTGACAAAATATTTATGGGACCAATTTGTAAGTTAAGTTTTGTAGTTATTTGTAAGAAGCTCCCTTTCAGATAAAAAAAGAATTTTCCAAATCTGTCTACAGCTAACGGAGTTAGAAAAAAGTCTGGAATAGCTGGAACTATTTTTGACGTATTTGTTTGAGACCAGTTATGAAAGTGATTGAGATATAATTACATGTTTATACGAGTACTAAAGTTTTCTTTTTTTATGAAGCGTTTGACTACAGGTCTTTCAGATCAAGAGGAACCAACGGTAAATAAATGGCAACACTATCTGTATATTTATTATAAAACTATTAATTTTATTACAATACATATAAATTTCAAAACAGAACTTTAGAAGAAAACTTAGGTCTCCCGAGAAACAAGTGAACACTGGAATATCAGCAAGGTCTTCATCGTTAGCTTCCCTCATGAACCAACAATCGCCTTCAAAAGAAAATACGATGGTAAAAGATTTATTCTCTGTAAATTTATAAATATTTTTTTTTATTCTAAATTAAGTTTTTTATGCTACGAAAAAAGATATAGGCATTGAAAATACTTCAACGGGTGGGTCGTCGATCAGTGAAGTATCTTTATAAGGGTAGCTAATTATCATATCATATCAGCCGTTAACTGCATCCACTGCTGAACATAAGCCTTCCCCATAAGTAGCTAGCTATACAGACATAACTAATACTTATGTACCTACTAATGATTCTACTAATATTTTATGTTGTGTAGAGTTTAAGAAGAATGAAATCTCCAGAGAAGAATAACTTAGGGAGGTCCAACTCACTTGCTGCACTTTTGAACCATTCATCATCTAAAGATGAAGAAGACACCTCGGTAACAAAATTATAATATTACATATTACATTCTTTATAATTTTTTTATCGTAAATATTGGTCTTAGTAAATAAGTTTATGTTCTACAAAAAAAAACTAATCGTGACGTAATTAATTACCTGCCAGTTATGAGAGGCCTGAAATAGATCAATCATCGATGTAAAAATATTCTTAAGCAAATATTTAAAAAATTCTGGATTCAAATTGGATTTTGATAGTTATGCACCAGAGGGGGATATTGTACAAAAGTCGTATGCATGAGTACCTCTGAACCAGTCGTATATCTGTCGTAAAGCAGCTGCGTTTGCATATGTGTTTCGATTTCGATTATACCTGAGAAATTACATAACATTGTAGTCCTGTGTAATGGCAACGCATTAGGTGTACCATAGGCATAATAGATTATTCTCTAATATCCATGATGCTGGTCATATCTACAGGCGGCGATTACCGCTTTCCATCAGGTGGGTGGTCAGCATAATTTCCATTCTACATGCCAAAAAAAAACATATTTCTGTAATCGACAGTGTTTAGTTCCGTCATTAGTGTTGGTCTCATTACTTATAAGTTTTGACATGATAAAAGTCGTTTTTTTTTAAACACACTGAAATATTTATTCTACGCCGTTTCATCTGAACTACAAATGTTAATACTACTTATTGACTACTTCATCGTGAGCATTTAGAAATTTTAATTTCATTACTTTCGTATACATTTCATATTATATTATGGCAAATTAGCAATAATAATTATTGTTTATACAGGCATCGGAAGAGTCAGATGAAAATGACAGCACCGAAGACACCGAATCTCGCTAATTAAACATTGTCAATTCTATTTTTAAGCTAATAAACGCTTGATTGCAATATGAAAAATTTTATTTTAATAATTGTAACCTTTATTTTTCCTTTCAAATATTGTTCTTATAAATATTTGGTGAGGCGGCGATAAGTTTTGGTACCCCTAGCAACGTTGAATTTCATAGAATTAGAATAAAGCATAATTTGAATTTTATAATCTGCACTCTGCGAAAGGTAAGCGTGTCGATTTTTTTTAATGGCTGAAAATGGAATGTTAACATCGTTTACGCTATTGATAAACAGTGCCGGGGCACCAGTGAGAGATAATAGGTGAAGATGAAAGTAGGTCAGTTAGCCTATCGTGACTAATTTTACAAAAATTAACGATTACAGAAATTAGCAATGGTTTCCAAAGGGAACCGCATGGAGGTTGACTTTACAGGGTATATTGTAAGTAACAGGGACTACCTCCTTATTACTAACAATTGCCCCCTTCCCTTCCCAATTGTCGAATATTACCAGAATATTTCGATTTTAACAAAGGTACCTAATAGTCGACAAATGCGGGAATCAGTCGTGAAAGTTTCCTACATTTTATGTAAATTTAGTAAACATATTCGAATACAGGGTTTTCTTCTTTTTATGACAATAATAACGAACTTTTTTAACGTACCTAAGCATTCGGGGTAATTTTCTTTAAAAAAATATTTAGAATTAGAAAATCTGCTGAAGGAAATGGTACATATAACGTACCTACTTACTAGCTTTAACTAGCAACTCAATTAGTGTGACCGAGATAAAAAGTAGTCTATGGATTTCTCAATAGCATAATCAAATTGTAATATTAGCCTCAACACATATGACTAGCCGTATTACTATAGCAGGTAGGTACATTTTAAACGATTTTCAGAAGATTCTCAATTCACTTGAATTTTTTCTAATACATGATTACGTCACAAATTCTGAACCGATATCCATAGTTATTTTTGTAATCGATAAAATTTACTCCCGTATTAGTCGCATATTGTATGACAACTCAAACTGTTATCATTCTTTGTGGAACTATTAGAATTATTTGTTATGATTATGCAGTCAACATACAAACGCCCATTTGCCCTTTCTAAATACAAATATTTACACTATCACAAACAACTATATATTTAGGTACGAAATATATAGTTGTTTATCATAATGTACGCAAAATATACTTGTTTTTGCTGTACTATAACGATGGATCGTAGTTTCCAAATCCACGGGAAATTCAACAATTTGACTTCGACATGACATTATTGAAATCGTATTGGTACAACTCTGTGGTTGGTACAAAATATAAATCCATAATGTACGCCTGACACAACATGGTACGATAGGGGAATGAGTAAACATGGATTATAGAAACAATGTATTTTAATTACAAAATAAACATACATTAGGGTTGTTACTGATAAGTAACCATTCATACCTTAAATATCGCCTAATTTTAATTATTAATGTTAATGTATGTCACATATCTATATCCACATAATAATTTATTGCCTGTCTAATAACACGCAAATGGGTTGAGAAATAATAAAAAGTTACAGGCTCCCGACTAACATATTTTTTTGTTACCTATTATATCTTGCAAACAGCCTATACAACGGGAAACAGCTAGCCCTTGTCAACATTTTTGCCAATACAAAAGCAGTTTTATAACTGAATAACAATGTTAAGGGAATTGGTGTGAAAATGACAATAACTATTGTTTGTAACATGGGACATACAGCAGTAAGATTAGAGGGTAAGGAGTTTCCTTAGTCCTCAGAAATGGAAAACCATTTAAATTTGTCATGGACGCCCTGGTGTATTTTATAATATCCATGGCGCTGTTCATTTCTAGAAGTGATATAACCATTTTTCATCATATGGGCTGCCTTGTCATTCGCCAAGATCCATAAAAAAATCCCAATTATATATTCGAATTAGGATTGTCATCTGTAAAATCAACAAACCAAAACAGAAAGATGAAAAATCTGGATGTTTTTACTAATCAATACAAAAAAGTATTTAAAAATTGGTAATGAAATTAATCCAGATGCTCCTTAACTGCATTCCAAATGAGAATACATATAGGGAAACCTAGGGATGACAATCCTAATTATTCATGTTCAATATTTATAAAAATTGACTTCAAACAGTATCTATGTGATAAAATAGATAACCATGTCTTTCAAAAACAATCTTTAATTATGAGTAGTAAACATGTATCAAATGAGAAATACATATTCTTAAGGCAATAAAATTACTAACTCAAGACAATATACAGAGTGAAAACTATATCATAGCATCCTTTAAATATATAAACATTAAAAAGGATGCTAGGAATTTTAACTTCAACCTGTATAATAATAATAATATACTAGTCTATCAGCTTATTGCATTAAAGTTGTGAAATATCAAACTTTTGATTACAAATACATAACTCTAGTCTATTAGTGTTCTCCTAAAGCTAAATGGAATATTTTTATATAAAACATATTGAGCTTTTTACTAATCGGTACTTACAGAGGTATAAACAGGTATGAATTTACATTTTGTATATGTATATTATTTTCATTTCAATTTGAAGCACTGATGTGTAATAAACTCTTTGGGTAAATAAAAGTGGTAGCATGATACAAAAGTGATTACATTCTACTTTTCATTATCTACACCGGCTTGTGTCATAAGATCTGTGATATTCTTCTCCAATTCATCAACTCTTGTTCCCATTTCGTCTATTCTGTTGATGATTTGATCTGACATACTTTGAAACTTGTCCTGCATGTTTTGTAAAAGGGATTGTACCTAAAAAGAAGCAGATTGCATAATAAATATTATTTTGAATTTTATAAGTGTATAATTTCATTAACTGTAAAAATAAGGATTCCATTTGTTGAACATATACCTCATACAAAAAAAAATAATAAAAAGTTAAGACACCTTTTTTAGAAAGTATTAAAAATAACTACTAAACATATATACAAATATAGAAAGTAATACTTTTTTAATACTAATGTATAGTTGTGTTTACATTAAAAAAGAAATGTCGATATTATACTAATTATGTTTAAATATATATAATACCTATTACTTAATAAAGATTTCAAATCTAGGTCTTTAAAGGGTTGATAGTGTGCAATCGGTACCCTTAAGGTGTAAATTGCCACTATTTTAAAATGGATGCAGTATAATTTTTAAGATGAGCACCAGAAATTCTTCAAATGTTGCACGAAAGTTAAAATACAAATAACAAGTATTATTTTCAGGTTTGTTTCACATCATTCATAGGTAGGTACATCTGTTTAAACAAACACCTATCATGAATCTCTCTCATTGTATAGCGTGTAAAGTGACAAATGAAAATACTTGTAAATACCAAAACAGAACTATATACCGATAAATTGAGAATTCAAAACTTACATATTGAGTCACCTCTTGCATGTTTTTTGGATCATTAGCTGGTGTTGAATAATTTCCTTCTGTTTCATTTGTAGGTGGTTCAGTATTTGGTTCCGCCATTGGAATTATTGTTATTATAGGAATTAAATTTCTTTATTTACTATATTCTTATACGAATAAAATATTACTAGCAGAAATTACCAACTATAACCACAGTTTGTTTATGACAGACAAAGAGTATAGAACGACACGATTGATAATTGAATTCGAAATGTGACAGATGCAATGAGCAACGCAAGTCAAATAAATCGAGTTATTCAACTGAAGATTTGAAGACTTAACTCGATCTATATATTTTATGTATCCGAGCCGACTCGACAAAGATATAGATAATAGAGGTGGTAGAGTAGAAAGAGAAAATATAATAGCATATATGTTACAACGCGATAAATAAGTAGGATACTAACTTACAAAGTCTACTAGAAGCTGAGTTGAACAAAGCTATTTTTATTTTTAAGTTTTGAAGATAAATTAATTTAAGTAGAATGTAATTTATAAGAATTAAGTGTGAATCTTTACCTGGATACAATAAAAATGAAACACAAAATTAAAAATTTTTCAAATCTGTTTGTCGATTTTTCCTAGAGAGTACAATATGGTGTTCTATAAAAAGGGTATATTTACATTTCTTTAGACGAGGCAAAACACACGTGATACCCTTAGTATTGCAGGCGTCCATAGGCCACAGAGATCGTTTAACATAAGGCAGGCTGTATGCTTATTTGCTACCTTTGTGGTATAAAAAAAATTAATTGTGAAGTTTAAAGTCTAAATTTACCCTATGTCCTTTATGAAACTACGGTATGAAAAGAAATCTTATACTATTATATACACTGTGTGTGCCCCGACATAGAATGGGCCACCCTTTTCTTTTCCGTGGATGTGGTAAGAGGCGAATAAGGCAGGGCGAGGAATGGGCAGCAACATCCCTTTTAAAAATCATTTCGACGTTCCTCTTAGAAAACCTAACTGCGGTTGCCAATCCACCTACCAAACGTGGAAACTACTGACTAAACCTCCCTTTATGAGGGAGGACCATGTTCAGTAGTGTAGAGTTAACAGCAGATATGATGATGATAATGATTAAGTTTAAACTCGTCGAATTAACTCGACTCGGTCTTTACTTACAACGAACAGATCAAACGGTAAATCGGGTACTTGGCAAGTGTACTTAATCTCTGCAATTCTATGGTCGGCCGACTCCTTTTTGAATTTAACATAAAACGCTGCTAATTTAATTATACAAAAGCTTAAATTTTTAAATATACGTAAATATGCCATACAAAGTCTGTGGGAAAAAACGATAATTTATTATGATAGGAAAAAAGAATATGAATTAAAAATTAGATAAGTAAGCCTCTAACAACATTCAGGAATAAAGTTATCAAAAACTATGTCTATAATTATTTAGTAGAGATATATACATACATACATACATATCTGTTACGCCTGTCTCCCATTAGGGTAAGCACAAACAATGGAACGCCAAATGCTTCGATTCAAACAAACCTCTTTCGCTTCTTCCACATTTATCAATCTTTTCATACACGCTCGCCGGTTACGGGTACTTTTAATTACTAGAGATATATATGATATGATTAATACTATATTTGTTATAATTAAACTTAAGACTTTAATAATTTATCGTAGTCGAATGAACAACTCAAATTTGAAACTTGTAAATGCTGATGTCCCGTAAAAACTGTACATTATCTCCAACCCTGTTTCTTCTGCATTTCAATGATATGTTACACATCAGTAACATTCACTTCTATACGGATGATAGTTCAAAGCATGCATTATATACCGATCATGCAAACATCTCGCGGACACATATCGATGAATGCCGGAATAGATTTGTGTCAGAAATTAAAACTTCACTTCATCAAGTTTTGATCTGGGACGAACATAATCTTGTCCAATTCAAGCCTAAGAAGACACAAGTCACGCAAAAAAGACGCCGTTTGTTGTATCTTCTCACTTTCAGGGCACTTCCCTTGATAATAAGTCGAATTTAGATATCCTTGGCGGTGATATACACAGCGACGTCCAGTTTTGCAGTCATCTGAAAAAAAAAAGGTTTTTACCATCTAAGATAGTCTACAAAAAGTTAGGAATGCTTAATAGAGTGAGATAGTATTTCACACCAGAATATCGCTTGCAATTGTATAAAGCTCAAATCAGGCCATATATGGAATACTACTCTCATCTATAGGCAGGAGCGCCACAGTACCAATTTCTTTCGTCGGCATTCAAAGTCGGGCGGTTCGAATTATTGACGATCAGTGTCTTACTGTCCGACTCGACCCACTGAAACTGCGTAGAGATATTGCACCTCTGTTTATCTTCTACCAAATTTATCATGGGGAGTACTCTGAGAAATTGTTCGAATTGATACCCGTTGCTGATTTTCATCACAGTACAACTCGCCATAAACTAAAGTTGTGTCCTAACCATCTGGATGAGTGGTGATCCTTTATCGTGCGTTTTTTAAGGCACTTTTTTTCACTCTTTGGAATCAGCTTACAGTGGCAGTATTTTCAAGCCGATACGACATCAAAACCTTCAAAAAAAGAACACATTCCTTTTTAAAAGGCGGATAGCACACCTGTAATGCCTCTGCTGTTAAGGGTGATCATAAGCGACCGTAGTCATTTACCATAGATGAGCCGCATGCTCATTTGCCCCCTGTGTTATAAAAAAAGTAATCAAAATTCAATATTAAATAAAACAGGGTCAAGTCAACGAATTAAACTCGTGTTTTAATTGTAGCTCTTGTAGTTCAGAACCTGGTCAATTAATTCAGTAGCATTAACTTGAGTTTAGTAGCGTTAACTTGGGTTCAAAGAAAAAATAGATCGAATTAACTTGAATTGACTGTAGTTGGATTATTTAACTCGAATTCTTTGACTGAGTCGCTATTTGACAGCAAATTCGTGCAATTTATGTATCTATGTTAATTAATTTTTTTACGGTTGGTTGACTTTAGTAGTCAATGTCAATGACATTGACGTTGACATATAATCAAATAATTCAAATATTGTATTCTTTTTGAAGACTAGGCAGCATGGTCTCCGACCTTAGCCTGTTCCAAACGGAACAAACGTACTAAAAAAAAAAAAAAATCAAATATTGTATTTACATATATAGTAAGCTTCTTAACTACCTATTTCTAAATTTTCAATCATTTTATATTTATTTACTTGCAATTTCTCATAACTAACTGAAACAATAACTTGTTATTTAAATTTTTATTACATTCTATATGTTTTATAATTTGAATATCAATAAAAAATTGTAAATTGCTTGTAATCTAAAATGCAACCTCTATTGATCAATACCAAAACAGATATTCAAATTGATTTAAATCAAGTTAAAATTGATCTTCGGCATGGAATACGAGAGTGTGTCGACCGAGGTTTAACTCAGACTGCAAAATGGCTTGCAGAACTAAATTATGCTTTGAAAGATCATAAAATCGTATATGAAGAAACTTCTACACCCTATGAAGACGGTACTGTAATAGAAGAAAGAGAAGCATACATGTTAGCAAGAAGTTATTTTGATTGCCAAGAATTCGATAGAGCTGCCCATTTTCTAGAAAACTGTACCAGTCCAAAATGTGTTTTCCTTCAGAGATACTCTCAGTATATGTCTAGTGAAAAGAAAAGATTGGATAATGCCACTGACTCTGGAACAGAAAATACAGAATCAACACAAGTGTTGCTAGATCTCTTATCTTTCTTTAAGGTTTGATGCATTTTATTTAATAACTTTTGCATCCATGACTTTGTTCCATGGTATTTTGATTTGTTCAATCAGTATATATAAATTACCTGTATCTTTTTCCATCCCAAACAATATTTATACCAAATTTCATGACGATTGAGCTGTCATTAAAAGATAACAAAATAAATTTTCACAATTATAATATTAGTAACAGTATTACTTTTTATTAATTGTATAAATGGAACTGCTATGCATGCATGAGACGGGTTGTGAAAGTGGATGAAACAAGAGCATTTGTAGGGATAGAGGCCTTTGCACTCTATTCTCTGAGTATCCTGCAAGGAACTCAGCATGAAGATAGAAACAATTTCATATACATTTTGTGATGATAATTTTATTCATACACTACTGTATCTGTACCTTATAATAGTAAATTATGAAAATATATAAATATCCTAATTGTCATTCTCTTAATGGATTAATGAATATTAATATTATACTATATAAATTATGATTTCCAATTTGAATAAAGTTTCCATCAATTTGCAGGCTAATAGAAATAATTTGGATGGATATCTTCTCTACCTAGAAGGAATAGTATTAAAAAAGTTAGATTTACGAAATCAGGCTGTCACAGTGCTCCAGGCTTCGGTGCAGGCTACCCCGATTTTGTGGGCAGCCTGGGTGGAACTTGCAAGTCTTGCTAATGAGTATGAGGCACTTGATTCACTTCAACTCCCAAAACATTGGATGATGTACTTCTTTGCAGCTCATGCTTTTATTGAGTTAAAGCTATCTGATCAAGCACTAGAAGCCTATACAATGCTTGCATCCGCTGGTTTTGACAAAAGTACTTATGTCACAGCTCAGATGGCTATTGCACATCATGACAGAAGAGGTAAGATATAAATATATGTTCTAAGCCAGTAGCATTGTATAAAAAGACCATAATAACAATACATGCATATTTATATATTTTTCCATATTCTATCCTAATTATTTTTAATTTATGTACCCTTAATTTAGACTAAGTGTTGAATACTTTAATATTAAATTTTAGTAGTCTATAGTAATGAATTTAATAATTTGAAAAAAATCTTAATGTCTAATTTTAAATCATCATGAAGTAGTGATATTAGTTTGCAAATTTAAAAAAGAAACTACCTTGTATTTGCGAATCCTAAGTATAATATACATTGAAACCTAAATTGAAACAATTTTATGAAAGTTTCAAGGCAATGTAACACAAAAGTGTATAAAACATTATACAAAAGTTCAACATCTTAGACTTGAGAAGTGGTAATGTAATAGAAATATGGACATCATAATGTATCCTGTGATATCCATATTTTTGTTCATATGTACAGGTGACAGATACCACTTTTTATCAAGCTTGCTTACAAGTTCAAATCACATAAGTTACATTTATTTTTCATTATTCCAGATGTGGATTCCTCATTAGCTTTATTTCGAGAATTATTTCAAACTGACCCATACCGCTTAGATAACTGGGATGTATACTCCCACCTTCTGTATTTGAAAGAAAAACGCATGGAGCTGGCAGATTTGGCTCAAAGAGCTGTATCAATTGATAAATACAGAGTTGAAACATGTTGTGTTATTGGTAAGTACAAATACAAATTATTTTTTTGACAGAGATGAGTTAACATAACATTAGAGACCATGATTGTTACAGATAAATTGTAAACCTCTTTTAAAATATATTTTTTAACCCTACAGTATAATTTTTAGTTGTCAGTTTTAATAGGGAGCAATACTACCACCATCTCTCAGACTAATTTGATTTTGTAAATATTATTTATTATCACCAGAGTAAATTTAGATTAATGTTAACCTTTGAAATGACAACTATTAATTAGAAATTTATATTGAATTACCAATAATTGCCAATGTAGAGATATTTTTTTGCAATTAGAAATGTCAAACAATAAATCATTTGTAATAATATAATTCATTTGTAATTTTATTTTATAATTTAAATCTTATTGTTATTATTTATTTTATTAATTTCAAAATTATAATGTAAATATTGACTTGCCATTGTGTGACGAAAATTGTTACATTGGTTAATAAAGAAATATGAATAAATCTCTTATATATAATATTTTTATGTACCACAGGTAACTACTACAGTTTGAGGGGTGAACATCAGAAAGCCGTTATTTACTTTCAACGAGCATTGTCTCTTGATCCTCAATATTTATCTGCTTGGATTTTGATGGGTCATGAATTCATTGAACTACAGCATTCAAATGCTGCTATACAATGCTATAGACAAGCTATAGGTATGAGTAATTCTATTTGTATATATTTAAAAAAAAAACTTGATAATATAAAATAGATATATTTTTTTTAAATTATACCAATTCTAAAATTTGCATATTAATAGAATTTAACTTATAAGAATCAGTAGGTACATAGCACAAAATATTGTACAGTCTAATTCAATAAAAATATAATGAAAAGGTGACCAAATTTTGTTGACATTATCGCAGAAACACTAAATAAAATTAATGACAGCAGATTATCAATTATTTATTTGTGTACATCTACATCAAATTCTATTGAAACAACTGAAGTATCGTGATTGTAATAAAATTACCTATTTAAAGATTTGTAATTTATTAAAGTACTAGTTACTAAAAAATACTAATCCCATATTTTTCTTCCAGATGTAAACAGAAATGATTATCGGGCTTGGAATGGATTAGGACAAGCATATGAAATCTTAGGATTAAATGGATACTGTATATACTATTACTCTAGAGCGGCACAGCTTAAACCAGATGACTCCAGGATGCTGGTATCACTTGGGGAAGCTTACGAAAAAATGGATAAAATACCAAATGCGCTCAAGTGTTATTATAAGGCGCATAGTACAGGAGACATCGAAGGAATGGCGTTGTTCAAATTAGCAAAGTGAGTATAATTGTACACTGGATGTACATGAATCCTGCTTTTCTGGTAACATTAACATTTTCAGGGTTTCTATCCATATGACTTAATAAGTAAGTAAATTCCCGTGTTCGATTCCCAATCAAGTCTATTACGAACTTTTCTGAAATATGAGTGAGATTCATATTTCAGAATATTCCTTTTGTCCCGTATTTTGGGTTACGTTTCCAGAAGTTTGTCTAGTCATACACGATCTCGTAACTCAAAGACCAGGCATTTGGTGTGTATGACAAATGTATTTAGTTATTATTATGCTTTACAGATTATATGAAAAATCGAATATGCCAAACAGTGCAGCAGCAGCATATACTGCGGCGTGCCAAGACCCAGCCAATGCTGGTAGTAAAGAATTACCGACGGCTCACAGATATTTAGCTCAGTATTATTTGAGATTCTCGTTGCTAGATCACGCCGCTCACTACGCGTATAAGTGCTTGGAAAATGAAAGTGTAAGTAGAAAATATAGATATATAAAACCTTTTATGACCACGTACACATATTACATAAGGTCAACGCAGACTATTGCAGTTTGTTTTGAAAGATTCGAATGATAACTAATTAATTTCATCGCTTTTAATCGTTGTTCTGTGGCGAATGAAGATTTGGGGCCCCATTGCTAACATTATTACCCCGTCAAATCGATCTTTACGCGTTTACTCATGGAAACCATTTTTATTTGATTTCATTCTTACCTATCACTACTCAATAGTCCCTAACTAACGTAAACCTATAGCTCAGGCGGTATTATCATTCCTATTTACACATAAAATATATATAATTTTTATAATTACTCCTCTCCATCCAAAGGTTGCCTGGAAGAGATCGCTCTTAACGATAAGGTCGCCCATTGTTTTCTCATTGTGATTATTTATATTTACTTTTGGAGGAAACAATAAAGAGTATATATCTATCTATCTATAAAATATAAAGCTGTTATTCTGCGTTAATTCATAAAATTGCATGAATTAGGCGTTATATAACGGAAGTTCATATCACTGGTGAGTTGATTACAATTATTTTAATTCCGCTATCATTAGTATGCGTGTGACTACCGACATTTATTACTGAGGATTGATTATTATTAATTAGGAATCTTCCAAATTATCAAAAATCTACACTAAGCTTCAAGCAGCGATCGATGGCTCTTTGTTTAGAGAGGGGTGAAACCCGTATCGTAACATGAGTGTGGCAGTTATCCAAGTCCACATTTATGTAATCACAGATTGGTGACTAATAGGGAATCATAAAACTTAATTATGAAAATACTTCTAAGCAATTTACGGAAATTTACTGTCCGCGATTAGGTTCGCCAAGCATCAGTATTAACAACCTGACATGTTTAAATATTCACAGTCGAAAGAAGCTGGAAAAAATATTCTCAAGACAATATCAGAGAAACGGCTAGCAGCATCAAGTTCATCACAGCCTCCAAGCTTACCCGACGATCTGCCTGAAGCCATAAAAAACGTGTCAGCCGCATCGTTATCACACGACCCGTCAAAGACACCATTACCTAGCCCTAATGTGACGCCGGACAATTTTTCCACACCACTAATGGCCAGGAAAAATATAAAATACAAAATGTGACATACGATTGCACGCAAGTGTAAAATGTGAGTAATGAACAGTAGATGAATAATCGTGTTTAACTAATTGTAATTATAAGATAATAAAGAAAAATAAACAATTTAAGGCAGTTATTTTACCTATAATACTTGTCCTTTTCAATAGAACTTACTGAAAAAAATTTTATTTGTATTACTCAGTAGTACCAAAAAAAAACCTAACTCTACTGTCTTATGGTCGAGTCCTTAGCGTAGTACGGTATACTGTCTGTGGTCGGGTCAAATATTAATTTGTTTACATTTTCTTTAAGTTCTATTAAAACAGACTACACAACTTCTACTCTATTCATGGGGGGGGGGGGGGAAAGGGATTGTTAGTAATGGAGACTAAAAATCCCATTGCTAGGAATAAACTCAATCAGGTCGACCTCCTCGTGGTTCCCCCTGGAAACTATCATGGTTAATTCCTGATGAATTCGTCATGATGGGCTCACTGGCCTATTTTCATTCTCATCGATCACCCTTCACTGGTGCTCCGCTAGCGTATCCCATTAGCGCAGGCGGGGTTACCATTTCATTTTCATCCACAAAAAAAAAACTATTCATGACCTGATGTGTAAAAATAGAAAAATCAATAGAATTATAACATTCCTGGTACTATACAGCTACAACTACCCCGTAAATTATAATTGCAAACCATGAATGCAAAAATCACACACCACAGTGCCATAATTACTTTTTTTTTTAATTATCTTACCTTTCCAAAAAAAAACTCTTGCTTTATACAAAACGTAATATCAGGGTTGTCTTCTGTTTTGAAGTAGATATTATTTTAAAATAAAATAATTAAAATTTATTAAAAAAAATGTAATAGTGATTAAATTTTTTACAACTTTTATACAAATTAACAGATCTTAGTGCTCAAATAGTAAAAAAACAATTACAAACTAAATAAATAGCAAAAGTGCATTGATTAGAAAATTAATTTGTTCAAATTAGCTCCATGCAAGTAAAAAATATTTCACTGATACAATCACAGATTAAATACGATTTGAGAGCTTTTTCCAATATATGTATGCGTTTTTTTTTTATATCTATCATGAAATATGCCCAACTAATCACAATGTAAATATTTTATGAATGAAATAAACCAGATGTTATTTTACGGAAGTCCATATCACTGGTTAGTCGATTAGAATTATTTAATTTCGATACCATCAATACGTGTGCGACTGCCAACATTTAAATATTGACTTCTATAGTAGAAGTATATATTATATATTATCTTCTATCAGTAGAAGTTCTACGATCTTCCATTGTTAGTCATCAATTTCCGACCGTTATCTAGTCCATGTTTTAAGGCAAATCAAATCAAACGTTAATACTAGGTTACGAGCTGCAATCTATAAATTTTTCCGAAGACGCCTTGTGCAACATGTGCGTGTACTGGATAATGGTCGGAGATAGATACTAATACAGAAGGTCGTAGAATTTCTGCGGATGGTAATAGCAGTAAATCTTCAAATGTTAGCAGCTGTACACATACCAATAGTAGCGCAATTAAATATAGTAATTCTAATCTACTAACCAGTATTTATATTACAATGTATTTATATTACATCTATTTATATAATATAAATACATAATTTAATAGAGAATATTTGGATCTAAATATTATGGTACAGTATGGAAACAATATTATTATTAAAGCAAAAATATTAATAACTAACATGACAAAAAGTATATAAGAAAATTGTCATATTCATTGTCATTTCTGTTAAAATAGGTACTAGACTTTTTACGAAATAAATTCTCAAATTATTTCATTTCATTATAGTGTTTCACCATTATATATAATAAATAATAAAACATACATTTGAATTCTTAATGAGGTGAGCAAGAGCCTAACGCATTTTTCTACAATATACTTTTGTCATTGTATTTTTTATTTTATCAGGCTTTTGTAAAAAACTTAGGACTTAACTTCCTTACAACTCAAACTACCAGGTACAAATGATTATACATAAAAACTTTACTCAATACTACTATGCAGTAAAATCAGGTGTTTGTAAAATAACACTAACTTTTGCCACTAAAATAGCCAATTTAGCATACTAGACAAGAAGCCATGGTCTATTATTAATAACAAAATATAATTAAAAGGCGCTTGAATGTTTATACGATCAAAATCTGTGCAATGACGTCATACCACAGCCCAGATGACTCATTTACATATGTATTATCAATTTAATCTACTCATTCGAGTCATAACAAACCGGAAACTAGTAGCAAATATTTAGTATGTTTATGACTACAATTTTTTGTGCAATCTACATAACAATCGTAATGTCATAAACTCTCGTCAAATTTTGTATATTTTCATTATTATTATATATTCAAGTAAATGTAATTTCTGTAACATATTTCAAATTATCCCTATTATTTACATAAAACAATTTTAAAACAAACCTTTGAAGTTAAACTTAATAAAGAGTTGTTCTCATATAACCAGTTTTACAATAACCGTTGAATACATTTTGGATTACCTATGTACAAATATATGAAACTGTACATAATTTAACGAGACATCCATAAGGCCACTTAAATTATTTTACTATAGCCTTGAAAAAATTGATTTCGTCTAACTACAATTAAAAATAAATTTAGAATAAAGCTAGGACCAGCATTTTAATATTTCATAACATTTACATCTAATTTATTGAATATCTTAAATTCATTCAAAATACTTAAACAGTTTCAAAAATACCAATATACCAACAATTCAGACAGTAAAATACATTTTCTTATATTGGGATTTTTAAGGCATACTGAGGGACTAAGTTTACAACCGTAATAAGCACATTAGGTATATTATCAATAAATAACTGATAGTTGTTTAAATATAACATTACCAGAGTGGCAAAATTAATATTAATAAATAATAATTAAACTGTTTTAATTATATTAAACTTTGTAGCTTGATTTGTGCTTCTGTTGCATTTATTTGTTCTCTAAATCATGATATGGCTCTTGGTTGACTCATGAATTCTATCAGAGGAATGGATTCTTAGAGTTTACAAAGCCCCCATTGTTTGAAGATGGCTGAAATGATTAGATACAGTTAGTTGAGTAGAGTAATAATTCACACAGAATCCTTATCAATAAACAGTAGAAATGAATCATTGAGGACATTAATCATATCCATGTAGAATAATATGATCGAAATTCTATAAGCAAGCCTTATTATATATATTATTTAATAATGTAAGCATACAACTATTACACTATAAAAATATGTATACAATAGGAAAATATGAATATACTATAAATAAAATGTCTGCCATAAAGTCTCATACACCCCCTGATAAAGTCGAAACAATTGTCGGACACAACAAACACAGTAATTTTTTTTATATATCATGAAGGTAGCAAACAAACATACAGCCCATCTGATGGTAAACAGATATTATAGCTTATAGACACCCGCATCACCAAGGATGTCACTTACGCGTTACTGACCCTATATAAATGCACAAGGAGAAGTTCGTAAAATTCCCGATGTGCATTTATATAGACATAAATATACCTATGGTAATAACCAAGCTATGAAATATCTTTGTATTTTATTAAGTAACTAAGGGATGTCGCAGACACTGTACAATCAAAGTATGATTAAAAAAAAAGAGAGAGAGAGAGAGAGAGTTTTTATATAATGAATGATATTTTATATAAAATCTGTTATAGATAATGCTTTCATTTCATGCTTATTATCATGATAAGATGTTGGTGATGATCATATCTGTATACTTACATTATCATCTTTTTGACCATAATATGAATTATATAACAAATTATGTTTATCAAGACAATTTATTTTTAAGGCTTTTATGATCAAGTTCTCAGATGTCTAAAATTATAACTAGTAATGATTACATAGTGAATCAACATAATGTTCTGTGATTGTTTACTAATTTTACCTTTACATTTATCATATTGCACATAAACATTACATAATGTTCCACATAAACAAAGAATATATGTATTTAATTATAATAGATGAAATAAATACGTGCCCTGCATTATTACTAAAAATGTTTAAAAGTTGAGTGGTAACATAATGGATCATAGATATCAAAAATATAATGGTCTAGACACAAGGATATTATAAACTTTTTCTTAGTTAATTATTAATACAAGACATATACATATAAATATAACATTAACAGCTTATCATAAAATACTGTTTTTATTACCAAATTTTCAGTAATCAATTAGGCAAGCTTTAGAGTTTCCCATTATGCTCTTCTAGGAAATTGGATGTGTTTTACATCCCATGACTGACCTTTATTTACCTCTATTAACTCTGTATAACTTGAATTATTCTTTGATAAAAAAAATGTAGCATACTATGCAATGTTATATCTACAGTATTAATTTCAATCTCAGTAAGGTAATACCCTGAACATATCCAATATTTAGAACTGACTGATAACTGCATAGGTCAGGGTATAATTTAACATTTAAATTACTTTTAAATTATTAAAGAAAACATGCTGAAAATCCTGTGAGTAATCAAGAGTTGGGATGTTCAAATAAATGACAAATTTGTGAAATTTGAGACATGCTTAACTCTGTGTTTGCATAAGTTGATGTATTATATTATATATATATATATGTCACCATCACTGCCTTAGCATTTGGTATAGAAATCTCTAAATCTTAAAGAATAGTTACATTGCATATTTGAATATGTTTAACCTTTTGACTTCAATTGTTAATATGTATTTATGTTACATAAAGAAATATTCATACCATAAAGGGGTTGACAGGAACTGGTGTAGCAAGAGTACTCCATCCTCCATTAAAAAAGGGATTCTTATTCGCAAACAGGTCATTGGTTGTGGAGCTTTGGAATGGGTTCTTATTGTTAACAATGGTGTTTTCCTCTGCAACAAAGCAAGAATAACTTAACTATTCAAAAACATTAAAGGAAATTAATTAAAAGTACCTCTAAGTATATTACTATTACACACTTACCCATATTTTTCATATTTTGCTGTCTTAAAGCTAGATCTAAATCAGCTAAAGCAGCATAGCGATCATCTGAAATAAATGTACAATTAATAACATGTAAAATAACTCATTAACAACTAAAATTGCCCACATTATAAATTAATATTAAATAATTATAAACAAAACAACAACTTACTTGATGTTGATGTAGTTGAATTGAAAGCATTAAATGTAGGAGTAGTTGACGGTTGCGAAACGAAATTATTGTTTGTATTATTATTATACTGACTGCTGTTGTAAATATTTGCTGTTGAAAAGTCAACAGGAAAACTGTAAGGAAAATTTATATAAAGTTCAATTTATATATTGCCTATAATATTATTGATATATTTTTTTTTTGATGTGTGAAAATGGTATGGTAACTCCTCCTGCGCTAACAAGATACGCTGGCAGAACACCAGTGAAGGGTGATAGATGAGAATGAAAACAGGCCAAATGGGCTAAATATCATGATGGGCTATTTAGCCCATCATGATATTTGTATGATAAATTCATCAAGAATGAACCCCAAGGTCAACCTGGTTGAGTAAATTGCTAGCAATGGGATTCCCAGTCCCCATTACTAACAATCCCTTCCCCCCCCCCCCCTATTACTGATATTAGATGTTCTTTAAATAATTACAGGTGATAAATTATTAGTTAATGTTTATATTTAAACTGCGACTTACTCAGGTACTGTGGTGTTAGCTGGATTCTGAGCTGGCATGCTTGCATTGTTTATCAATGGCCTGTTGATGGGTCTGCCTAGTTTATGGTTTGAATCATTAACTGCAGGAAGCACATTGTTCACTACTCTTGCTGTCTGGACCATTGTATTATTATTTACTACAGCTTTAGATGTTTGAGGCGAAATCGTTATCAATGGAGAGGGATTTGTCGTTACACTACTTGTAGCCTTAGTTTTCGATTTGTTTTTTGATGATGAACTACCGTTTACGACAGGATTATTGAGTGGAGAGTCCAAATAGTACCGCTTCTTCTCGTACTTGTCCGACATAAAATCTTTCACGCTTTGTTCGTCAGTAAAGTTCACACTTTCACCCTCGTATAGACCTAGCCACACTCGCCTACAATAATCATTACCCCTTGCTTTTATAAATTCCAACTCTTCCGGCGTAAAGGTGGCCATAGAAATGGACTTTACGCGGTGAGGCGGAGTTAGACCACGCCTAAAATATAACAATTCATATAGAGTGTTTGTTGATTACGAATATTAATATGCAACAAAACGCAAAAACAATACTCACAACATTCCTGAACATTTCGAACACACGAAGGATCCAATCGTGGTATTTACATAAGTAGGTCCTCTTTGGTTGCAATCTAGACAGTATTTATTTCCATTTAATGAAATAAGCTCTCGTAAAATTTCTAAATTTTTGTCGTCCTGCTTCCGACGATTTGCAGCCATTTTTGAATTGAAATGTTTCTATCTGTAAGATAAAGACGATAAGTTAATACCTATGATTGGCGAACAAAATTTATATATCTGACTTTTGTTAGGTGACTGATACATGACAAACTGACGTGAAAATGTCTAACCTCAATCTTAGCAATATTTTTAAATTGAATGACGTTACGAAGACATTTTGCAGTCCGTATATGATCAAGATCTATACGCTATTTATTTGTAAATAGCGCGAATTCTTATACAAATACAAATACAAATGACTTTATTGTGGATCATAGGTCAAATTAAGGTTATTACATCAGTTAAGTATATATTAGTATCTCCATGTACTGCTATATAAGCGTACAATATATGGAACAGTTAACAGTATATAAAACATAACATTTAAAATTATATAGTGAAACAAAATATATTTATATGAGACATAATTTTTTACTAATGATGACTATTTATCTTTATCATTGATATATTCGTTTAGACTATAATAACATTTATTTATTAACATGAAGGTTCTTTTTAAAAACATTTGTCTCAGTCAATCCTCGTATACGTTTTGGTAATTTATTATAAATTATTACAGCTTTACAAAATATACTGTCTTTCATCAGTTTTCTTTTAGATGGTACTACACATAATTGGTCAATATGCCGAGCTAGAGCTCGCACTAGAGTGCGAAATTTAAATCTATCAATATTAGTTTTTACAAAATTAGCACACTCATAAATATACAAACAAGGCACTGTTAATAATTTTAATTGTTTAAAATGTGACATGCATGTGTCTCGCCTTCGCAAATTACAAATGGCCCGTATGCAACGTTTTTGATATTTCAAAACGATATCTTTATCAGTAGAGTTTCCCGAAAACAGTATGCCATACCTCAATAAGGAACCTACCTGTGCATGATATGACGATAAAACTGTTTCCATATTAACAATTTTACGTAGTTTATACAAAGCATATGCATATTGACTTAAATTTTTATTTTAAAACAAATATAATTAGTAAATAAATAATAATTGTATTTATACTTAAAATTGAAAGTATTTACCTACTTTAGTGGTTTCTTTAATAGATTTATTTTTTATTTTATAATTTTTGTATCTTTTTATTTTGTAAAAATTAATTTCACAGTGTGTTATATACAACACAAATAAAAAAGGTTAGTTAATTTGATACTCTACACATCTACAGAGTGCCTCAGAAGTCGACGTCAAGCCGGAATCGAGTAACAGGTTAAGTCGTAATTGTTATTAGTAAAATAAAAAATCTAAGTTACATATTTTAAAAATTATAAACATTTGAAAAATAATTGAGAATATCTACCTGTGACGGTGTTTTTATTCCTGTTACTGTAGATATGTACTTTTATAATATTTGTTTTTTTTTTTTATTTTGTGTTTCCCAATACTTCTTTAAACTCTGACTTAAAATTTAAAGTTTGCTCATGCTTGGAAGTAAATGTTTCTTTTGCCCAACTAAAGATGCAAAATAAATATTTAGTTCAATTTTGACTGACCATACTAAAAAAATATACTAGGTGAGTTTGGCAAAGTAATTTTAAAAGTTAGCGCATTTTAAAATAAAGATTCCAAAATATTATGAGACTATTAATTTATTTCTTAAATTGCAGACTTTTTCTCTAATAAAAACCAGTTTTAAACTAATTTTTCTTATTTACTTAAAAATGATTTAAATGTACCTATGCTCAAGGCCGTTACTTTTAAAATTCCAGTTGGATTGAGATGGGTAATATAATTTTAAGAAATGTGGGCGAAACAGTTAGTGACGCTATTAAATTAAATTATTAAATTAAACATCAACAATTTGAATACTTAGATTTATTATTTGCACAACAATTGTTTAACATCAATTATTTAGATTACAATAGATGTTCAATCTATCTTCCTTCAGCTGCAATGCAAGCTTCTTAAAAAAGTTCAGATTATCACACAAGCGAATCTTCCATTGTTAACAAATTCAGCTACCTCCATTAATCTTTGTCATAGCTCAGTTAAACCTTTAATTGGCTTTAAATAAACTTTTTCTTTTTTTGCTACCCCGTAAAAAAAAACGTAATGGATTTAAGTCAGTTGAACGGGCTGGCCATGAGATTGTACCAGATTATCTTAATCATTTGCCCTAGTATTTTTCATCAAGGTATACTGTAACCGAGATGGCATAGTGCGCTTAGCAGCATTCGTGCTGGTATATACCACATTTCCCTGTCAATGTGTATTTAGTGGCACAGTTAGCAGTGTTTTATATTACATCTATTTTAAACAAATAGTTTTAAACCTTGTAAATTTTGTCCCTGTGTACATCTATAATCATTGCTATATCTTAGATTATATAGATAAAAAGTCTTCATACAAATGCATCGCCAAAAACAGGTGTACTTTTTACTACCCATGTGAGAATAGTGTTACCATAATGACATTTATTACTCAATATATAGGAGAAATTACATTTTAAGGTTAAACTGAATACTAAAACAGTACAAAATTCTTATGAATAGACAGATAAATAGTGTATAATGATTCATAATAATGCTTATCTTTACTGATCACTTTGATTTCTATCTAAATATAGACATACGTTTTCATTTTTAAATAATTGAATGCATACGAGGGCAAAAAAGCGAGGCTTTGTCTAAGAACAAGGAATTACATAGGAGTGATAAAATTGTTAATTCATAGCAGGCTAGTGTATAAAACATGTTATACGGCCGTATAATCCTACCAAATTCAGATACAATCTACTTGCATACTTTCTACATAAACTGTGTCGAATATATAATCTAGTAATGTAAAATTTGTTATTGTCAAATATTTGACATATCAAACATTTTCTATACACTATCCTGCTACTAGTTTCCTTCTATATAATTCGTAGTTCTTAGGACTTTTTTTTGATTTAAAAAAAAAATTAAGTGGTATTAGTAAAATATTATTTATTAAAAATTTTAATAGTTATTAGGCTTAATTTGGCTGACTAAATTTTCATCTTTTTTTACACTTAATACTCTATCTATATAATCTGTTATTTTTGGATATTATCAAAACAAAATTCAATTTAAATTTTTAATTAGAATCTAGATAAATACCCAATATATACTTATATGTTCATCAAACTGGTATATTTTTTTTAATGAATAAAGCATAAAAAGTAAAAAATAACATGGAGTTGACAAGCGCTGAATACAATATAGTTACCATCTGTTTGTACATTTTGCCTAGTTTATGGAGCGTTGAAATCACATAGTACACAATATATGATAATTATACTTTAAACTTTTTTATACATACGTACATTGTAAAGGATAAATAATATATTCAAATCTTATTGTAGGTACAACGGTCGGTACAATGAACACATCACACATGTGCAGATTGTGTATGAAAACAGAATTTCTAGTAAATTTGTATAAAATAGATGGTGAAACTACTCTTGATAAGAAAATTTATTTTTGCATGGATATTATGGTATGTATAAAAATATCTTTGTAAATTGCAATATTTTATTATAACTATAAAATTATTAATATTTATTATTAATATTTTTCTATTTTACAGGTTCATCCTGATGATAAACTTCCAGCATTTATTTGTAAACAATGTACAAAGAAAATTAATAAGTTCTATAGTTTTAAATGTAAATGCCTACAAATTAATATTGAACTTAAAAATATAGAGAATAGTCAAATTTTGGACTATGATACAAATTTATTAAATTGTAATATAGAAAGTGACTCAACTAGAAATAAATTGATAGATAATAAGACAATATTGATGGAATTGACAGATCCATTAAGCCATCAGACTGAAACACCTATTACAAATAAAAGTACAGTAAGTGAAAAAACGGAAAAGATAATCAATAAAAGAAATGATAAATATCAATGTGAATTTTGTGGCTGTATATTTCAAATGAAAACTGTTTTAGAGAACCATTTAATGACACATTCTGGTATTAAGCCATACTCTTGTAATATTTGTCCAAAGAAATTTGCTAGAGCTGAGAATAAAATAATACATATGAGATCCCATTTTGGAATAAAACCATTTATTTGTGAGATTTGTGGCAAAACATCAACTAAATCCCAAGATTTAATTAGGCATATGAAAATACATAGTGATGAGAGAAACTATTCATGCTCAAGTTGTAAACTTCAATTCAAACGATCAGGTGATCTAACTAGTCACATCCGTACCCATACTGGAGCTCGACCATATCGCTGTCTAACTTGTGATAAGAGATACACTTCTCATAGTGGTCTTCGAAAACATTACAGATTGCATTGCAAAAAAGAACTACTTAATAATGTAAGTAAGTAATTGATGGCTGAATAAGTTTGTCACTTCAGCTGTCTAGAAAAGATCTTGATATATCACTTCCTTTTTCTTTTTTATTTGCTATTCTTGATCCAAACTGTAAAGCTCTTTTCGGCAGTGTAGCAACTCCAGTCAGTCCATAATTGAGAGCCACAAGTCTCAGCATCAGTTTATCTCCTATTCCAACACCTAAATTTTCATTAGGAAAACATCTGCAAAATAAATGTTTATATAACAATTTGAAATCATATACTTTCATAATTTATATTTAGAGAAAAGAAATAAGAATAAGATAATAATCTTACTCAAATCAATAAACAATCAACATATTATTTACCTACACCAGAATATATTGATTGCAAATCTAAAAAAATAACATATAGACTAACAGAGTTTGATTTCCATATAAAAGGAGGCCATGAGACTACCTATCTATCCTATTTAAGAGCTGCTCTCTTGTCAGTGGAGCTCTTGCCACTCACTATGAGATTGACTACTGAAGGCTGAAGGATACTATTTGTATGCATGAGCAAAGTTTTTAATACTTAGTACCAAAAAGAGTAGTATAAATAAAATAATGGCCAAGTACTTGATATAGGTTGCAGCGTATTGTCGCCACTTTGCCTTCATACATATAAAAATAACATAGAAGATTTATCAATCATTAATGTTATTTTATATTATTAATATGTAATAATAAAAAATTAACATGTGATGTAACAAAGTGAAAGTGAATTTGTATGTTTTATCCTTCCAGTCATTTCTTAGATTCACAGTGATAGTTCCATCTAGGCATTTATGAACCACAAATCATGCTAGTCTTAAAATTACATACATACATAAAAAAATGTACAACTAATCTTTGTTAGACATTTCCATTCCATATGTACCTATTACCTACGCAAACGTATAATTCCTGTGCAAGTGCAAAATTATTACGACACAATTAAGGTTAAAAACAATATAATAGTTTCTTACTTTAACCATGGTTTCAATTGTAACAAGAATTGAGTGAGATCTTCATCTAAATAAGGCATTCGTGGTTGTCGTCCATGGTCACATATTACTCTATTGTCACGTGCTAAGTTTCTAAAAGAAATCCGTTTCCAGTCTAACAGTAACTCTTTGTTTAATCCATCCCAACCATGACGCTTATATGCATTTCTATGTCTAGTATAACCACCAAATAATTCGTCAGCTCCAGAACCAACAAGCAATATCTAAAAATGTTTTCAAAAATTAATAAATTATTATGTAGATTATTGAAGAGCTCCCTTTTCCATATTTTTTTAATAATTTAATTAGTAATTATAAATAAGTCAAATGTTAAATAATTGTGTCACTAAAGATTTATAATAGTAACTCCTTGATCACTTAGTATGTCTATAAAAAATTGCAAAATGGTATTCACAATAATTTGGAAAACCAACAAAAGAATTTATTTAGGTTTATATGCACATTCATTTGCCTTAATTCTATAAAAGCTGAAAAATTCTACCAAATTATAAACTCGAGAATTTTGGATAATTAAATGTTTGTTCTTTATATCACGCCATCATAATTGGATTTATGCATTAAGATCAAATTAGATAATGAGATACTTTTATCCTGGTAATTTTCCTTGGAATATTCATAGTAGGTATAGTTAATATAATTAATTAAGTAATTACCTACCCTACAAGGAGATGTACCATGATTATCTTCACCTTGAGCTGCAAACCATAATGCTGATCCAAGACTTTCATCCAAAATTGTTTGTCTAGGGTATACTAAGTCTGCTATTATTTCAGACTGATATTTTTGTAACTTGTTTCTTGGAACATTTATTTCTCTAAATATCCACTGTCTGAAATTTAATTATCAATCATTAAAGATTTAATTAGCCATATAATTAAAAATGTTTTATTATTAATACAATACATTACCTTGAATAGCACAATTTTCTTAATTCTTTCAGAGACTGCTTTCCTGTTAATCTGTCTGGTACATCATAACTAGTATTGGTACCATTTTCAAATGCAACATTAATGAGATCGATACTTTGATCTTTGGGTAAATATTTATCAGCTAAAAATGCTAATAATGTACAGTCTAGTCCACCAGAAAATAGAATACCTACAGAACAATGATTACAAGTAGATTTTTTTATTTGTAAACATTTTTGGCACATTTTAGGTTGACGTTGAACTCTGATTTTAACACTTCTTTCTAACAAGTGTGTTATTTTAAAAACGGTATTCTTTATCTCTACATTAGTCAATAGTTGTCGTAAGATACTTATTTTACATTTACCAGTTTCTTTACCAACATTTTCCATGAAGTCTATTAGATTTTCCTGTAAACAATTAGTCCTATGTATACTTCATTATATATCTAATAGAAAATTAACATTAATAAGCAGAAAGTGTAACCTTCTCAAAAATGTCTGATCTTTTATCATAATTGAATGTAAATTCTTCATCAGGTAAACTTTGTTGCTGTTGCACTGATGTCATCCATTCTCCCATATCAGTTTCATCAATGATCTCAAAGTCATCATTCCAGGAAATTGATTTTAGTCTGTTTGTTTTTATGTTTAAAACATAAATATATGTAGAAGGAACTTCAATACATTTATACTTTCTACCTAAAAGTTAAACTGATATATTATTTATTTCTTGCATATATCCACAATAATTTATTTAAACAAAAGAAGTTTATTCTTTTATTAGACAAAGTTTTATAAATATGTTCATGTGTGTTTCAGACATTGATTAAGATAGGTACTACAAGTATATAACTGTGCCACTGCTAAAATACTTGCAAATTTTTATATACAAACTCTGAATTGCTTTTTATTTAGTTAATTAGACCTTATCAAGAGTAAAAAATTTGCATAGAGGACATAAAGTTATAATGTATTTGAATCCATATCTCAGTCCCATAAGGTCCAGCCAGAAACATTTTGTTAACAATTGGCACTATGGTAGCAAATTATCTACAAATATTTTTACATAGGTAAACATTTCTATGAGAAATCCAAACAATAAATAATAATAAAGTGTATATTGGATTTTTATTTTATTGTACTTTTCATTGAATGTAAATTATGTGAACTTTTTTGAGACAATATTATTACTTACCTAAAACATTGCTAAAAACCAGTGAAGTGTCATTTTTATGTACCAACAAACTATTTCTTCCAATTCTATCTCTTGTGAAATATAGATTATGATTATATTTATCATAATAAATTATACTGAATGGTCCTTTTAGAGACTTCAACTGTGTGACTATATCCTTTGGAATATTCTGAAATTTTTTTTATTGAAAATCCATACTAGTATTATGTATATGAAAGAAAGTGTTAATTTGAATATTTCAACCCCCAAAGAAAAATGTTTCATTATTACTTTTTCAAATAAATCAATCTTTAGTTTAGGTCTACCTCTTTATACGAAACTTAGATAAATTCTAATGAAATATAAATTTAGTACTCTAGTATTGATGGATTATAATAATATAATATGTAGGAACTTACATTTGCCCTAGTTAATTTCGCAACAATCACTTCTGTATCATTCATGTTACCATCCCAAGATTCATCAAAAATATCTCCATTGTACAAAAATATACCACAATCATTTTCTACAGGTTGAGATACAAAATTTGGCCCTTGTGTCCACAGAACAGCTCCACAGAAAATCACTCTAATTCCATCGTCTAAATTAATTTCTTTTCGATGGATACAATTAGGCCCTCTGTTTTTAATACGCTGCAGTAATTGGTTATCCTGCGTAAGAAACGCGGTAGGGGTTATTGATTAAATATATCAAATATAATGAAATAAAATTAGATAATAATATATAAATAAAATTTTAATCGACTATATATTTTTTAGGTTAGAACATATTTTTCTTACTTCTAAAACACTATAATTAGAATAACATATTTCACAGATTATACCACACATAGTGAGTAAATCATTAAAACTATTTTAATTCTTTCGCCTATTAAATGAATTATGTAAAACAAAAGATTTTTTTTATAATTTTTTGCAAAGAGATTTATTGGTGTTCTTTTGAAGTTTTGATGTTTTGATTGATCATTTTATTTTCACAAGCCTATGGCACTTCGAATAAAAATCCTTTTGTATGAATTTTATGCGACCAGTTTATTGAATTTGAAAATTTTACACATTATAAATCCTATTCATACTGATATTTAGGTTGGATTATAAATCATATATAGTTATAATATACACTATAACAATAAGTTATGAATATTCGTTTATTTTATTATATCAATACCTTTAGATGGTTATATAGAAATATTTTCCAGTTTTTTTTTATATAAGAGTAGTGGTGACTGTTAAGTTTGTAGGTTAAGGTAATAATTTTGTTCTACGTTATATCTAATCATTATAATGACAGCTATTATCCTTAATCTATGAGCATAGCAATGTTACAGAGCATATTGACATTTTAATTTGACAATGACAAAAAAAAGAAAAAAGGCGGGAAACTCGAATAAGAACAAGCGGGTTTTTTAAATTTTTTTTATTAATTTATTAAAACTATCTCTATCAATTCTTATTATTGAATAAAATATTATATTTTCACTAAATTCAGCGACAGTAATATAATAAGCATTCATGGAGAAGCGCAGTTGTAGAAAAAGGAAAAAAAAAGATGACGATTCAGGTGATGTAGACCATGAACCTTGTAATGACAAGGATATATATTCGGAAGATACTTCTACTGACTCAGAATCTGAAATTGATAAGGCCGATAAGTATAAACCTTACTACGTCACAGATTATATTAGAAGATATCCCGAGGAATCCCCTGGGACAGAATTTGTTGTCTTTGTAGAATCCTCAGATAGTCAGAAAACCATTGGATCCAGAGACTTGCTCTCACTCTCCTCCTGTTTAAAACGATTTAATAAAGGGGTAACTTATCTTAGATCTATAAATAAATTCAAAATCGGAGTATACTTTCAAAAGCCAGACTTAGCCAATGCTTTTTTAAATAATAAAACTTTTTTAAATGACTACCATTTTAAGGCCAGTATTCCTGCTTCTTCAACAGAAGTTACAGGCGTTATTAGAAATGTACCTACAAATATATCTAATAAAAAAATATATACTATGATATCGAGTTCTAAGAAAATTATTGCTATTAAAAGAATTTTAAGAAAAAATACCTTGACTCATGGATATGTGTTACAGCCAACTCTAACCGTGACAATTACTTTTGCTGCATCTGTATTACCTGAATATCTGGATATTGGAGGTTGGCGCCACAATGTCACTCCATATATACCACCAGTTAAACAATGCTACCGGTGCTTGAGGTATGGACATTTAGCTAAATTCTGTAAGAATTCTGAGCGTTGCAGCATCTGCAAAGGTGAGCATAATTATAAAACTTGTACAACTGGAATGGAAAACGCTATTTGTGTACACTGCAATGGAAATCACACAAGTGTATCACCGCAATGCCCTGTTAAACAAAAGAAAATTGCTGAAAATAGATCTAAATTCAGACCTGCTTCTTTTGGAGATATACTTAGCACTGAAATATTTCCTAAACTGGGTAACAAACCTAAAAAAAATGTAGACCTAATTTCAATTCTAAATTCTGATAACAAGAGTTTATCACTTTTAATAGAAAGCATAATCAAACTTATTTCACTACATAACACAAAGAACACATCTATTAACACTAAAAGTGTTTTGAATGTGTTATATGATACTTTTGGTAATAGACCTATTTCACAAAATTCAATCGAGACCAATTAACTATCATACAGTGGAACGCTCAGAGCCTACTGAGCAATCGACATATTTTTACACAATTTTTAAATGAACATCATATTCACATTGCTCTCATCTCAGAAACTTGGCTAAAACCACATTACAAATTAAAAATTAAAGATTATTGTATAGAACGAAATGATTGTGGTAATAACCACAATGGAGTAGCGATTATTATACATAATAGTATTAGATATAAAAAACTTCACTCTTTTTTCGACAATTCTTTGCAAACTATAGCTATTAGTATTGAAGTTAATAATTCTTGGTATTCAGTTGCCAGTATTTACTGTCCTACCAATAGTACACCTAGTTTTACTAAAGCCAAATTTAAGTTCTTTTTGGAGTCTCTTCCTAAACCCACTATCATATCTGGAGATTTAAATGCACATCATACTATGTGGGGTTGTACCTCCACTAATACAAGAGGTAAAGACATTCTTGATTGTTTAGATGAATGTAATTTGGTACTATTAAATGATAAGCAAGTTACTACTGTTGGCTCTCATATTTGGAGACCCAATGGCCTTGATTTAACTATGGTATCCCCATCCATATCATTAAAATGCGAGTGGTCGGTTCATGATGATCCGTTAGGAAGTTATCACCTGCCGACTTTTACTAAAATAAACACAAAGAACTCTTCATCAACTCCGTCAGGTGAACAACATGCTCCTATAGATGAAGTTAATAAACTTTTGTTAAATCGTATAAACCTACGTCTCGTTAATTGGGATCTTTATTCTGAAACTGTTAATCGATTACTTTTGGATTTCGAGTATGATGTCAATGAACCCTTAAACAATTACAATAGGTTCTGTAAAATTATTTTGACAGCTGTGGAACGTTCCGTTCCACGTAGGAACTTATCAAATAGCGGTGCAAATACTTCAAAGAGGCACAAACATATTGCAGTACCTTGGTGGAATAACAGGTGTGCGACAGCTGTCAATGATAGTAAAGCGGCTTACCTTAGGTTTAAACAAAATCCAACTCTCGATAATTACATAAATTTTAAAAGAGTTCAAGCTGTTAAAAAGTTAGTAATTAAGCAAGTAAGACAACAGGGGTGGCAGGAATTTTGTTCCAAATTTAATAGATTAACACCAATTTCCACTGTTTGGCAAAATATGAGAAAACTAAATTCAAAACATCGTCAAAATCATTTTAAAGATATATCATGGGTCAATGATTTTTTACGCAAATATACTCCTGATTTTGTACACTCATCTTTTGATGACAAACAGTTTAATTCTGTTAATTCATGCCCAAAATTTCTCACTGACCCATTCTCAATTGATGAAATATCCAGTGCAGTAAAATCTAGAAAAGATACAGCTAGTGGCCTTGATCGCTTAACATACAATATGTTTCGATTGCTGAATAAAATAAACCTTACTAAACTCTTACAAATTTTTAACGATTTATGGAAGGACTGTATTATCCCACCAGAATGGAAAATGGATTGTTTGATTCCAGTAATTAAACCCGGTAAAGATCCTACAAATTTCGACTCCTATAGACCTATAACATTGACGTCCTGTGCAGGCAAATTATTCGAACAATTAATTAAACAGCGTTTAGAGTTCTTTATTGAAAGTAATAGTATATTACCATCGAATCAATTTGGTTTTCGCCGTGGATATTCAGCGCGCGAAAGTTTAGCGAACTTCTATGTCGACCTTAGTACTGCTTTGAATAACGATGAATATGTTCTATCTGTTTTTTTAGATGTCGTAGGAGCTTTTAACAATGTAAATTTAACAGTTCTATCTTCGATTTTATCCTCATTTCTTCCAATGAAACTTATCGAATGGATTTATAATTTTCTTAGTAATAGAGAAGTGTATGTTAAAGTAAATAGTAAATTAATAGGACCTAGGTTAAGCTCTAAAGGAGTATGTCAAGGTGGTATTCTAAGCCCGCTACTATATATTTTATATATCTATAAACTTAATTCAATTTTAGGAAACAGTGTGAACAACTTGCAATTTGCCGATGATTTATTAATTTATATAAAAGGAAAGAATATTATTGATATGCAATTAGTGTTAAATGAGTCATTAAAAAGACTTGAGAAATATTTTTCTCTTCTTTCCCTCGATATTAGTTTAACCAAAAGTAAAGTAGTTGTTTTTCATCAAGTTCATAAATATGTTCCATTAATGAATATTATATATAATAATCAAACTCTTCCAACAGACTGTAGCGTTAAATTTCTGGGGGTAATTTTTCATCAAAATTTAAAATGGGATCTATACGTTGATTGCTTAGTAGATCGTGCTTTAAGAGCCACTAATATAATAAGATCTGTAATTGGTCGTAACTGGGGAGCTGATCCTAAAATTATCCTTTTACTTTACAAATCTCTTGTTAGAAGTAATTTTGATTACGCTTTCTTTTGTTATGCCTCAGAACATAAATTAGTAGAAAAACTCGAAAAAATTCAAAATATGAATTTAAGACTTATTTTAGGTGCTATGTATACTTCTCCAATTATCTCAATGCAAGTAGAATGTAATTTGCCTCCTATCCTTCTTCGTTTCGAATACCTAAAACTCAAATTTCTCTTCAAAGTTTTTTCAGTTTCCAATAACCCACTCATACTCAAATTATTAAATTGCCCCATTTCTATGTTTTTGAATAAAACTATTGTCAATGATTTGAATTTACGAGATGAATATAACATCTATAGTAGTAAGATACTTCCTTGTTATAATGGCCTTTATGAGAGTAAGTTCTGTAAGATCAAAATTGTTATACGTAAAGACATAAAAGAAAAGCACGATATGTATGAGACTTTATCAGAATTTATTGACTACAGGCAGATATATACAGATGGTTCCAAAAATGCACTTAGCACTTCAGTGGCTTTTTACGATTTGTCAAATAGATTTGGTCACGGTTATAAAATTTCAACTTTGGCTAGTATTTACACAGCAGAAGCAAAAGCTATATTTTTAGCATTAGAATACATAGAAAAACAGGTACTATATTCGAAATGGATTATAATTACAGATAGTATGAGTGTTCTTATGGCATTAAAAAATAACACATTCATTTCATCATCAAACTACTTAATTCAAGAAATTCGTAATAAATATTATCATCTCTGTACTATATATGGAAAAGATATTATCTTCATCTGGACCCCTTCACATATTGGAGTGTTTGGGAATGAACAAGTAGACACTTTGGCTAAAATTATTAATTCAAGTGCTGCTCGTGTTCAAGATTTACCCCTTTGTTATTCAGATTGTAGTATTGGAATACATAAAATCGTTACAACTAAATGGGAGGAGCATTGGACTCAAATATTACAGACTAAAGGCAAATGGTACCGCAAAATTAATTGGCGTATTGGAAAACCGTGGTTCTGCAAAGGAAAGGACACAAACAGAAAATTTTACACCAATATTTGTAGATTACGAATCGGCCACGGACATTTCAACGAACACCTGCACCGAATGGGCATGATCGCTTCCCCATCATGCACATGGTGTAACTCAAATACAGCCCAATCTCTACATCACCTTTTTTTTGATTGCTCTGAATTTGTCATTCAAAGACACATTATGTTTGACGAACTTAGGATTATCTTCAAAAAACCCGAAAATATCCCGCACTCAATCCCGCTTCTCTTAAGATTTCCTTCTTGTTTCAAAGCTATTTTCACTTATATTACTACAACATTCAAGGAGCTATAAGAATACTTTTATTGAATTGCAAGACAATGATTTTTTATAATTATTTATTTTTAATTTGATAAATCCACTGGTTTAAGAAAACTCAAGAAAAGATATTTATGAAAATGTACTTACCGGATTTGACAAATGAAATATTGAAGATTATGACAATAATTGAAGCGACATTAGAAAAATAAAATTCCAGACAAATTATCTTTTTGAAGACTAGGCAGCATGGTTTCCGACCTTAGCCTGTTCCAAACGGAACAAACGTACTAAAAAAAAAAAAAAAATGTGTTGAATCCTTGTTATTTTTGTAATTTTTCATGTTGTAAAAATTTCTTTACCTATATTTTAATATTAAATAAAACAGTTTTGTATATGTCACCATAAAATGTTTAATCAAATATTAACAAAACTAGATTAACATTTGTAGAAAAAATCATAAGATACTGTAGCACAATGGCTTCAATAGAAAAGGAAGGGGATGGTGATGAAAAAGTCATGGAAAATACATCAGAAAATACAGAGGAAAATGAGAAAGCAGCTTTTTATGAGTATATAAATAGCTTAGAAGCTCGAATTAAACAGAAAACTGAGACGCGCAATCAAAATCTTAACTGTGTACGTCCTCCAGACAACCACTTTTCGAAACTTGATTCAGGCCTCAAAAAGAACACGACATTTGTCAAGAAATTGAAATCGTTTAGTGCTACACAAATGGATGCACTACTTAAGGATTTTAGTGTGTTAAATTTAACCAAGTATATCTCGGAAGTTGCAGCTGCTATAGCAGAAGCCAAACTTAAGATGTCAGATATTCCAGCAGCAATAAATTTATGTTCTGCTCTTCACCGAACATATGCAGATTTTTCTACAAATTTCTTTGAAAACTGGCAAAAAATATTGACTTTTAAAGCTACTGATAAAATTACAAATTCATCAAAACTGCGTGTAGATATAAGATTCTATGCAGAATTAGTTGCAGTGGGTATTTTTGCCAACAAGACAGGTTTACCATTATTGGGCAATGTGCTAACTGTTCTCATCAATATGGATAAAGAAGATCACAACAATATACCAATTCTACTGTCATTTTGTAAACATTGTGGTGAAGATTATGCAGGCTTAATGCCTAAGAAAATAAGGGATGCTGCAGAGGTAAATAAATTTACTTCTTACTAATATTATAAAGTGAATTTAAAATAATAATAATATTTAATGCTTAATCATTATACATCTATTACATATTTTCATACAACAAATTATTTCAATTTGAAACAAACAAGTCAATACATTTGAAATATTACTTTTGTAAATTTTAATTTAATTAGCATTTGCATGTATATACATTATAGATGTTTTAAAATGGCTTGTGGCTTGAGTAAAAAAGGGAACAGTATTTTTGTAACATTACAGAAATAGTTGGATTATTTATAAATATTTTTTTACATGGAATGTCCATGTCCATGTGTAACACTTTTTAAGAAAACAATTTAATTTTATGAAAATTAATTGTAACCAGTACTAAAATATAGCCTGTAGTATGTTTGTGACAAATTAAATGTAGATTTGAAATGAGCAACCTAGAATTGGTAAACGACAGTCATAAATTTTCATCCAACAACAAAAAGTAATTTTATTCTCTTATATTATTTTTAACTAGCTGCATTCCATGGCTTCACTTATATAAAATATCTGTTAAATTAGCATATAATCTGCCTATGTACTAAATTTCATTTAAATTCATTCAGCCATTTAAATGTTATTGAGTAATAAACATTCAAACATCTTTACAAACTATACATAACATGTTGTTAATAAATATTACAGAAATACAATGTCACAGTTCCGAGAAACACTTTCCTGCCAGCTGAAAAACAAACAGTGGTAAGGACACTACTGAAGGATTACTTCTTGTCGCTAACTAAACATCTGTTGGCTGAAAGGGCTCAGTTACAAGCTCTTCATGCTGCCAACCAACGTACTCTCCATACTAGGGGTGAACTGTCTCAGGAGAGGAAGGATCAATTGGAATTACATCAGGTGCATACATTATTTTTTTTTATACAACTTAGTATGACAATCAAGCTGAGGGCCCACCTGATGGAAAGTGGTAACCGTTGCCTGTAGACATGAGCAGTACCATGGACATAACAGAGTATACTGTTTCACTCATGATACTCCCCATGCATTACAATTCCTGAGGACTCAGATGGTTTTTCTCTATACCCTGTAAATTCACACCATATCCCACCCTTTAAACAGAAACACAGCCATGCAAACACAACTGCTTCACGGCAGAAACATGAATGAGACAGAGGTACCCAAGTAATCAACTTTTGTACAAAGTCTCCCTCTGATAAATTATTTACATTACTACTTTTTATCTACATTATATTTTTTATATGTGCCTTTATGTTTCACTAATGATATTAAGAAGATGCCAGAAATAGATGGTTGCAAAAAAACCTCTTCTTTATTCACTTCACTCATGGTGATTGCCCTATAACCAGCAGTTTTTTTTAATGGAAACCCTGCCTGCACTAATGATATACACTGGTGGGGCGCCAGTGAGAGATGATAGGTGAGAATGAAAAGGCAGGTCAGTTAGCCCATTGTGATGAATACATCTGGAATTCAGCATGATGGTTTGCAAGGGGATCACATGGAGGTCAACCTGACAGGGTATATTGCTAGTAATTGGAATGGTAATATGCATTACTAACAATCACTTCCCCCCCATATACAACAGAGTTGAAAACTTTATAGTCAAATGATAGGTGTTCCATTCAATATGACAATGAAGTTTGTATTTAAATAGGAATATTTATTTTTGGAAAAATTAAATACATTACAAAATTTCACTACATGTACTACTACTGTAAAAGACTTTTACATTAGGCAAAATTATTTTTTGTGTTATTGATTAAGTAGCATGTAAAATGTAAAAGTTGTATGTGAACCTTATTAAATAAATAAATAAAAATAAATACATGGTTTTTTTGTACATTATTTTGTAATATACAGAAACTGTATAAAACTATTTCTTTTCTCTTCTGTGGGGGAAAATTGCCCAAATATTTGGCAAAAACATTTAAGCAGTAAACATTTGTAGTACTCACATATTAACTCTACTGTATAGTAGTATCCCAAATTATAAATATTATCTTATTGAAAATTAATTGAAAATGCGTGTAAGTAAACCAGTTCTGAATTTCAGGCTACATATGACAAATTATTGATTGGTGCACAAAACTTTGCTGAAGTGCTCGGAGAGGAATTGGGTGAAGCTGGTGAACCCCCAACACTGTCCATGGTGGTAACGGAAACACAAGGCACAGTGAGCATAGGAGGCAATGAGGAGTTCCCCATGCAAGCTGGTACTGACCCATGGCAAGATGAGGATACCAGAACTTTCTACACCAGCTTACCTGATTTGAAAGTGTTTATGCCCAATTATCAACCTAAAGAGGTATTTATAATATTTTGTAGTAAAGTTAGAATAGTTGAGATAAATTTTTAACCATTGCAACATATATTTTAAACCTGAGTGCTTTTGCATATGTGTGACATATGTTTTGCGGTAACTAGCCAGGAAAGTAGAATGATATAACCCTGAGTCACTACTTATATAAAATATGGACTACCCATATGGATAGATAGCTATCACCAACATTTTTTTTTTTAAATATAAGTAAATTTTGTTATTTTTTTATAGATAAACAAGTTGAAGTTTAGAATTTTAATAGGTAATATAATTTGTACATATCTTTTTGCTATATTATATGCTTACTAAAGGCTTCAGTTTCAACGCTTAGGAAATATTAAAATATTTATAAAAGTATTCATGAGAACATTTTGGAAAATTCATTTATGCATAAAGATTCACGAAATTTAACATAGACGATTGCCAACAAATATTTGCAATTCTATGCAAGTTAAGCAAAATGCTTTGATCATAAAAAAAGTATAAAATTGTATCAGGCTCTGTATAGCCCAGAAAGTGTAGAGGGAGTCTGGTAACGATCTCTCTAAAGTATTGTTTAGTAATCATTCACTCTGACTCGTTCGTTCGAGCTCTCTCGCTCCCGCTTCTCAGCACGTATAACACGTCGTCACTTTATATATAATTTAAAATAATAAATATTCAATAATACCAAGTGCCTTTGGACTTTACATCCACTACAACCTGTATACCATAGTAAGGTATATAAATACTATACAAGTATTATAAGTATAGCAGTAATAAAACTGGAAGAAATCTCTTTTAGAGATAAGTTCGCCTTTGTTAATATTGTTATTAACTTATTATTGTATGTTTTAGTGCAATAAAGAATTTAAATCAGAGAGAAATAAATTATTTATTTATTTATATGTGTATTTAGCATATGTTGTTTTTTTTAATGGATGTTATTAGAATAGTAACCCCACTTGCAACAACACTATATACTGGCCGCGCACCAGTGAGGGATAATAGGAGAGAATGAAAAGGCAGATCAGTTAGCCCATAACGAGCACATCTGGAATTTAGCATGGTTGTTTCCATGGGGGATCACATGTAGGTCGAACTGACAGGGTGTATTGCTAACAATGGAACTGGTAGTCCCTATTACTAAAAAAATTTCCCCCGCAGCATAGGTTGGTTTGCAAATATATAAAACTATCATTAACTATTACAATTCTTATATAATTTATTAATTTAAATTTCGAACATATTTTAGACGGTTAAGAGTAAAGCTGAGACAGTAACAGAGGAGATGTTAGATGAAGATTTAAAGGAGGATGATCTAAGTGACAGTGAGGAACCACCTACGGCGACGGATGTGGAACAAGAGGAGACTCAACCCTCAAACATTTCCAATAAGTATGTAATTTATATAAAATCACTTGTATTAATTGGTTAATTTAAACATGTTTCAGGAATTTGAATTTAATACAACTCTTCTTTGTTTTCTAGTACAAAATTAATATGAGTATTATGTAATAATTGTACACTACATTATTTATTGTATCTAAAAAAAAATTATTATTTTAGGCTGCATACATACCTGAAACATTATATCTGAAAATAACCAATGCCAAATATGGCTATAGAAGTAGTTTATTATCAAAGTTTACATAGCTTTCAGTAAAATAGTTATATAATTTTTAATATTAGTCTTTTATTTTAAAGATTTATGTAAATTTTTTAACAACATCTATACATATATAGTGTAACGACAATTTTATGAACTTACTGTGTTTGTCGTTTCGGACTTCCGGATGAAGTGGAAACAATTGTCGGATAAGATAAATTTTGTAAGTTCATAAAATTTCTATTACATTTACTTTACTGTTTATTTCAGATATGCTCTTGATGCATTTTTAAATGAATTGCCAAATTGTATAAATAGAGAATTAATAGACAATGCTGCTGTAGATTTTGTCTTGAATCTTAATACAAAGAATAACCGTAAAAAGTTGACGAGGGTTTTGTTCAGTGTTGCCCGAACTAGACTAGATTTGCTACCATTTTACTCAAGATTTGCAGCAATATTATATCCAGTGCTGCCAGATGTTTGTATGGATCTGTGTCAAATGCTCAAACAGGATTTCAAATATCATGTCAGGAAAAAGGATCAGATCAACATTGAATCTAAAGTAAGTCTAAAGTTAGGCCTATATTTAGCGAAACTAACGCCGTGTAAGACTAGCTGCAAAAGCACAGATAAACTCACGCGATTGAGATGCTTTATGAGCCTTAATACAATCAGCATACAAGAGGAAATATATCTAAACAGTTAACTAAAATTCACAGTCAAACGACCTTAATCAATTAATAATTTTAAATCAAGGCATGACTTTCGTGGTAATTAATATCCACGTGCAAAACTATATTTTACTTGTAGAGTAGTAACAATTGTTTCTATTATGTTTCAGTCATATTCTATAACTTAAGAATCAATAATTTATTTACATATTTCATATTTCCAACAGATTTTTATAGATTTTTTAAATGTGTGATGATCTTTATTGTCTTTTTAGATAAAAGTAGTTAGGTTTATTGGAGAACTAGTAAAATTTGGACTATATTCAAAGATGGAGGCATTGTATTGTGTTAAAGTACTGTTACACGACTTCAAACATCACCACATTGAGATGGCATGCAATCTTCTGGAGACATGCGGCAGATATCTGTACTGTAATCCAGACACACATCAGCGCACCATGATATATCTCCAACAAATGATGAGGAAAAAGGTTTGGACATTATTATGTTTATAAAGTTAGAATATTGCTGTTTCATTTGGATTTTTTTTTGTGCAGCTTGTTGGTTGTAAGAACATAAATAAAAACTGAAGTAAATTATAAGATTTATTATGAATTAATGCAACAGTCAAATGAGTAAAAGTTTAAATTAAAATTTATATGAATTAAAAATAATTTTAATATTTATGTATGTATCTTATTATTAAATAAGATATTTAAATTAAAATCTTCATTCAAATTATATCGTCGTAGTCGTAGAATACTGACGGATCCTTATATGTAATCTTTGTAAGATCCGTCGGTATTCTACGACTATGACGATATATCTGTAGTTTGTATTACATTTCAAATTGTTTTATTCTCAATTGCAAAATGTTTTCAGACGGTTTCAGCTCTTGATTCCCGCTATGTCACGCAAATTGAGAACGCGTTTTACTATGTCTGTCCTCCTGAGACTCCGGCGCAGCCAAAAGAAGAAGAACCGCCTATGCATCAGTTCATTAGGAAAATTCTTCATGAAGATTTACAAAAGAGTAATGAAGAAAAAATTTTAAGATTGATGCGAAAATTAAATTGGGAAGATCCGGAGATTTTGGCGGTTGCTATACAACACTTAGCTGGCGGGTGGAGAGTTAGAGCAAGCGCCAGGCGAGCCCTTGCTCGTCTCACGGCTGAGTTGGCAGCATGGCAAGAGACTGTGGCCCCAGCCGTTGTTGACACAATTATTGAAGAAATACGTGTCACGATGGAAGACCCACATCCTCGATACAACCAGAGAAGAATAGCTACTGTAAGGTATCTTGGAGAATTATATAATTACAAGTTATTAGACTCCCGCGATGTATTCACGGTGTTATATTCTTTTATTACTTTTGGTGTAACAAACGACCATAGTAATATATCCCCTCTAGATCCGCCAGAGAATGTATTCAGAATAAGACTTGTTTGCGCGCTGCTCGAAACTTGCGGCGCGTATTTCAATAGTGGTTCCAGTAAAAAAAAACTTGATTATTTTATAATCTTCTTCCAAAATTATTTTTGGTTCAAATGTACTGATCCATGTTGGACAGATGAAAACAAATTCCCTATTTATGTAAAGTACATATATCAAGAATGTTTAACAACATTAAGGCCGAAATTGACACTGTATACGAGTTGGCAGCAATGTAAAGATGCCATTGAAGAATTACGGCAAACTCTTTACCCAGAATTAGGTGAAGAAGACCAATATGACAATGAGGATCAAGGAGATGATAGTGTTAATGATGGACTAGATACCATTATAGAGACAGATGATGAAACAGATAATCCTCAGCTACCAGAAGAAAGTTCAGATGACGAAGCAATAACAGAAAATTTGGGCAATGATGACAATGAAGTTCAGAATGACGAAATGAGCATTGAACCAAGGAGACCAGCTCCTAAACCAGTGAGTATTAGAAATTTAATTATAATTGTGTAAATACTTTTGTGAATAAAAAACATTAATTTTATTATTATTTTAGGTTGAAGACTTAGAATTTGAATCAGCATTTGAGAAAATGGTTATGGAAAATATAGCAGAAAGACAAAGAGAAAGTAGACCACAGCAAAGAGATATTGCAGTTCCAATGACATGTCGTCAAACTACTAAGAAAACTTACGAACAGCTACTGGTATGTACTTAGTATTTTCATCTAATTAAATATATATTTGACTAGTGATTCGGTCCGGCTTCGCATAGGTAGATAGAATTTTTGTAAATAATATGTAGGTTACTCAATGTAGCATTCTATAGATGAAAGTATTTTCAAAATCAGTTGAGCAGTTTTTGAGTTGTAGACATAGACTTAGTATAACATACTACTATAATATAATAACATAGTATACTCTAAGATGGTAGAGTTCACTATTTCATTCTAACATTGACTGACTGACAGATAACATATTACTTAAATGGTTATGTTTAAAAGCTTTTAAAATGATGGACATACTCTTTTCTTACAATTTTTGAAATATTTTATTTTATTTCAACATTGTCCTGACAATTACAAATATAACAAAAAAAAAATAGTCAAATAGATATAGTCGTTATATGTATAGGAGGACAATGAGAAACTATTGACAAAGGAAAAATGGTAAATATTAACTACAAAAATAAAAAAATACACATTAGATTCTATTGTTTGTTTATAATATGTATATTTCTTTCTACAGCAGGGTAAAGAGGGGGTGGAATTTGTATTAATGGTGAGAAAAGGCACAAAACCACAATACAAATCATTCAATGCGCCACCAGAACTAGCCAGCAATTTGCAACAGCAGGCCCTTGCTGATAAACAAGAAATGGAAAGAGTAAAAAGGTGAATTATTATTATTATTAGTCATTACCTGAAAAATAAAGTAATAAATATAGGGTGTTTCAATGTATATTATATTGATTCTTATTGTTTTGTAACACTGGCACTAGTCTGATATCAACCTCTCTCACAAGTTTATCACACTTTCTTAAATATTATTGGCTCACAATGTAGAATTTTAATTACTTAATTATCAGATTTTATATATAATTCAGAATATTTATCTAAGAATAATTTATTGAGACTTAGAGATTTCATATGTCATTGAGACTTTATGTTTTCAGACTGACCCTTAATATATCTGAGAGACAGGAAGAAGAAGAATATAGTGCTGAAAGTGGAGGTGGCTCAGGAGGCAGTGGAAACCCTAATCGTGGTCAGCATGTTCGTCAAAAATACCAACATCCCAAAGGAGCCCCAGATGCGGATCTTATATTTGGACCCAAAAAATTTAAATAAAATAGATATTAATATTTTTTTATGGAAAATTTGTTTATGGTAGTTGCAAAGTAATATACTTTTATAACAGATCAGTTAACCTATCATGATGAATTCATCAAGAATTAACCATGATAGTTTCCAGGGGGAACTGTGTGGAAGTCGACCTGGTTAGGTATATTGCTAGCAATGGGATTCTTAATTCCCATTACTTGTTAGTAATGGGAATTAAGAATCCCATTGCTCCCAAGTGGTATATTAAAAAATATATATTTTGTGTTTTTTAACACTCACATTTTATTATATTTGTATAATTGCATTAATAAAATATTTATAAGATTGTATTTATTTTTTCTTGCTTATTGTACAAGATAATGATAGACATCGCTGATTAGTCTATTGTCATTATTTAAACCAATAATGATAATCACAGTTTGTGGGTAACAATTACTTACTCAAGGCAAAAGAATAAAATTGTTTGTTGGAAAATGGATTCAGCTCTCGATTCTTGTTGATTTATCTATTATACTTGCGACTTCAGGTTTCAAGTAGACAGTTGCTTTAGACAATTTACATGCCTAGATTTGTTTTTTTTAATGAGTTAAAATAAAATAACCCCGCCTATGCTATCGGTATACATTAGCGAGGTATGATAAGTGATTATGAAGCAGGTTAGTTGGCCCATTCATTTTTTTATTGGATGACAATGGAAACCTGCCCGCGTTAACGGTAAATACTGGCGGGGAACCTGTGAGGGATGAAAGCAGGTCTGTTAGCCTATCGGAATACACCAATTCAGCACGATGGTTTCGACCGACCTGGTAGCAATAGGGCTCTTAGCCTCCAATACTAACAATACCTTCCCTCCTTAGTTGACCCATTGCGACGAATTCAACAATAAATTAACCATGGTTTCAAAATGGAACCGCCAGCAGATCAATCTGGTATAATACTAACAATACGGTAATTGGACTTTATTACTATAAATCCCTTTTCCCTTGCCTTGGTTTGGGTCTTAGGTGTACCACCCTTAGATTTAGAAGTACGTTATACAAAGTTTGTGGTCCACCTTATCTCTATGTAGTCTGTGCCTAACTTTAATGAGTGTTACAGTTACGAGATAGAATACAAATGGTACAATTTTCTCATCATGTATAAGTCGTTTTACCAGGTGACTTATACATGATGAGAAAATGATATTTTCTTGTACCGCATGTAAAAAAAAAGAGAGTTGCTTCGTCTCTGTCATGTTTGAATCAAGCTGAAACCGTCATCTTTATCTACCAACAAACATATTATCATTATGTCTATGTCTTTACTACCTTACTTGTTCCCTTAATTGATTTCTTATTGGTAAAATTAGTTACATATTTTTATAATGTAGATAATATAATAAATTGAAAATTCGTATTTCACCTGTGCTTTTAACTATTTACCCATTCAAGATTTCAAATTTCTGTTAAAGTATCTACTAGATATCTCGAATCTATGTCTCAAGTTTGGTCTCAAGTTAAGAACCCGAAATGTTAGGTATTGTCGGGTTATTTGAAGTTCGCTGTCGATTTGACTGTCAGTCTCTTTATGGAAATGTCAAACAAAACATTTTAGTCTGTAGTCAAAACTCAAAAATTGTATGCTTCTGTTTGATGTTGCTATTTTTTATTGTTAAATTATTAGTCTGTTGCCAATTTAAAAAATATATATGTAAATCTTCGCTTTACCGGTTTTAATTTTCGGTGTATTATTATAGTGTAAACCAATTCACATGTAATATTTATCGTTGATATTGTATCCGGAAGCTTGTATTTATGTAAATGCAATAATATTTTAAATCATAAATTAGAACTATTCGGTGAATATAACCTTTAAGTCAGTATGGCCGATGAAGATTTCAGCAAATTATTACAGCAAGCAGAGCAATTAACTACTGAAATTGAAGGCAATGAAGAGTTGCCTAGAGTTGAACGATCCTTGGGACAAGTGTTAGAAGCATCACAGGAACTTTATTCAAGGGTTATTCAATCTGGCGCCAATGACATACAAGCGTATGTGTATTTATGTTTTATTTTATTATTTAAGAAAAAAGTTCTAATCATTAGGTTATATACTTTGTTTTAATATATTTATTTCAGGCATCTTTTATTTGGGTCAAAAGGTATTGATCTTCAGCAAATATCACAGAAATTGGAGACACTTAGCTCAAAACGAACATTTGAGCCATTACAACCCATCGCTGATTCTGATATAGAAAGTTTTTTGAGGAATGAAAGGGAAAATGCTATTTTGTCACTTATTGATGAGGTGAATAAAAATGTGAGTGTAACCTTTTATCTTTTATTTAAAGTCTGAGACTGAAACTGATTGTCAGAGAATGCATAAACTTGTAAATCTGAACTTTAGAGAAAAGGCCTTTAATGGAGCCATAATATAAAGAATAGTTAAAGAGATAAAAGTTTTATAACAAATTATACTTATTATACTAAAGCTTTAACTGCTACAAATAAATATTTTTAAGTTTTCATATCATATAGCATTAATAATGTCCTGTTTATTTAGAGTGTGGTCACTTTTTTTTGATAGCTTTTATTGTGACACATTATTGGATATATAGAAAACTAGATTTAGTCAATACCAAACTCCTGTACTGAGAACAGTGGCCACTGATCAAAATAGTATACACAAAAGTTTATTAGTTATTTCTAGTACTAGACAACTATTAGACTGTATTTTTTATTGTATATATGCATAATACCCAGATATAAAATACAGACAGACAACTATGAAAATATAAGTTTATATTGTATAGGGATTAAAATCACAACCATTTGAAATGAAAAGTGTGTTAAATAGCTATATCAAATTATGTAACTTACTCGTCTTTTATTTTTAAGTCTCTACAAACAACAGAAGATCAAAAATGGGAACACATGCAGTCACAGTGGAACAGAGAGAAAATCAAACTTATGAATGCAATGATAGGTCCATCGCAGAATTGGCTGGATCTAAAACGTACTCCAGAACCACCAAGCATAATTGATGCTCCAAAGAAGTTTGGTCACTCAATGCTTGACAATATTGAGGCTGCGTATGCCAGACAAGTCCACCAGTATAATAAGTTGGTATTTCAAGGATCAAAGTCAAGAACTGCATTGCATCAAAAATTTGCACAAGTTGCTGAAGAATTTAATGATCCTGTAAGTTAAACATCTAAGATACAATAAGAATACTGCTTTAAATAAAACAGTACTATTTAGGATTTCAATCTGCTTAAATATGAAAAAGAAATTAGTTTGGATTGAGAAAAGATGTTTTTGTCAAAATAATTTGAGAACTAACATCTTTTAAAATAACAGATATAAAGAATATAATATCATTAATTTTTCCTAATTTTTTCAGAAAGTGAAAGAGATGTGGGAAATTATTAAAACAATGGCCAATATACCCGCCTTGGTAAGGGATGAAGATCCTCTTAAGGCCAGAGGTAATGAAACTATACAACAATGCCTCATTGCACAAGGGAAAAGCTATTTAGAGAAAAGGTATTTACAAGTATATTTAATAGAGGAAAAATGTTTAGTGATAGATCAATAAGATTGATGCAATCTGGAACTGCTTATGATATTCTATAAGCTTTACAAATTCTGAAGATTGACGTGAAGTGTCTCTTATATTAAAAATAGTATTAATTTATATCTAATTTTGTTTTGTCTCACAGATATAAACAATACATGAGTGATGTAGTGAGGTCTAACCCTGCCGCCGCCATGCGAGGGGGTGAACCAGGCACATATCCATTGGTGAGAGGCTTTGTGGGACTGCGGCTTCACGGTCAAAGTGTCCAGGGGCTGACAGATGGAGTCATTGATGACCGCCCACTCTGGCCTATGGTATACTATTGTCTTAGAAGTGGTGATGCTACTGCTGCATTGCATTGCTTACGTAAAGCAGGGTAAGTTTATAAAAAATATGTAATTTGAGAAATATAAACAATATTATGTAATCAATCAAGATGAGGACAAGAGTTAATTGTAAAAAACATGAACATGGCATGTATTGTTTTAATTCTATAAAGCATGTTTGGATCATAACATGAGGTCAAAATAATGGAAAGATCTTTCTAATTCTAACAATAAACTGTTACTTTTATATGTCTGTTTTTCTAAAGTTAATAGTTTTGTGATAGATTGTGATTTGTAAATATATTTTATTGTCCAGCAAAACTATTGAAATATATTATTATATTTTATCATTATATGTAATATGACCCAAAATACTTATAATTTGTCCATTAAAATAAAAAAGTAATATAACATAATTGTGTTCCCAAGCAACTAACAACTAGGTATACACATTTATCCTGAACAGTATTGTAATTTATTTGATAATAATTAATTTTAGCCGTGATCACGAAGAGTTTATGTCGGCCCTAGAAGAACATATTAGAAACCCTGAGAAGCCACTAAGTGATAAGTTACAAACAGCAATCAATTTCCAATACAGAATACAAGTGCGAAACTCGACAGACCCATATAAAAGAGCTGTAAGTGTATTCTTACGTTTTCATTCTTTTTAGTCTTTTGTGCAAAAAAAGATTTTTTATACTACCTGTTTGAAAGTTTTAATTACCATATAATAAATACGAGATACTATATTGAGAGTGCATATTTCTGATGCAATCCTGAGGACAGGTGTCAAGCTTCTATAAGTGACAATGAATAAATATATAATAAACAAATAAAGTACAGAAAGGACAAAAATATGCAGGTGGGAAATGAAGTTGTTAGTTACTAAAACTGAGAATCTACTTGAACTATAAAATTCATTAAAAGAAAAATTTTGTTAAAAAATAACAATACATCTTGAATTATGTTAAAACTTTTTTGTTGTTTTTCGACCAATATTTCTTTTGTGAAAATGTATGTTAACAATTTCGATTTCATTTTGTAGTACTTTTCAATATATTAATATTGATTTTTCTTCAGGTTTATTGCGTGATAGGTTGCTGCGATATCAGTGATGAGCATACAGAGGTGGCGCGTACGGCTGATGATTATTTATGGCTTAAACTCTCCATTATAAAGTCACGTACTAGCAATGAAACAGACTTTTTGTCCTATTCTGATTTACAGAAGTTAATTTTGGAAGAATACGGTAAGTGTTTTATTAGAAACTTGTTTCAAACATTGACTTCATTTTCAAGAACTTTGTCTGTGGTAAAAGTAGCTGTTTTTGTATAAACTAAAATAGGATTTTATATACACAGCTGAGTTTAATAGACATCATACACTGAGGGCAAATAATACTGGACTGGTACATTTTCATTAGTGGTTCATACAAAATGAATCCCCTATTTAGTTTAAATGTTTGGATGTTTGTTACGATCATCCTTAATACATACATCTAGTGGGATATTTTATTATTAAGTTTTGATGTAGGAATTGTAATAGAAGATTTGTAGTTATAAGTCACTAGTTTTTATTCACGACTTTGTCCATGTAACAAGATATATTGAATGACTGTGATAAAAAGTAGCATATATATCCTTCTCTATTCTGTACATTATGTGTACACCAAATTTCACATTGATTAGTTAAGTTTTTAAGGCACTAGGAAATAACAAACTCTCTTTAGCATTTATAATATTAGTAAAGAAATTGCCGAATTAAATAAATAATATCGAATGTCGTACATGCATAAGTAACGTTTTTACTATGTATAGATACAAAAAGTGATCAGCAAATTTTTAATTTAATTTTACCCTTCATCAGGAGAAACACATTACCATGCATATGAAAAGCCACTTGTATATTTCCAAGTGTTGACATTGACTGGGCAATTCGAACCGGCTATTGAGTTCCTGTCGCGAATACCAAGGTAACAAATATAATATTATTAATACTTAATCAAAATGAATCATTTAAAGATAGTGAATCAGAAATGTAAATGAAATTTCATATATTTTTTTTTCATATTGAATGTAATTACATTAAGTATAAGTATTCTTAGATAGATTGTATTGTAAAAATTTCGAAGGAATCTATAAAACCTAATATCCTATTTTAAATTTTTTTTTTCTGAAAGCATTACCCATGTGCTATTTAACATTTTATTTATTTGTATTGTGGGAAGCTTACAGCTGTAATAACTTAATAATTAAATATATATTAGAACAGCAAGCCAATGAAAAGCTACCACATATACCGTACTATATTAGCCGTTAATTGTTCACTGCTGAATATAGGTTGGTAACCGGAGTTAGGCATTGGAGATGTATTAAAAGGAATGTTGCTGCCCATTACTGGACCATTAAGTTCCCTTAGTCGCGACATCCACGGTAAAGGAAGAGGTGGCCTATTCTATGCCGGGACCACATGGCAAATTATCCCACATTAATAATAACGAAAATTGATACTTATTATAATAGATAAAATCCAGATAAGTAATGAGTTGGCAAATACAAGCTAAACAACAATTTGTAACGGGTTTCCTTTTATAACTTACTCCTATTAAATATATCGACTTAATTACATATTTCTACTACATACATCATTGATAATAGTGGAATCTTGCATTGAACTGTTTCACAGTAATTTTGATACTGGGTGCAAGTCAATGGAATATTAAAAAGTTGACGCGAGTTAGTATTAGGAACTTTTAAAGAAATTTTACTCAACAAAGATGGGCAATCGATTTCAGATATCAGGTGCATGGTGTTCATATGGCATTGGCGTTACATGATGTTTACATGCTCGGCACACCGCGTAATGTTCAGGCACCATTATGTAAGTCATATTTTATTCACTTTTCTTCCTTTGGAATTATAATTGTGAGCATAATAGTTCCCTTATATGTTAAACTTCAGGGAAGATAAAGTATGAAGGGTATCATAGTTATCACACTTTGTAGTTTTGCTGCGCAGGTACCATTTTCTTCATATTTTTTTTTTACAGTGTCTGTGGATACCGATGACCCGACACCGCTTAGGCGTCTAAATTTGGCGCGACTTCTGCTCCTTTATGTTAGAAAATTCGAACTCACGGATCCATCAGATGCTTTGCACTACTACTTCTTTTTGAGGTAGGTAATGATATAATAGTATTCATTAGTTTGCCTTCAATCCATGGCACATGGCTTTTAAATAAATAAGTGGAATGTTTCGGGCAAGACCTCTAGCCTTTTTAGAAAATGGCTGTTTACAATAACAATCTCTATGTATTAACTTGCAAAATTAAACCATATAAACGATGTTTTTTCATTTATTCTTATCCAGATTATATTCCACTATTATATTGTGATGGTAAAATCATTATTACCATGACGTGGTACAGTAAACCATAGATCCGTCCAAAGATTGTTGTTTTTATATGTTCAATTCTTGTTCTAGCCAAATATATAATTCAGTGTCTATTTAAAACATTATGTTGGTTTTTATATTAAATTGAAAAAATAATTGATTCCAGGAATCTCAAGGACCCCAGTGGCAAAAATTTATTCATGTGTTGCTGTACGGATCTCGCAGTTGAAAGTCGAGATTACGACCTCCTTTTCGGTAGGATGGACGCCGTCACAGGTTTGCGAAGTCTCGGCCTACTAGATCAATTTAACAATCCCCATATTGATAGTAAGGTAAATAGAAGTTTTATTATATTGATATTATACATATGCAATTAATTATTGATGATTAATGAAACTATTTTTCTTATAGGTCATAGCACTCAATGTAGCTGAACAACTAGTTAACAAAGGTCTCTTTGAAGATGCTATAACTATGTATGATATTGCCGGGGTAAGTTGTAAATTTTTTTCTTAATACAAAAATTCACTTGTAGACTACAATTTTCAATTCAAAATTTAAAATATTTTCAAATATCATCTATGAAATCGCCGATTGTATTTCGCAACTCAAATTTATCATTGTTATGAATTTAGTTTTTTTTAAAGTATTCTCAATTAATTAATATGATGAAAATAGTTTTAAATGATGTATTAAATTTAGTTTCGCAATATCAACCAGGCCTAAAATTGTTTAAATTTTTTTTCAGAATCTGGAAAAAGTGCTAGAATTGTTCTGCGTGCTGCTCGCGCAGGTGGTGAACAGCGGTGGCGGCGAGGGCGGGCTGCGGCAGCGGCTGTCGCTGCTGGCCGCGCACGTCTCGCGCCGCCTGCGCTCCGCTGACGAGCCGCTGCCCGCCGCTCTCGTCGACGCCTACACTAAGCTCTGCAATCTGATGACCTTTTTCGATCACTTCCACAGTGAGAACTATGAGGGCGCTCTTGAGGTGAGCTTTACATTTGGATCATTATTACGTTAACACTAGATACGGCTCTTCTCATAAAAGTCGTTAGCCGTTGGTTAGAAGGTTTGGCAGTCTTTTTAGTTATAGGTTTGGAATTTTTCTTCTCTGAAATTAATAAATTGTTTCTTTTGGTGCTCATTTGGCATTATGAAAAGGAATGGTGGCACATTATTCTTATTATTTTCACCAAACCCACTAAACCGACGAACGTAGAAATCCATGGTAATATCCTTAATAAATATATAAAAAAATTATGTTATGTCTTATTTTTTTTGAGGTAGGCCAATACAGGTCCTTGGAGGAAAGGGATCGTTAGTAATGGAGACTGAGAATCCCATTGCTAGCAATATACCCAAACAGGTCGACCTCCTCGCGGTTCCCCCTGGAAACTATTATGGTTGATTCCTGATGAATTCATCATGATGGGCTATCTGGCCTGTTTTCATTCTCATCTATCACCCTTCACTGGTGCTCCGCCAGCGTATCCCGTTAGCGCAGGCGGAGTTACCATTCCATTTTCACCCATCAAAAAAAAAGAAAAATACACTGCGGTTTATCTATCTATATTTTTTTAGCATATTGCTTTGTAGTAGAATTAATGAGATCTGATTAAAATTTTACAGACGCTCCGTGAATGCGAGTTAGTACCTCTGAGCACCAGTGAATTGGATGCGCGTGTCTCAGCAGCAAGGAATGCTCGTGGCGAGTTGCTTCGCAGTTTGCCCGCTGTACTCCGCGCCCTGTGCACTATACTACTGGCGCAGAGACAAAAGCTGCGGGCGGCCGCACAAGCACAACCACTGGCAGTACAAACTAATAACAAGGTATATTGAAATATGTCATTTTAGGGTTTTTCTTTTTATATTATATATATGCACGTGACAGTTCTTTATTTATGTGTAATTGTAGTTGCAAAAATAGCAGAAATTGAGTTGGCCACGTATATGCAATGCCATTCACAGGCATAACGTGTAATATCTGCGGTAATGACTTATTAGACAAGGCACATTTTTTGCCGTTCTAAAGCTATAAAAAATATGTAATCTAAAAATGGGCCTATATTTTGTTACAGCAAGTGGAGTGGCTTCGTGAACAAGCCGAAGTCCTGAATACATTTGCTGGCAACATATCTTACAGAATGCCTGGTGATACCTATAGTCAGTTAGCACAAATGCAAATACTGATGCATTAAAATATTGCCGCCGGTCGTTAATTCAATAAATTATGTTACAAAGAAATATATTAAATATTTTGTACTATACATGTGTTTGTTAAAAACCCCTCATTTTATGAATAAGGAAAAACAGTAACGGCTTCAGGTCAGTGAATGAAAATTATATAGAATTAGTGAAAGTACTCGAGAACTATTATTTTCTTCATTTGTACCTTCTATTACAATAATCCTTACTAATATTGTAAATGTGAAGGTGAGATTGTTTGTCACTCTTGGTGTAGTAATGGCCGATCCAAGTATACCAAAAAGATATGTAATGGAGAAGGATATAGGTAAATATTGAAAATAACCTTGTTTGTTACCTCTTAATGCTTTAATGGCCCAATTAATCATCAGGAACTTTTGTATACCTACAAACAGTATTTGGAATAGTGACAGATGGCACGTTCTGGTCACGGGAACGAAGTAGCGTTAAAAGTAACTGATTACACATTAATTTTGGGGTTATAAGATAGAAAATTCAGAATTAAATAGAACCATGCTGGACCTAAATTATCTCAAATAAAATAATTCTATTCAAATAACCAGCTAAATTATTCTAAACAAAAATAGATCCTGGTGTTTTATTAGTATAAAATCTGCTTCATTTTTAATAGGCGTATAAAAATAATTTTATACCAATTTAGTTACTTAATAAGTTTATTCAGTCTTTCATATTCATAATTATACAGTATAATAAATACGTTCAGCAAGCTGCCTTCTTACTTCTATCCCTATATATAAATCATTCATATTGTCATCAGTCATTTCTGTCATTTCACTCACTGTTGGCATCGATTCAGGCTCTATATATGGCTCAGGATCTGGTAATCCAGCTTTTATGCAAAGGTTATGGAGCACTGCGCATGCATTGACGATCTTAGCGGCTCTCTGTGGAGTATAATGTAAGGGCCTTTTGTAAAGGCATTGCCATCGCCCTTTGAGTTTGCTTATACACCTGTCTATGCATGTTTTTGTGCGACCCTGAAAGTGATTATATTGAGATTCAGGTGTACCTTGGGGTGCATGTAATATTGGAGTCATGAGCCAAGCTCGTTGAGGATATTTGTTATCTGCTGTAAAAAAAGAAAGATTAAGTTTTTGTTTTTCAAAATAATGAAAAATTATACTAAATAATCTTAATATTTTTTTTATAGACAATATCATTAATTTAAATAATGACTAAATATCCAAAGTATAAAAAGAGTTATTTTTTTAAGTTTTAAGGAAAAAGATTACTTAAGACCATAAAAATCATATACTGATAAAATATAAAGTTTTTTTGTTTTTCTTGTGGTAATTCCTTGGTCAGTACCTTTCTGAGGTGCAGAAATCAATATAATTCCACATGACTTAAATAAGGGATGCTTCCTATTGCAAAGGGAAGAAAATAACTTCATCAGCTTTACTGTTAAATTCTGTACCATACAAGTGTCTGTTTAATAATTATTATACTGACCAATGATCCAGCCTGTCTCTCCTTGTCTGCTCATATTTTCTATAAACAATCGTATATTCATTTTATTCCAAATATATGCATTACTGGCAGCACCTCCAAATCTACAACATACTGCTATTATTCTTGTGTCTGCATCACATATCTGAAAACAAAATATTTTGAATTTACTATTTTAAGATTATTATATATTAATTTGAATATGTGTTAAAATTGAGGAATATGGCAACACAGTTTTATTACGTGACACATGAAGATGGGCTCATATATATAAATATATATAAGAGAAGATAAAGATGCATGCATGCATGTATGAAACTGTTTCATGGCACAAATTATACCATGTAAATCTGGATTTAGTAACAGTACTGCATCAATAATGTAGTTAACAGGAGTAACAAATTATTAGGTTTTATCACTCGATGTACTAAACAATTTAAGAATTATCAGAGTTTAAAATATTTATACTTTGCACTTGTCATAAGTATTTTAGAGTACAATAGAATCTGTCTCCGTTATAAAATCCATAATGATCGCATTGAACATGTCCAAAAAAAGAAAAATACTTTCATTTAAGTCAAATAAACTCCGTATTTAAAGTTATGAAGATAAACTTAGGTATTTCGATCACATCTTTGGAAACACGTCGCTGGTGCAGTGACCTATATATAGTCAATATATAATCAAGCCATACGCCTTAATACAAGATTTAAGTCACGAAATATAAATTGTTTGCTCTTCAGGTTCACAGAACCAATACTTCTTATTATAATCCACTTGTCAGAATGTGCCGACAATATAATGATCTTATGAAACAAATTCATTGATATATCATGAAACTGTCATCATTCATTATAATGAACCATGTAAATGTGGTTCATGGATTTATGATAGTTTTATGGTTTCAATTTCTTTTAATGTAAATTATGATATATGTATATAATGTTTATTTAATTATTATGTCTGTCACATGTCAATCTTTCATATTTTGATTATTTAAAATAATTTTATATATAAACCTAACAAAAGGTTATAATTTGTTATGTGTGCCTTATTAAAATAAATAAATAAATAATAGGAAACAAATTGTATTATTGTACAACAATCTTTCATATTTTGATTATTTAAAAATTTTTAAGAGTACTTTTAATATCCTTACAATTTGTGCATGTATTGAGTATTGTCCTTTTCTATCATAGAATGCTTCTTCATCATCTCTTGGACAAACAATCTCAACATAAGTTCCATCTAAACATCCAATTGTTTCAGGGAAATGGTATTTTCTATAGAATCTGAAATAAATATTTATATTTATAAAAAGATTATTTATTAATGTAGTAACTGAATTCAACTTTATAATAATGTCTATAACAGCCTTGATTGAGTATAGAATTGTGTTAAATTGTATATAAGTTAATTTCGTTTTTTATATAATAACATATATTACAGTAAGTTTAAAAGGAATTCAAATAAATGTAACATCTATGTAACTGCTTTGAAAATTATTTTGTTTAAAATTTTACAGTGTGTAGTACTTGTTTATTATAACTATAATATATTAGCTGTGCTTGTGCCTCTGACAATGTGACTAATATAAAAAGAAGCCTTTTTATTTCACCACAAAGATTGATTGAGTTGTTGAAGTATCAAGAGGTGACAAACAAATTAAATTTTACCTTTATATCATTAGTAAGGATTAACTGTACTTACTGTACATTAGGATATATATTAATATAAGATATAGAATCTCTGTAAACTAAATTTTTTGTCATCCATTTAAATGTGACCAAGTAACAATTGTTTACACATATCATTAACTTTCATTATAAAGTATTATATAAATATGCAATTAATAGGATTATTTAAACAAATGAGTTAACACTTACCCCTCTTTTATCTGCTCCCTTTGCATTACAGTACTGGGAAATATAACCCATTGGTCTAGTATCAAATTAAGGCTCTCAATGATAATTTTAATGACTCTACTGACAGATTTTTGTGAGATATTTATATTAAAATCTTTGCCAACTAATTTCTGATGGGAACCACTTACCAGAAATGATAATGTTACTAGGACCTGAAAATTCAAATAAATATTCATGAATGGAGTATGTGTAAAAGGGCAGAATACAAAGCAAATGTACACCATTATTACTTATCAAACATTAATACTTATAAAAATATTTAGCACCTATATATGATTCACCTTTAGAGGAAATGGTATTCCATTTGAACGTTGAGTTTTAGGAACTACTGGCTCCAATATTCTTAAAATTTGATGAAATACTGCTCTATTGACTCCACAGTTTTTGAGCAAGTATGAGTCTGGTAAATTCACACAATCAAATGTATCCCTAAGGGTACGTCGAGCTATACGGTCTTTATATGCACTGCCTCTCAGCATTTTAATTTTAATGAGTGTATTCATTTTTGTTATTTATTTAAAATTTATTTTACATTTTTGCAAGAATATCAACAGAAACACTACACTTGTTATTGTAATATGTGGTTTTAAATAATATTTATGTCTATTTATATTAAATAGTTGTTATAAGTAAGAACATTTTATACCAATAATTGATTATGATTTTACATTATGAAAATTAAAATAATAACACTATGAATCTAAAACAAACAAACATCTAAAACAAACACAAAAAAGGTTGATTTCTAGTGGTAAGTAGTAATATAAAATTATTTGTATACAATGGGAATGGCAAAGGAACTAAACTATACAGGATAATTTTTAGTGTTGCCTAACATAAGGGCACTTCAAGGTGTCTTTATAAATCGTAAATAATTTATACTTTAAATTAAATAATTGTATATCGCGATTATTAATATTATAATAGTTATTGATGTACAATATGATTAATTGTAAGTAATTAATATATTATGATACTATTGATTGATATAATGGACATTATTAATATAGGAAAATAATTAAGTATAAAACTCAGCAGTATTAAGTAAGAGCGGGAATATAATCAGAATTTTAGTTTATTTACAATATTATAGTTATTATTAACAAAACTAAGAAAAAAAGGTAATTAAACGTAGTGATTGCTTGCTATGTAGGTACTTAATAAGTAAGTTTTTCCTGTTTTATTTTTTATTTAAGTACATTGACAGGCGCTGTTGGGATGCATATCATCTGCCATTGAACCAAGAAAGTTCTTAAATATTATTACATTATAAAATAAAACTTATGTTTCGTTTAATTATATTAGCTTAATAATGTCTCATGTTTAATAATTTTAATATGGTTAAAATAGTAGCATCAAAATTAATTTGTTCAATTAATTATTATCTTTATAGATCAATCGATTATTAATTAAAAAATACTATTATTACTCCCTCCTTTTCTTTGGATGTCGTTAGAGGCGAGTAAGGAAATTTAATGTATATATAAATGCAGCAGTTTATCTTTAAATGTGAAGATAAACCAAAACCTAACTAAGAGTGCTGTCGCGCCTGCCAACCGTGACAATTACTGGTAAATCTTCATAAGGGGAGGCCTATATTCAGTAGTAGACAATAAAAGCAGATGTGATGATGATGATGATGACTAATTAACTTTTCCATAGCTAGTTCAAAATGTGAAAAATCGATATAAACAATTATAATTGATTATTAGATATTATTGGTTAAATAGAACTGACAAAAACGTTGGTAATTAGTTATCTACATTATCATATAATATGAACTACATAATTTATTAATTTATTAAATGCGAATATTATTATTAAAATTAATGATTATTTGGTGAATCAATTGATGGCAACACAAACACGATACGGTTTGTTTACTTTTGCAGACTTTCGCTGCATTGTAGTTGTTCTGTCATTGTCAAATTGTTTTCTGTTGTTGTTGCTTCACAGTTCTTCGCGGTTTGTGTTACTTTGTCTAAAGCACCTTCTAGTTTTCTGCATGCTACCAGTTTTTCTTAGTTTTCCTAATATAAATGCGAATGATAAACATCAAACTTAAGTGGACAGTCGCCTTCGGCATAAGAGAGTAGTTTGTAGGTTCGTGAATGATATCGAAAGAAATATTGAAGATATCTAAATTACAGCCGAATACTGAATTAATTGTAGACAACATACAATTGATTCATTAAATACAAATACATTAAATAACCAAATCAAATTAGTTTTAATACTCACACTGCAATTATAGATAAAGTTAATAGAACGTCTTTCAATGGATAAATCAAGGTATTTACGTTCTTTTTTGTTTTTTGTTCTTGTTTCAAGTTGAAATTAACATGAAAACGACAGATCAATTAATTTATTGCTAAATTTATTATTATTCGTATTGCTAATTGTGTTTGTAAATTTTCAGATTTTCTTTGTTATTGTTAGAGCCCGGCGAAATATATTTTGAAGATTTCTCGTGCACTTTGAGTGACAAAGAATCGGTGAAAGTCGACAGCGCAAGGCAAGGCTGGCTAAAGCTTTGTTCTAAATCTCTTGTGTTTGAACCCAGAGACTGGGCTTACCCACTTGTGAAGCTGCAATTCAAGGACTGTGATGCTCTCTCTGTTGTCAAATCACATGATGACTCAAACTATATAATTAAAATAAAAATTAAGCAATTTGCCGAAATGCTTGTGGATAATGTATTGGCGCCATACAAATTTATTTATGAGAAGAAAGACTTTTTCATATTTTTTCATTTTGCTTCCGCTGAGGAGTGTTTGTCCCAAATGGAACAATTGCAAAGAGCTTCAACACTGCATGCTCCTGAACATAATAGTATGGTAGCAACAATCCTGCACTCTCGGTATATGAGAATGGTATTTGATCCAGTGATGATGGATGATTTCACTGAAGAGATCATATGTGAACTGCAGGCAGAGAAAATATCACCACTTGTAAGGCATCAAGGGAAGCTGGCTCTCACTTCAACCACAATATACTTCCAACCTTTTAGTAATGTTGAGAGTGTGAGTATTTAACTTGTAACATTTTTAATATATTCATATTTTGATTTACATTATTTATTAATATTTTATTTAAATGTAAGTAGCAAAGAAAGAATAATTATGAAATTGTCTTGATGTCTGTTTAACTAATATATAGGAATAGAAAGGTGAAATAAATCATAGTAGGTCTTAACAATTAATGATTTAAATACATCAAGGAAAAAAATATTCCAAATATTTTAAATGAGAAACATGTTATTTTGACAATTAAGTATTGTTTATTTTATAAGATTTCAAACATTATACTTTCATAAAATTGTTAAATGGAACTTGTAATAAATGTATGTATTAAAAATGAGGAAAATTATGAGGTTGCACTATTTTGTACTGTTCTATTTACATAATATAAAAAGTTATACTCTATAAATTGGCCTTCAACGATTAAATAACATTTTAAATTCTTAGCATCCATTCTATGGGTTAATATCTTTAATTTTAGAAGTATTATATCTTTTGTTGGTTTAATTTTTTACTTCTTGTAAACTTTCATAAAGGCTAGGTTATAAAAGTTGTGATGAAGTGAGTTGACACATAATGATCAGATGTGAAGAAATTTATAGACTGAAAAATTAAATCTACTACATGACTCAAGTTATCTAGGTTGAGCCTATTATGATAGTTTAGTTTACAGGCAATCCTAAAAGCAATTTATTAATATATATTTTTTTATTATTATTTTTAAATATAACATAGCCTTATTAACTGAGAGAGGTAGATTCAAATTCTTTCAAATTAGATTGTTGGGAAGTATATGTTTTCAACTTAGTATGTGCATACATACATTATTATTATGTGAATTAACTTTTTTGTGTAGACATGACAATTTTAAATAATTTTGTTGTTATGTTATGCTCGACTGAGAAGTGGGTTTAGCCCATAGTTATTATCATATACATTTATATAATAGCTATGCTATAATTATCTGACTGAATATATTTTTAGGAATTTTATATAAAAAGTATTTGTGCAAACTTTACAACTGATATTATTATCACTTGTTTTTCATCATACATTTATCAGTTGTAAAGTTTGCACAAGTATTTTCAGTGATAAATATTTATTGTCAGGAATTGAAGGTTCCATTCTAGATATCAAACATTGTCTAGCTATATTTTTATTTGTAATAGTTCTCAACTGCTCTAAATTGGTTTCAATATTTTTAATCACAATTAATAATCTTTGCAGGTATTATTCATTGTTTTTACCACAAATTATAAATATGTGAATGTCTTTTCTTGAAAGAAAGGTCTTTGAGGGCTCACTACTTTACTAGTGAGACAACCTCAAGATATGTTTTTGAAAATAGATTTATTCAAGTTGATAGAACTATTCCTATTGCTAGTATGTAAGAGAAGTTTAGTATTTGATTTAAAAAGCATTTTCATAGTTATTATTTTAAATATTATACATAAAAATATTGATATTTTTGTCTGATATTTTAATTTAAAATTTTAGTTATTTATGTTACAATACAGACTAAATGCAAATCATTAACATAAATTGTAAACAACAATTTGTATATGTATATTTTAGATATTTTTCTTGTTTTATAGTAAGCTAAATTGAGAAGATATTCAAATATCTATTTCATAATTTAAACTACAATAATCATGGACTGTTGTAACAATGATTCTGTTGTGTTGTCAACCTTAACCAATCTTGTGATGTTAAAATCTTGATTCTTAGTACTTACCTAGTAATTTAACTGCCATATTTTTACCTGTATATTGTACAGTAGTATGATATACCTTTAGGAAAGAAATTTTGGTGGTAAAATGAATACATGAAAATGAGTTTGCTTGTGTTGAAATTTGAATAGTATCTACTTACTTGTTAACAAATTGAAGTTACTCTTTTGTTTTCAGAGTCCTGTTTTAAAATTGAAACTAAGCCACTTGAAGAGGTTATACAAGCGAAGATTTTTGCTAAGGCAAGTTGTATGTATCTGTGTTTTATGTAATTTTTTGCTGTTAGTTCTTTATTTTTTTAAATTTTCTTCTTTTTTGATGTTTGTTATTTATTTGTGTTAAGTAATATATTCTAAATTTGAAAAATTAATGTTAAAACTTTAAGCTCTTTGACATATACTTTACGTTATTACTTCTTTCTTTATGTATTAGTGATCTGGTCTGGCTTCTCGCCGGTAGATGGATTTTTCGAAAATAATTTATAGCCTATGTTATAAACCGACGATCAAATCTTTCCTCTTCCTAATATCACTATAGATATCAAGTAATCATGGAGTTAAATAACAGTATATATATATATATATATATATATATATATATATATATATATATATATATATATATATATATATATATATATATATATATATATATATATATATATATATATATATATATATATATATATATATATATATATATATATATATATATATATATATATATATATATATATATGTATTATTATTATATTATATATTTATTGTTATTTTTATATTTTGCAAAAAAGTTATTATTCATATCTTAACTGTAGTAAGTTAACTATAAATAAGTTTATTCTTGATATTGAAACAAAATGAAAATAAACATTTATTAAATACATTTTTCTATTTACACTTGTTTATATTCTTAATTTTTTTTTATTTCTTTGTTTATATACAAGTTACACATTTTGAAATAAATTTCAGGGTCTCGAGATATATAGCTCAGAAGAAAGTTCCGTGCCACACATATATTTGACTTTCCAGTCGGAAAGAGCTAGAGATAGAATATACAAAATACTAGAAGACTCGCCATATGTTAATTTAGAAAGGGCCCATGCTGAGGAAATAACCCTTCAGTGGCAAAACGGCATTGTATCAAATTATGATTATCTAATGTATTTAAATTGGTAAGTAATACATTTATTTGTTTGTTAAAAGTATAAGGAAAATCTGATGTATTTGAAAACGTTTTTGAACTGTTTTGCTTTATTTTTTTTAAGGATTGTCTTTCTCTTTGTTTTATTAAACATACAGAAAGGCAATACTTTAAAAATATTAATCCTCTTTTTTGGGGATTTATATACGGCGTAGAAAATATAAATTTTTAACTAACGGTATATAATTATTTATAGTTTGACAGGTGATAAAACAGTATCTTGTTTGAATTTTAATAAATTTTAAAGATTTATAAAAATATAACTCACATTATATTTTGTTCCCTCAATATTAAAAAATATATATACATGTAGGGTGATCAGGGTAAATGGGATGGATGAATGATGGGAAGGGTAAATTCCCATTTACCCTTCCCACAGTAACACAGTAATAGTAACCACACTAAAATAGAATGATCTATTTTATTTTTGACATAAGAAAACATAAATAAATGTGTTTGCCATATGGCTACAGAATTCTAGAAGCATTAGGATTAGTTCTTTTCAAAAACATTGACTTTTTTTTCGACAAAACTAATTCTTAGAAATTAAAATTATATAAATTTAATTACAAGCATTTTTGAATAGTCATTTTATATGATTGCACTGCCTATTTAGAATGCAATATCAGCTGAGAAGAATAAGCAAGAAATTTAAATGTTGCTTTTTTCAATCAAAATTGATTCTACAATCATAAATTCGTGTCAATATAGATTATATATAAAAGTTATTTAAATTATTAGACGAATCAAGTCTATTATTGTAAATATTGTATATCAAACAAAATATATTCAGATGTATGTCAGATTTAATCTGACTTAATCATAATATATTGAAAGCCTTGCAGATAGAAGTAAAAATGATCTCACTCAATATCCAGTTTTCCCTTGGGTCGTTGCGGACTACACATCCGAAGTACTAGATTTAAACAAAGTGGAAACATTTAGGGATATCTCAAAACCTATGGGGGCATTGAACCCTGACCGTTTGGAAAAGTTGAAGGAACGATACGATGAAATGTGCGATCCCAAATTTTTGTATGGATCTCATTACTCTGCACCGGGCCTTGTGTTATTTTATTTGGTAAGTGATTAAATGAGTTAAAAATATAATGTATTATTTTATTAAAATTATAAATGTGAATGTTTGTAAAGATGTTTGGATTTTTTAGATGTTTAATTGCTTGTTACTCAATCATGCAAAAACTACTGAATGGATTTCAATGGAATTTGGTACATGGGCAGGTTATATTCTAATTTAGATACCCTATATCTTATACTGATTCACACTAGTAAAGTCGCGGGAAACAGCTAGTTATTATTGAAATGCTAACGCCTTTATTCATTAAAAAGTCCACTAATTTCATAAATATATTGTAGTTAAAGATGATCGAAACAGTAGAGTTTCTGGTGACTGTTCTGTACAGCTTTTACTTCTGTCGTAAAGCACCAATGTAGCATGCATACTCTAGCGTTTATATTATATGTATTTAGTACACTGATGTCTTTGAATGTTATTAAAATAGATTTATAAATATATCTAAGGTACTACATAATGTTAAACGATTATAACATGTGTCATATTACATTATTAAACGATTTTCTTCAAATTAATAGTAAGTTTTTTTTTATACAACTTAGAATGGCAAACAAGCTGACGGTCCACCTGATGGAAAGTGGTAACCGTCGCCTATAGACATGAGCAGTACCATGGACATAACAGAGTATACTGTTTCGCCCATGATACCCCCCATGCGTTGCCATTCCTGAGGACTCAGGTGTTATTCCTCTGTACCCAGTAAATTCACGCCATATCCCACCCTTCAAACTGAAACACAGCCATGCAAACACAACTGCTTCACGGTAAAATAGTAATATTTTATTTAATTATGCTTGCAGGTACGAAAATATCCTCAATATATGTTGTGTTTACAAAATGGCAGATTTGATCACCCAGATAGAATGTTTAATTCAGTGAAAGATGTTTATAATAATTGTTTACGAAATATGTCGGACTTTAAGGTAATAGTGTATTTTTATATTTCTACATTGGAAAGAAAGGAAATGCTATTTCACTGTTTGTTTTGTGATATCTTCGTGCAACCTTATACTAATTACATTATTTTATTTATAGTTCTTGTATTTATGATCAATAGAAATTAATAAAAAGGTTACCAAGTTTTGTTGAGATCATTATAAAAACATTCTCTAAATTGAATTGGTAATAAATCGAATTGTTAATCGATTAATTAATCGATTTCTGATTTGTACTACATCAGCAGCTGCCCACGTTTGTAGTCAATTATTTGTTTGTTTACATTTTCATTATCTTCTATTGAATAGTTTTACTGTTTTTGTTTGTAAACTGTTCCGAAATTTATCACGCGTATTTACAATAAAAACATTATATCGTAATAATAGTAAATATAGTAAATGTAGTTCGTAAATAAAATACTATTATTGCTTAAATATCTTATACATTTAAGCAAAATGTATTTGTAGGAATTGGTTCCCGAATTTTATGACACAGACTCTAAGGGAGACTTCTTAGTAAACAGATACGAGATAGACTTTGGGGAAAGGCACGATGGCACCAAAGTAAACAACGTCGCGCTTCCGCCGTGGGCCAGTTCCCCTGAGGACTTCGTGGTTAAACTCAGGGAGGCTTTAGAATCTGAATACATTTCGAGGCATTTGCATTTGTGGATAGATCTCATTTTCGGATATAAACAGAGAGGAGAGGAGGCTGTAAAGGCAAATAATGGTACGTCGATTTAGAATTTTTTGTTTTGGTTTCTGAGAGAATTAAATAATTTTGTAAAAAATGAATTCCTGTTGGTTGGTATTTTTTATTGCAAGATGTTATTAGCATATATACTGTAGTTTTTTTTTTTTTTTAAGGGCTTTTATCTTCTTCAGGTATATCAGTCCTATCGTACCCTGAACTGATTTCTCAAACAAAACTTTATCTACTTTCCCTAGACGCGGAAAGAGAAAAATTAATGGGCATCAATAATTTACAGATATACTGTAGTTAAAACTAGAAACGTTGCACCAAGGTTTACATATATCTACTCATTTTTTGTAATTTATAATAATAATTACCAGAGGGAGACTTTGTACAAAAGTCGTTTGCTTGGGTACTTCTGTCCCATTCGTGTTTCAACCGTAAAGCAGTTGTGTTTGCATGGCTGTGTTTCAGTTTGAAGGGTGGGATATGGCGTGAATACAGGGTACAAAGGAATAATACCTGTGTCCTCAGGAATGGCACCACATGGGGGGTATCATGGGCGAAACAGTATATTCTGTTATGTCCGTGGTATTGCTCATGTCTATAGGCTACGGTTACCACTTTCCATCAGGTGGGCCGTCAGCTTGTTTGCCATTCTAAGTTGTATATAAAAAAAAAATGTAATTGTTGAAAACTAGCAAAAAGTTTTTACTACGGACGAAGGTGTTAAAGACTTTTTTGTTAGAGATGACGCTAAATTTAATATGCTTTTGTAGTAAAACGAATTATTCCATACATTGTAACAAGAAATAAACAGTATGTTACCTAATCAGCTGGGTCGAGGGAAGGGATTGTTAGTAATGGAGTTGTAACAGCACCATTGTTGAGCAATATACACTATCAGGTCGATCTCCACGCAGTTCTTCCTGGAAAACATTGTGGTTCTTGTCGAATTCATCACGATGGGCTAACTGACCTGCTTTCATTCTCACCTATCATTCCTCACTGTGGCTCGCTAGCGTATACCGATAGTGCAGACGCTATTACCATTCCATTACAACCCATTAATAAAAAAGATTTGTTGAGTCACAATTCAAACATCTGTAAAAATATTTTATTTTTTATTTTTATAGTTTTCCACCACGTGTGTTATGAGGGCGCCGTTGATCTCGAGCGTGTTTACGACATGAACGATAGGCACGCACTAGAAGTGCAAATAATGGAATTTGGACAAGTTCCAAAGCAACTTTTCACGAAGCCGCACGTTAGAAAAATAATCCAACGGGTGCCTGCGCCGATGTGTTGCGTCGAGCAGAATGCCTACTCGTATGAAATGGAGTGCGTGGATGTCATCCGGCTACATAAAGAGGCGGTAACGTGCGCCGTGCGTCAAGGGACCAGAGTTATTTCCGTAGGCAAAGATGGCGCGCTCAAAGTGTACGACACGACTCAAAGGAAACAAATTAGGAGCGTCATTTTATCCACCACCCCGCTGAGTTCGTGCGTAATGGTTGGTGACAATATGGTCGCAGTTGGTTCCTGGGATAATGAGATGTAAGATACAGGACGTAATGTTTATAGTATTTGCTGTTACACATTTGATTTTATTCCTTAAATTGTATAGAATTATCAGCTGACAAGTATTGTCGTGTTTTTTTACTTTTTTACGGTTTAAAGGGTGGGATATGGCAATGAAATTACAGGTAACAAAGGCGTTACAACCTAGTTCTCAGGAATGACTGTCATGGTATCCGTATACTCTGTTATGTCCATGGTGCTGTTCATGTCTATTGGCGCCCGGTTACTATTTTTGATAAGGCGGGCCATCAGGTTCTTTAAAAAAAATGCCAAGAAATGCCAAGAAATGCCATTGTTGGTCTTGTCCAATAATTATTCAATTATTAAGTTTCCAGGTTTGAATCCTGGCAGCATTCATATGGCAGTGGAAACTAAGTAAATTAAACGACAATTCCGTTGAATATTGTACGTTATAACTTATACAGTTAAAATTAGTAATTACCAAACTAGTCGATTTTCTATTATATTATTCCACTTGGCAAAAAAATTGGAGAAACAATATTTTATACCTATTGAAGATTCAAGTAGGAGTTTAAGTATATTGTACTGTGATTAGGGAAGTCACAACTTTTTGTATTTTCATTAATTTTCTTTATTTCGCTTGTTTATTATGACCTCAATAGGTTTCTTACAATCTATTTGAGTTTATTACATTTCTATTTTGAATTATTATTATTAATATTAGGATTAACACAAACAACATTGCTGACAGCATTTTCGAAGGGGTTTAGCACTGAATTAGGGTTTCCTGAATAGTTCAGTATTTTTCTTAATGGATGATTATGGAATGGTCACCCCGCCTGCGCTATCGGTATACGCTAGCGGGGCACCAGGAGGGAGTGATTGGTGAGGATGAAAATCAGACCAGTTGGCCCATCGTGATGAATTCAACGATAAATTAGTCACGATGGTTTCCAGGGGGAACCGCGTGAAGTTCGACCTGATAAGATATATTGATAGCAATAGGGATTATCCTCTCCATTACTAACAGTCCCTTCCCCCTAATAGTTCAGTATTGGCACCTCTTATAATTGTTTATATTTATAGTAAGTTTACTATTGTAATCTTTTGGATGAAATAATAAAGAGTATTTATCTATCTATCTCTCTCACGGCAACGTCTATCTTCTTCGTTAATTATGATTTTATCTACGGGCAAAAATATTAATTTTTTTTATACATCTTAGAATAAACAAGCTGACGGCCCACCTGATGGAAAGTAAATAGACATGAGCAGTAGGACATAACAGACTACTGTTTCGCCCATGATACCCCCATTTGCCATTCCTGAGGACTCAGGTGTTATTCCTCTGTATAAATTCACGAAATATATTATAATAAATCTGTAGAAAGTTCTATACATGAAATATATTTCTAAAATAACTATCAGAGGGTGATTAGTGATCGATACTGATGCCAAAAAAAGAATCAGTAAAATTTTTGTCTGTCTGTTTGTATGTTCATTGTAGAAACAAAAACTATTCGACGGATTTTAACGAAACTTGGTACAATTATTATTCATATTCCTGGGCAGGTTATAGTATAGTTTTCATCACGCACGATCAATAGGAGCAGAGCAGTGAAGGGAAATGTTAAAAATGTCCGCCGGTGCGACGCCGGGACGGGCCGTTAGTTTCAAATATAGTAATTTTATCTCAGTATATAGCTAACACTAATGCTTTTTAAACTGCTATGATGACTTGATGACGTTGTTTGCAGATACTTGTATGACGTAGAGTATGGAAGAGTGGTGGAAAGCTTCCGTGCACATGACGATTCTGTCAGCTGTTTGTTATGGTTAGATAAAGGTAAATATACTTACGAGTATAACAGAGAGTACTTTACATACAATACATACAGAAATAATAAGTTAATGAATCTATTGATCAATACAATAATAAAAGTATGTATATGTTTTTAGAACGTCTGTTGATATCCGGCGGATGTGACGGAGTGGTGCGCGTGTGGAGCCACGTGGGCCACGTGGGTCAAGCACTGCGTGGACTGCGCGTGGAGCTCGACCACGATGTCAAAGTTACCACTGTCACATTTAGGTGGGAATTTATTCAGATATTGACTTGATAGTTTCATGAAATTAATTATTAGTTTATTAGAATTTGAAATGTTTGAGTATTCATGGGTTGTGAAGCTCGTTAATATTAGGCGCATAAGGTGCGCCTGATGTTAAACGGCTGGGTTCTTTGTTGTCTAAACTGTCTAAAGCGAATGGATGTCACCCTCGTTAAATTTAATTAATTGACAATATTGAGGTAATTAAGGTAGAAACAGTTGTACAGTATAAATCATTTAAGCTGTTATTATTAGTGCTTTAATAAAGAAAGATGATTGATGATGATTGCATATAATTGTTGAGAGCAATTAAAGATTCTATTTTTTTATGCAAATTGAAATTGCAAACTATTGGACGACCCACTTGTTGGAAAGTGGTAACAGTAGTTTATAGCTTAGATTATATAAACAGAGAGCATCGAGCCTCGAAAACTTTTTGTTGATTAGCCGACATAATTTTTTTTATCAGTATTCTATATATTTACGTATAAAATGTATATTAACGTATTTTTTTAATAAATAAAATAAGTGTTTACGCTTTAAAAAGATGCAGAATTTATAAGGCAAAAAAAAAAATAGAAGTCATAAAAGAATCTCTCATAACTATTTATCACGCAAAATTGTATGAAAAAGTTGACTTTTTTTTATACAACTTAGAATGACAAACAAACTGACGGTGCACCTGATGGAAAGTGATAACCGTCGCCTATAGACATCAGCAGTACAATGGATATAACGGAGTATACTGTTTCGCCCATGATACCCCCCATACGTTGCCATTCCTGAGGACTCAGGTGTTATTCCTCTGTACCCAGTAAATTCACTGCCATATCCCACCTTTCAAACCGAAACACAGCCATGCAAACACAACTGCTTCACGGTTGAAACACGAATAGGACAGAGGTATCCAAGCAAACGACTTTTGTACAAAGTCTCCCTCTGGTTTGTTTTTCTCAAAGCATTTCTATGGAGACACTCTATGTATATAATCTAGCATTTATAGACGTGAATAGCACAAATGATAAAACCCAACACACTGACGCCTATGGCATGGTGAATTGTGTAACAGTTTATTCTGTTTTATCCAAGGTGTTGTATTTGGCTATAGATGACGGTTACCATTTATCACTAGGTTGACTGTTAATTAGTTTGCAATGCTAAGATCATAAACCTTGTAGCTTGACTGTTGTTTGTCGTTTATTTATATAATCATACTTGATCGCAGGCGTCGCCGCAACGAAATCGATTTAATAACTGGTACTAGCGATGGAGAAGTCTTCATATGGGATGTGCAGACGCGGGAGTTGACGAAGATCTGCGCTCACATATCGGCCGTGAGCAGCGCTTGCCTTGTGCTGTCCGGCGACCGCGTGGTCACAGCCAGCGGCGACGGCGTCATGAACGTCACCGACCTCAGTGTGTCACACTCGGTAATTTTATTTACTAACTACCAATGCGCCCTGGCTTTTTATGATGTAGCTTCTTATAGGTGAAAGAATTTTTAAAATAGGTTTTTAAAGTAGATTTGAGTTTATCTATTAAACAATTTTTTTTCTTATAATATTAGTATAAAGGTTGACTAGTAGAGCCGACAAATGTACTCTCAAACGTTATTGGACTGTGGCAGTCCATTTACGTACAGTTTGTATGGAAAAAGAAAAATGGGATTTTTACTTTTTCCCCAGGCAATTTTTTTAACTTTTCACAAGAAAATTCCTCAGTTTTTAACGAAAACTACAAAAAAAAAAACAGTGGCAAATTAGCCGTTCTCGAGTTTTGTGCTTTGCAACACAGTATAAATGTGATAGTATGGTGACATAGTATGCATGTATTTATTTCCATCATTATGTTATTAGACTAAGGAAATAAAGTACAATACAGGTCCAAAAGAAAAAAAGAGCCCTATAACTATCTGCCTGGTCAGTGTGCTAATAAAAATGAGAGTTCAGGTTGATGATCATCCTATGGGGAAAATGTGACCAGTAGTAATAGAGACATTATTTGGTTATTTAAGTAGGGGAAGTTCGTAAATAAATTGTTAGTTTTACATAATGTATACAATTGTCACTATAAATAATTAACTATAAGGTTGCTTCTTTACATAATATTTAAATTAATATTCTTATATAGGTGAAGTAATCGAAATAAAAAAAAAAATGTTCCCCGTATTATCTTTTTGTATGTGTGTGGCATTAAAAGTAACCGTCTGATTTCGTTTTTCCATATTATACAGGTAATTTTTTGGGAAAAGTTTTACCTTGTCCACATATTAAGAGAAAAAAAGGTACATAAGAAATTGTCAAATTTCTTAATTTTCTAATTAAATAATACACATATACACATACCGCAAAAGTGCTTAAAATATTGTTAAATTTCAATTTTTTCAAATTTTAAACAAATTTTTCAATAGATCAATAAAGAAATAAATTTTAATAGAAAAATGTCATAATAAATAAGACAAAATTTAATACAATAAATCATATAAAGTATTAATGTGTTCTGTATGATTTTTTATTATTATAATATTTTGAAATAAGTTTAAAGAATCTGTCTACATAATCTGTGTGTCGTATTGTATATAGTTAAATATAAACGCACGTAAAATTCATCTCAATTTTTTGCTGGTAGCACGAGAACACGTGTGTAACATAAAAGTGTGAATTTACATACAAAGAGCTCGGTTATTGATAAGATTGGTTTTTCGTAGAACGTTTTTATGATAGCACATTCATTGAATTACATAAATTTATGAAAAATTTCCGAATATTGTAATGAAGTAACAAGTGGATTTATGAGTATATTTTTTTTTATTTATTAGCACTCAATAGACAAGTATAAATTTTTTTTGCATAACATCAATATGAACTAATATATTTCGATTCAACATTAAGTTGCTGTCTTAATATTTAGTAATTTAATTATCATTTTATTACTATTTTATTCATTAAATTTTGTACGCCAAATGGCGAAATATGTGAAATTTCTATTTTCTAAACACTTACTTACATATCATGTTTTTTTTTTGTAAATAAATATTAATTCATTTTATGATATATAAAATTATAATTTGATGATTTAGACAAGATGATTTATCACTTTCATCATCAAATGTAAATATGCTGTGCATCCGTTCTGACTAAAGTTCTGAAGGCACTGTAAACAAAAATTTTGAAGAAAAATAATATGATTAATAATATTTACACAAATGTATCTATTTTTTTTTTGATGGGTGAAAATGGTATGGTAACCCCGCCTGCGCTAACGGGATACGCTGGCGGAGCACCAGTGAAGGGTGATAAATGAGAATGAAAACAGGCCAGTTAGCCCATCATGATGAATTCATCAGGAATTAACCATGATAGTTTCCAGGGAGAACCGCGAGGAGGTCGACCTGGTTGGGTATATTGCTAGCTAATGGGATTCTGTCTCCATTATTAACAATCCATTTCCCCCCAAAAATGTATCTATTTTTTGTATTCCTTTATGTGCTATGTTGTATAATGCATATGAAGTATACTTATTCATTTAATAAACAATGCGGAATCAAGAGTACAAGTGTTCTCACTTACAACGATATGTATCAAAGTTTATTAAGTGCTAATGGTTATTTGATTAGGATTATTTGTTTCATTCCGCTGCCTATAGTAGTATGTGTGTGACTGCCAGCACTCGATGGTTGACCATCACTATTACTATCAGATTATATATATATATATATATATATATATATATATATATATTTCTGAGTCCGATTCTGGCCATATCGTCTTTCACACAATCTATCCATGTCTTTTTAGTTCTTCCTCTGCTCTTATAGCCCATCTACATTCATTCTTAATACTTTTTTTAAAATATGCTCCTCATTCCTGCGCATCACGTGCCCATATTTATTTACAGATTATTATTTTTCATTGTAAGTTGAAATTATCACAGCAACATTATCTGTATAAACCTAATAATAAATCGAAACATTCAATTAAATAAATCGATTATTGATTTCTGTTGTTATCAGTGGACTGTATTTATATTTGGATCGTTTTTTTTTTTTATTTTTTGTTACTGTGATATCGGTTGCATCAGGTGTACCAGAAGCATTTCCCCGCGGCGGTGTCGTCCCTTTGCTGGGACGGTAGCAGCGTGCTGTGGGTGGGTGGCGGCGGCGGAGATGGTAACGGTGCGCTGCTGCAGTGGAATCTCGTCACCGTCACGCAACTCAGCGAAATTAAGGCTCACGATGGTGAGAACATTAAGGACGCTTGGATATATATTATTAAATAATGTTTTAATGGGCGAATGGAAAACGGGTGATTATCGGGTAAAGCTGGGAGATGCACCTGATTACTCATACACTGTCATATGTATGACATTAGTATGTGTGACATTGGTAACACTTGAAGATTGACTATATTAGCCATCAATTTTCAACTGCCATTTCGTCCACATACGTTTTGCGACACTTGTTCCAACTCTAAATAAGGCATCTTCATGCAAATTGTTGGATTGCTGGTTAGTAGAGCCTGAAAATTTATATATTTTCGTAATTTGGATAGCTAGTTCATAAATAATATCTAAGTTTTTTTTTTTATACAACTTAGAATGGCAAACAAGCTGACGGCCCACCTGATGGAAAGTGGTAAATGTCGCCTATAGACATGAGCAGTGCCATGGACATAACAGAGTATACTGTTTCACCCATGATACCCCCCATGCGTTGCCATTCCTGAGGAATCAGTGTTATTCCTCTGTACCCAGTAAATTCTCGCCATATCCCACCCGTCAAACCGAAACACAGCCATGCAAACACAACTGCTTTACGGTTGCGACACGAATGAGACAGAGGTACCCAAGCAATCGACTTTTGTACAAAGTCTCCCTCTGGTGACTGGTATATTGTTGGCATGCCAATATAATAATAATAATAAAAACAATATTTCTTTGTTTCAGATTCAATCAATAGTATCCACTTTGATGAAGGATCGAAAACCCTCATAACTGCCAGCAAAGACAAAACAATAAAAATTTGGCAGCTAAAGAAAGTTTCCTGACAAAAGTGTTCGATTACTATTGAATTGACAGTATTATCGAAATATTTTATAATTCCTTACAATGGTTTTTTTATAAGAATTTGAAAATTGTGATATTTTACGATACATAATAGAATATAAATCTGTTTCATGATAAGGACAATAAAGTTTAAAACTAATAATATTTTTTTTTTATTGCCTATAGATACGATATCGAAACCTTCATCATCATCATCATCATCATATCAGCCGTTAACTGTCTACTGCTGCACATAGGTTTTCCCATAGACAGCCATAAGGAATGGTTTCGAGCCACTTGCATTTACTAAGCAAAAGCATTTAAGGTTTAATGGATGATAATGAAATGGTAACCCCGCCTGCGCTATCGGTATACACTAGTGAGGCACCAGTGAAGGATGATAGGTGAGGATGGAACAGGTCAGTTAGCCCATCGTGACGAATTCAACAAGAATTGTTCACGATGGTTTGCAGGAGGAACCACGTGGAGGTCGACCCAATAGGGCATATTGCTAGCAATGGGGCTGTTAAACTCCATTGCTAACAATCCCTTTCCTCCCAAGCATTTAAGGTCAAGACCTACAAAACAATCGTTAATTATGTGATATCTGGGTGGATGTTCGTTCATGTCTATAGGCTACAGTTGCGTTACCTTTACTACGTTCTATTATGTGTGGCATCAGCTTTGTTAATTCTAAGTTGTATGAAAACTGTGTTATTCAATGAATATTTTTACAAATTTCTCAATATTGATTGATTTTTCTGCCGTGTAGTTCCGACATAGAATAGATCACCCCCTTCTTTTTCTGTAGGTGTTGTAAGAGGCGATTAAGGGAATTTAATGGTCGAACAATGGTAAGCAGTGTCCCTCTTAAAACAAACCGTCTTTAAAAAAAACGTTCACACACTTTTTTACTTTATCCGAGCAGTAAGTGCTTTATATTATTCTCAATATCGTGTATAATATAGTATATGTCATATATGTGTAAGTATATTTGTTATTCATATATATTTATTCGTTTATATATGTCATTTTAGTATTTATATATATCAATAATTAGTAGTACCGCATTCGAGTATTCTGACACTTCCCTATGGTTGACTGGGAGAGAATGCTTTTAGCATTAAGTCCGCCATGTAGACATATTTGTACTAATAAATAAATTACTAAAGGCCTAACTGTGGTTGCCAGCCCACCTGCTAAGCTTGGCGACTATTGGCAAAACTATCCTTACGGGGGAGGCCTATGTTTACCACACACATGGACAATCGACGTCTGATATGGTGATATCAATATAGTAAAATCATATTATCCACTGTGTTTCCTATGTAGAACTTCGTTATAGAGAACAAGAGTTAATAAAACTGGTTTTATAATATTAAATGGATGCACATGCTGGTAGGTAAATAGGTAGTTCTGTTGTGAAAATTGGGTCACACTGGTTTGATGTTTGTTTTATTGTTATAAAATTTTTAGCATATTGCGTCGCACTTTATTGAACTATTTGTCCCAATGTACCAACTAAAATTAACACCTCTTTATATAGATAGTTAGAAAGGTAATTTGGTAGGTAGATACTCTTTATTATTTCCTCCAGAAAATTACAGCAGTAAACTTATTATAGATAAAAACAATTATAAGAAATGATCACACTGAGAAAACAATGAGCGGTCTTATCGTTAAAGCGATCTTTTCCAGGTAATCTTAGAACGGAGAGGAGTAAATATAAACAGTTAGACCAAAGGTACGACAAAATTCTCTTTTTTAAATACATATGCAGATGTATCTTTACTTACTATTATGTATATATACGTATGTACGAGGTCTGTCCGGAAAGTTCGTATAAAAGTGTTCTGGAATGCGAGAAAGAGGAGTGGGGAGGCCAGGTAAGCGCAGGACCTCTTCCTTATGTCCCTAACAATGTCAGTTCTGGTCTGACCGCCGTGCGGTGCGAACTGGCTTGTCACGCCATCTGTGAAGTTACCTCTTAACGAAACCCCGTCGGCATGGAGCCCGCTTCCGTTGAAGAGCAGCGCGTCGTAATCAAAACTCGGCAAGAATGGCCGTGAAATTTTTGCCGATCTCAGAACAGTTTGAAGGAACCAACCGTCCACAAGTGGCTAAAAAGATTCAGAGAGGGCCGAGAAAGCGTTCAAGATGACCCACGTTAGACGTCCTTCCACTTCACATTCCGACGAAAACGTGGAAAGAATTCGAAATATCGTTTAACGGTCAGACAGTATATAAAACCGTGGTACGAAATTCAAAAAACGAACTTCAAATGAAAAAAATTTGCGCCAAGATCGTTCCGTGAGTTTTTGAGTAAAAATTCCATTACGGTGACCGAACACCCCCCTATTCGCCGGATTTGGCCCCGTGTGACTTCTTCTTGTTCCCAAAAACCAAATTGGTACTTCGGGGGCGGCATTTGGGGGACATAAATGAGATAAAAAAAGCTACGACGGGGCAGCTGAGATACAACCATCTTTCAAGGAGCCTTCTCACAGTGGAAACGGCGTTGGCACAAGTGCATTATGTCACAGTGGGAGTACTTTGAAGGGGATAAAATTGATGTACCTGAATAATTGTAAAATAAATTTTTTAAAAAACTTTTATACGTACTTTCCGGACAAACCTCGTATATATACATAAGTTATTTCTAAATTTTTAATCATTATTATTATTCCAACATGAATCTAAATTGAAATACGAGTATAATTCCATTTATAATTTTTTATTTCGTATCTAATGCTACCCGCTAATTTTATCTCTTGAATACTTATTTTCCTATTTGTTTAGTACGTACGCACATATTTATTACCAACATTTTTCGTCGTGGGTTTAATAATGTAATTGTTTCCTTAGAACAAAAGTAAAAGTATTTATTATTATATTGCCTATATATGTAGATGGGCAGATGCTCATTTATTAATACAATTTTCGTTTTTCTTATTAATTTGATCAATTGAAAAATAAATGATGTTTATAAACGTTTGTCATTAATAAAGTAAAAATTTAAGTTATTTTGAGATTTTGTAGAATCTCTAGAGATCTGATGTTATAATTTTTCTGTATTGTTTTAGAAGGAGTAAGTATCTAGTCTTTTGTAAAAACTATTAGGTACTCGTATTAAAAGAATATTTTGGTTCGTCCATTACAACATAGGTATTACAACGATTATGTTATCAGATTTCTTTCTTAATAATTGTATTTCCTGCTCTTACGAAGTATCTTACTAAATATTGTATAATCAATTGCATAGTCATTGTGCAGTAGGTAGATAGATACTTTGTCGCGAGTTTGGCAAATACAAAGTAGGTAGCTACTAAATAATTAGAATTTACGCGGTGTGCGGTGTGCTGTCACTATACACTGGCGAGGTACCAGTGAGAGATGATAGATGAGGTGAAAAGAAAAATTCCACTTATTTCCTTATTCAGTTTTTTTTTTTAATATAGAGCATACTCATCTGCTGTGGCTTTAGAACAGAGGGTACGGGTGGATCATAGATGAGGCATAACGAAGAATTTTTTTATAAGATTTAAACGTAATGGTAACCTTATTTATGTTGTTGGTATGCGTTGGCGGGGTACCAGTGAGGAATGATAGGTGAAGATAAAAGTAAGTCAGTTGGCCTATCGTGATGAATTCATCAAGAATTAATTAAGATGGTTTTCATAGGGATCGTGTAAGGGTCGACCTGTAAAAGTATATATATAGTGCTAGTAATGGAGCCTCTAGTGCCCATTACTAACAATCCTCTTCATCTGTATAACATCTGCAAGTGAATTTCAAAGTGATAACATTCATAAATGTTCTTTACTTTCATATTTGTGAATTTCTTTGCAAGTAATTGGGTATATAGCTACTTTTTTAAATAGGTAGTTTAGATCAATATATATTGTACACAATAAAACAAATATTTATAGTAAAAAGATTTCGGGTTGTAAATTAGTCCGGATTATGCTGTACAATATTGGGCAAAACTTAACGTTAAGGAAAACGAGATCTAATGCATAATTTAAGAATTCCTGTATTTCGGTTGAGCTGAGTAGTACAGCTATTAAGTCCGAAAGTCATCTGACTGTTTATCAACCTTGAGAAAATTGGTTTGTTAATTTTAATTTCTGACTAACTCTCCAGATAGAAAACACCGATAAACAAAATGACTCCAAGTGACGGCGCCTTGCTTGTTGGATTCTAAATGCTCGGCGAAATGTGGGCTTATCGATTGATACCGTTATCACAACTGTAATAGTCGATAATTGCATCTGACTACCCTATTGTGGATAATAGTCGCGAGCATATATGTTTTTCTTTTTAATACTATCTTATCGTGGTTTTAAGTAATGCACATTATTGTTAGAAAAGGTTTCCATAAGAATTATTACGGAGAAATTTGATAATTATTCACTGCCGATAATAAATATAAAATGAGTTGTTTTGTTTTGACAAATATTTCTGATCTTATTAACACAAATACGAAAGTTTATATTTGGATATTTGTTACTCAATCCTTACTAATAAGTGTGAAACTGAGTTTGTTACCTTTTGACAGTTAATCAGGTCAAATGCGGAATCAATCGTCATACAATTTAGTAGGCAAGTAGTTTTTAAAAATAATAAGAAAATATTAGGTATATCTGTTATTATTTTTATATCGGTGAAGCTATATGTCATAATCACGTGGACGAAGTCACGGGTAAAAATATGTCGAACTTAAACATCTGAACAAATTTAAACAAAATTTGTTACTCGTATATAGATGGGACATGTTATAGGCTTAGATTATATAGATAGAGCCTCGAACCTCAAAAACGGGTAACTTTTTGTTAGCTGATTGTCAAATTAGCTGACTCATTTTTTATCAGTATTATATATATTTACGCATAAAATGTATTTTGACAATTTATTTAATAAATAAAATGAGTGTTTACGCATTAAAAAGATGCAGAACTTATAAAACAAAATAAATATAGAAGCTATAAAGGAATCACTCGTAACTATTTATCAGGCAAAATTGTATGAAAAAGTCGACCCGTTTTTCTCGAAGCAATTCTATGGACGCACTTTATATAATCTAAGGTTAGGGTTTTTTAATGTATAAAAATGAAATGGTCTGCGCTATCGGTGTACACTGGCGGGGCACTAGTAAGGGATGATGGATGATGATAAAAACAGGTCGGTTAGCCTATCGTGACGATTTCAACAATAATTCATTATGACTGTTTTCAGGGGGAACCACGTGGAGGTCGTCTGATAGGGTACATTGATAGCAATGGGAATATTAGACACTATTACTAACACTGCCTTTTCCCCATGTTATAGGGTTAACACAGAATACTTTTATCGTAATTTTTACGAGAAATACTACGAGATACAGTTAGTCTTTATTTCATCAGATCGATATTTGAATGTTCATTATTCAACCATGTTAAAACGGAGAAACGTATTTAAATGAATTCTAGATTAATATAAAGCCTAATTCATAAGGACGAAACCGCGGGACATAGCAATAAAAGAAAATTTAAAATCAACTTCCAAACAGATTTGTATCTAATTTAGTACAGTCGCAAATAATGGTAATTAAATTTCTACCTAGTCGATTAATTAGTAGACGATTTCATTAAAATTTCATATAACACAAGTGTGTTTGGTAATGCCATCTGATAATTGATCAACACTTGTTATAAATAGCTATCAATCTCAGTATTTATTCACGACTAAACAGAATCGATTAACTAAAACATTTGTACACACTAATTTATTCAACTGTATTTATTTAAAATATGCATGATTGGTGGCAAAGCAAGTTAGGTAAAAATTAATATCGATGATGAATGTTTCTAATCATAATCGACTTGATGTAAACAAAAATTAATAGGAGACGCATACTTTTAATAACCTGTTATTATTCCATTGCTGTTGTGTATGGCTTATTTCTATAAGACGAGTAATATTATTTTGTCAGGTCGACCTCTTCGTGGCCCCTCCTGGAAATCATTACGATGGATTAACTGATCTGTGATCTGTCATCCATCACTGGAGTTCAGTCAGTACATACCGATAGCGCAGATCGAGTTACCATTCTGTTAGATGAGAGCTATCCCTATAAGACGATGGAGAAGCCCATTGTTAGCAATATACCCAACCAGGTCGACCTTCTCGCAGTTCTCCCTGGAAACTATCATGGTTAATTCCTGATGAATTAATTATGATGGGCTAACTGCCTTGTTTTCATTCTCATCTATCATCCTTCACTGGTGCTCCGCCAGCGTATCCCGTTAGCGCAAGCGAGGTAACCATACCATTTTCACCTATCAAAAAAAAACCCTATAAGATGAGGATGTTAATTTACTAGGTACCACGTTGCTCATTAGAGAATTGTATATTTTTAACAAAAAAGAACGGCTTCAAATTTAACAAAAAATTATTACCTTTAAATTCAAACATTTAGATACCTATTTATAATTAGGCACTTAGCAATTATGATAATTGCAGCGATTATTAAATTGCAATAATATTATTAAACGTATATAATAAGTAGTCAAATTGAGAACCTCATCCTCTGTTGTAGTCAGATAAAATGTAAAAATCATGTTTCTATTGGAACTTGTGCCTTTATCTTTATACTTCAAGGCCAAGCATTGACGATCAAGCGAATATATATAAAAAAATGCTCATAATTTTATATTTGTACACAATAAAGTAGCTAGTACAGTACCTAGAGATATTGAAAGTTAAAAATTTTTATTAGAAATTTGAAAAATAATTTACAAAGCGGTAGAATACCAAGAATGTTTATATAATCTCCCAATATAGGTACCCACCCTATCTAGGGGTGCACCTGTAATGCAATACGTTTAAAAAGAAATTACCGTTATTGCTTTTAATAGGTATATTATAGGGACTAATCTGTCTACTATTACTGTAAAAAAATACTTATAAAATAGCTTGTCATCGACAGGGAGTTCACCTCCATACCTAGACCGCGTATAGCGCGGTTTTAGATGCTTCCTTCCACGAACGCTGAGGTTGATGAGCTCTTTGTCGAGGTTTTTCCAAGAGACTATGGTATGGATTTCATCAACAAGGGATAAAGATTTTTTTCCAGGGTCGGCAACGCGTGCGTTATGCCCATGGTATCGCATGCGTTTATAGGCTACGGTAACGGCTTACTATCACGTATGATTGTTTGCCACCTCTGTGGTATAAAAAAATATTTTACACAAAAATCAATTGTGCTTGCATGACTGTTTCGGTTTGAAAGGTGGAACATCACAATGAATTACAAAGTATGGATACAAAACATTTTAGTCCTCAGAAATGGCAAAGCATGTGGGCTATTGTGGGCGTCACAGGTATTTTGTATTCGTAATGTTATGTCTATTGACGAATATAACTACTTCTAATTAGGGAAGGCATCAGCTTGTTTGTCGTACCAAGATTTCTTTCGTTCCACTTATTTTAGTTGGATAAACTTAGGGAACGGCACTTCAGGAACGTTCCCTTTTAATATCTAGATTGAATGCGTGGGAACTAAGATAATGAATAGTATTAAAAAGCTGAAAATCAGATCTTATGGTAAAATTCATGTAAATTACTTTTTATTATATTGCAGGTATGTACCGGTAGGTGTGAGATATCAGGATTTTAATTAATGTTTGTCTTGTGTGATAGTAGTATATAAATACTTACAAATGCTATGGGTATCAAATGCGACCAATAAATAATACCTTAATAACTAAGAGGAGTATATTTAGTTAAAAGTACACTTTGAAGTTCCAATTAATATAATTAAAAATTTAATAACATGATAATTCAATATTACGATTAAAAGACAACAATTAATTCATCTACACAATAACAGATTCTACCATAGTTTTCTTTATTAGCTCTCCGAAATTTTCTGTGGGTTCTGAAGTGCTACTTTCTGTGGGCACCTCAACGGGTTGAGTTTGCAATTCTGAAGCATCTTGAGTAGCGTGATCCGAGTGGTCCAAGCTCAATAGGGTATTGTGACTGAACCAATTTTGATCATTTTCGGCATGTTGCAACTTATTGCTACTTTGATACGGCGATGACAACAAAGTGGTGTACTGCGCCTCATTTTTGTTTTCTGAATTTGTACACTCTGTAGCAGTTTTGTATGCATCGTAATGATTTTGAGCCATGGCGTGTTGATATTGTAATGAATTATGTTCGTTTATATTTACATTTGGTTTATGTAAGTACTCAGGGACATACATATGTCCGTAGTGACTAAACATACTCATTTGTGAATTATGAGCGAATTCTTCGAAACTGGATGCCGAAAAGCTCTGCAAACCTTTAAAGTGATGGTTTTCTGCATGTTGATCATATGCATAATTAATATCACATTGAAACCTTTGCATGTTATTTGACATGGCATTAAAACCCATAGTATTTGCTGTGCCATAAGGCGGACCTTTTCCCTGCAGTATATTGGATGTATAGGGTCCCGTGTGACTGTGATGATTATTCGTATTTTCATAATGCGTAATGCTATTTTCGTTTATGTTGCTGTGAACAGAATTATCATTTATGTAACCGTATGACAGGTCATCTTGCATATTGCTATGAACTGCAGCGTTATTCATATTACAATGAACATTATTAAAACTCCCCGTATTTACACAAGATTCAACTTCCACCCTTGGTGTTAAGTTGACGTCCCGTAATAAACCATCTTCATGATTCATACAACGTTCTCGATCATATGAAGTGCTCGATATACATGAGACAGAATTAGCGTTATGTGATTCTGCCCACTGCTTTTTAGTTGCAGCTTGATTTTCTTCATTCTTTTTTTCAAGACCTAATCTCATAAGTGTATGAATGAAATGAGTTCTAACCCTAATTGGATTAAACTCTATTCGACCAGTAGTGTTGCCACATCCATCTCTGGTACATCCGCATGGAAAATTTAATCTGTCAACTTGACATTTTATACCACCCAAACTACACGAACAGTTCTCTGGATTGCACACACCTTTACAAGCACAACCACAGAATTCACGTGAAGTTCTTATGTCTCTACACTCGTCTTTTTCGTAGGCTTCAATTTTTCGGACACCAGCTGCACGGAGCAAAGCTCGTCTTTGTCGGGTTGGTATGGGCTGGAGAAAGTAGTAGCTATCTAGGTCTAATTCTGATTCAGATATATCGCTAGTTTCCTCTTCTGTATCACTGTCTTCACTGGATGAAAGTGATGTCCCTTGTATAGAGTGTCGCTCGTTCTTTAACTGCTGTAAAATTTGTCTGTGTAGGCGTCTTTGTTCTAATGCATGTTCAGTCAAAGTAAATTGTTGTATATGTGTATGCTCCCATTCCATACCCAAAGTTGAACCGCCTTGAGAAGGAACACATGTGAATCCCTGTGCTCTAGGAAAATAATATACTGTGACATTGTCAAAATGGATATTTTCCTTCTTTCTTTTAACCTGTGGTTCATCTTCAGTCTCTTCTTTATGTTTTCTTTTGAGGCTACTTTTCTGGGGGGTTTTTATTTGAAGAGAAGTTAATTTATGGCTACCAATATCTGATTTGTCATTTTTTATTTCATCTGGATTTTCTTCTTTCTGTTCCGCATTGTTTAATGAGCTATTATTCAAACCACTTGTACACGGGAGAGAGAGATTAAAACTAGGTATTTTAGAATCTTCATTTGTTTCCGATCCAAGACCTGAGTCGCTACCATCAGAGCGATCTTGAACTTCTTCTTCTCTATCATTAGGTATACTATCTGGCGGCAGGCTACCTAGCGCAGAATCTTCACTATCAGCAGAGGCTGTGTCTGTCTTTATATCCTCTATATCGCTTAAAGTATCACTATCATCTATTTTTACAGCGTAATCTATCTTACTATCACTACTCTCATAAAACTGAGAGTTAGTACCGCTATTTACATTATTTTGCTCATCATTAGAACTCACGTCCTCACTGTTAGAGTCACTGTCACTACTTTTCTCATCTTTCACAGAAAATGTCTCTTGTTCTTTATTCTTTGTTACGTTGTCTATATCTGTAGCACTGATGGTATTCAAATTCGAAACTTGTTCTTCAGAACCATCAGCATAAGTTGATTCTGGATTACTATTCATTCTATCCATGATTACCTGCAAAGATTTAAATTAATAGTTATGGCCTATGTATACAATAGTATTATATTAAATTATTATATTTTGGTAACAATTTTAAGTGTTGTGAAATGAGGCACTTTGTTTTGATTGTTATTTATTAATTTGCTTTAGGTTATTAAATAAATAAATAAAAATAATTTTTATTCAAGTAAACATAATAATAAGCATTTTTGAATAGTCATTTTCTTTAATCTACCGCCCGGTTTAGATTTTATTATTATTTATCAATAATTAGTTTTATTTTCAAACAGACGAAAGTGTTATTGAATGAATATGAATTATATTTAAATATAGATAGGCTTCATAGATGATTTACATTAAAATTATAACGGTTTAATATACACCTGTATTTATAGCTAGGTTATGAGTCCAGCCGACAAAAGAGACGTTAGAAGCAAAGTACCTGGGAGTACGAGTCACCTGCACCGGGCGTTGGAGCAGGATTATAAATCAAACAAAATGATAGTCAAAAACCGGTACATACCTATTTCAAAAGGCCGTGGCCTCGACGTCTTCACCGGTGTTTAGGGCCTGGTTTCCGAGTTCTCCAATCCATTTTGATTATAGCAATTACAAATATTCTATACTCTGATCACTACTCGCCTTTATAATGCAATCATAATTTCTTTAAACAATTCGGTCATCAAACTCACGTCCCACAAACCAAAGTCACACTAATGTCAGCACACAATATGGTTCACTTTAAAACTTCGCGTTTTGTGCTTCGTTGTATTTCAGTCCTATTTATTTATTTTCACTGTATTTTGACAGCACTGTTCTTGACGTTTTTATTATTGAATTTCGGTTTAGTTCCAATGACCACAGTATTGGTAAATCATTACACTAGAAGAAAACGTTATCTATAATTATTTAAGATAAATATACTCGCACTGAGAGGCCACTTTTACCATACCGATCTCACAGTTCCCACCTCGTGTAATCGCGTTGGACGACTCGAACGACGCAGGCAAGTTTTTATCCGGAATATTACAACGTTCGGCCAGTGCGCTATAACAGCATGCGATATGGGGTCTTCTGAATTTAGTAGCGTATAAGCTGCGTTGTTCGACGTGACGTTGCCTCTCCCCGCATGCCGCGCCCCGTCCTTGCGACCCTCCTCACCGCGTTCACCCGCGCTGTGCGCAGCGCGCAGGCGCGTTTCATTCCTTACCAACGCAATAATACCAGACCTCGATTATAAAGTCCCCATACAATTTAAAATTTAATATTTTGTTTATTTTATACTGTATTATAATTTCAACTCATGCATTTTTAAATAAGTAGTGTATTTGTACTTATACTTAACAAGATGTGTGTAAAATTAATATAGTATGTAGGCAAAATTGATAAATTGTGTTATGAATCTACTTAGGTATCTAAAATTTTTAACAAAGATTATATGTTCACTAACAGTTACTTACTAAAAATACAGTTGAATAAATATTAATAGTAATTAATTACATATAATGATTCTACAAGCATCATGTAGCTAGGTACGTCAATATTATCAAAAAGAGGACTCATTTCGTTGAATTAATGGTTGGGCTTTATCTACATCGAACAAAGTACAAATTTCAATATAAAAAATATATACATTATAATAATTTAATTTATGCTGCTTTATATAATGAGGTCTAAAATATGAGATTTCATCTTTATTTCTATAATTAATAATTCAGTTTATACCTAGACAGACCGAAATTAATTATTATAAGGACTAGAAGGTTTACTTCCTTCTAGTTCTTATAATAATTAATTTCGGTCTGGAAGAGAGAGAAGAAAGAGACAAAACAGTTCAATAGCTAAAATGGGTTCATGATAACTTTTTTATGACTAAGAACTAGTTAGTTTTACCCCCTTATTCGTCTACCTAATCAATCGACTTGAAATTTAAATGTAGCTAGAACCCTAAGGTAGAGCTATATGTACAATCTATCAAATATAGATTTTATAAAATATTTAAATATTTGTGCTATATATATGATGAGTATAGTCTAAAATATTATTCTTGAAATGAATTCGTTTTTGATGTTTAAATATTTTGCCTTCTTACATTCGTTAAGAAAGTGGACAACACAGGTTCACAACCTTTTGCTCTTGGGCCAACTCGACAGGTCTCGACCGACTTAACATAAACTGCACGGCTACGTCATGGCACGGCGACCACTGTATATGTAGGTGTTTATATCATTAAATAAATATACTTACATGTATATCATTTATTTATGTAGCTACGTATAGCTCCATCCATAATAAACTGATATGCTACGCTGCGGAGTCTTAATATGTAGGTATAGTACAGTATAGTTACACTGAGTTGAATTCATAATTAAGTGTATCATAGCTATAATAGAGAATCAATATTTTATTTCTTCAATTATATAATTTAAACTATTTATATACCTATTTCTGAATATATAATTTAAAATTCAGAAATAGGTAGGTACTCACTTCACTACTTATTTTCCTGCTACAGACAAAAAAAAAAAACTAATAAATTAATTATGTTCGAGCGTTCTAAAATAAAGTTGCTCTCAATACGTAAGGTAATCGTCCGCATAGTACTATTTTTAAGAAATATATTCGGGCACATATAAACATTAGGTATGTTTTAGGTACGCGTAAATATAATGTGTGCGTAGTGTAGTGAACTCGGTAGTGGATTCGAGATTCAGGATGTGGTTGAATGCATGTTCTTCAAATAAATTGGCACTCGACAGCAGTCACCATAATACAAGGCGAGGTGGGTGACTGTACGTACCAACATGTATACGATAATCAATAGATATTTTCAGGAGGCTTTCGTGGAGGGCGAAAGCGACGCTCGCTGCTACCATAGCGGCATCCCTTTCTCGCATGTAATTTTTGTAGAATATGCTAAAAAAGGCGAAGGGGCAATTTATTTATGAATATTATTATTACTTTTATATAATAATTCAAAGCTATTATACGTGCAAAGAATATTAAATAATTTATGATATCAGTAGAAAGGAAGTAAAATTTTAACAAAATACGTAAGTTTGAATGATTCAGATGTTCATCGGACTTACATTCGTTATTGTACTCGAATTACACGATAGTAACTTGTATAACCAATATAATATGTTTTTATGTATTGTTGAGCAGAAAAAGTATATTAAATCAGTTGAAATTAGCCTTACACGATAGTAGATTAATTAATGTCATTCTTCTATTAGTACTAATTCTTCTAACTGACAAACCATCTTGGTTAATTTGAGATGAATTCATCACGATGAGCAAACTGACATGCTTCATCCTCACCTATTATCTTTCATTGGTGCCTCGCCAGTGTATTCCGATAACGCAGGCGGGGTTACCATTCCATGTTTATCCATTAACAAAAAAAAGTGCTCAGTAGTGAGACATTAATGGACATATACGGTGAGACATTGTAGACGTTCTTATGGGTCATATCGACATAGATAAAATGTTATTAGGTAATGCTGTTTGTGCTGTTTTTTATAAGACTTCGAAATGACTTGTTTATCTGTCCTTTTCATTATCGAAAAAGAAACATCTCTACTATTTGTACCATTTTGGGCGAGAAGTCCATATCTAATTATAATATGTGTTACTTGTAACTACTTTTCTTTGTCTATGCAAGATTTGATTAAAACGATAGATTTCCGTTGACATAGGATTTCACTGTTTAATGATCAAAACAGAATATTATATTTTCGTCACAATTAACAATCTGTTCGTCTTTAAGATTGTTGATATGGTAATATATACAAACATTATAATTAATTAGGTATAACAGTTTTTCAAATAGTACATAATTTTTTCCCATACGAGTACAGACAGTGAAAATTTTTTTTTGTTACCCTTCTTAGCTTATAATTGAGCCGTAGTTTAATCTCAATTCTAACGGTATACTGTAAGCCGCCGTTGGCCCTGTAGGACAATATACCTACAACCTGTCTACGTAGTCTGGTATCGCTGAGTAAGTAAGTACATATAGCCACTAGTATTCGTTGTTAACATTCGACATTAATCGTACACATAGTAACGTCCATGAAAAACACACCTTAGTTATGTGACGAAGTAGATAGATACTATCACATAGGCGGGCTAATATGAATAAATTATTTCCTGCATATACCTACCACATATATGGGTGTTGTGTCGGGGTGGCTGTGGAGGAGTGGGTGGTAGACAGGGGTAGATTAAATTTCGTGCCACACCGCTAGCTGCCTCTAGCTCGCTTGTATTCATCACCCTTAAGGTTGCAATTGCTTCCCGGTGTATTTTTAGTTTACTGCATCAGTCTAGTGTGAACACTCCTAAGCCGTGAGCTCCCACGTCAAGAGAGACGTGCTTCCGAAGGCGTGGTTGCGATAGAATTAAAATCAATTAAATAATACATACGTAGATTATAATACATAAAGATTAAATAATAATATATAGACAGTTAAAGAAACTTGTTTAAACTTAATGTGGAATAAGACTTGTATTTTGAAAAGATTAGTTTATTAAAATTTTATTTATTTAAGTAATATTCCTTATATATTGTCAAGCTCGAGGAATTTTTAAATGTTCTAACAGTGAGCTTATAAATACCTATTTGTCTGGCTGTATTCCGAGATAACAGCAGCGGTGGATGGTCGTTATGTAGCTGTTAACTTATGTATCAGACGATACAGTTATTGTGTACATACATAGGTATAGACGCTTGTTATATCTATACACTGCTTGAAATATTTTAAACGATTTTCAACCTTACAACAAAAGCTTAAAGTGCTAAAGTTTAGAGTTTTGAATGTATTCTACGGTTTTGATTTTTATATGACGACGAAAACGTAGTAATTTGATACTACTGACAAGTCATTACCTTACTAATAACGTTACGGTATTTATATTTCTTTTTATGATGTTGTTTACTAAAACTGATATCCATTATTTAGAAAAAAAAGTTAATTGATTTTCACCATTATATTTTTTAGTGATCTAATCTTATTGGTTTACTTATAAAGTATAATTTAGAAATTGAAAGAATATTTCAACAAAAGAGCAAGCTTCAATTATTTGTAATGAGTCACTCAAAATTCCAATCTGAAATTTTCTTTCTTTTTTTCCTCAATCACATACCAGAGGGAGACTTTGTACAAAAGTTGATTGCTTGGGTACCTCTGTCCCATTCATGTTTCTACCGTGAAGCAGTTGTGTTTGCATGACTGTGTTTCGGTTTGAAGGGTAGGATATGGCGTGAATTTACAGGGTACAGAGGAGTAACACCTGAGTCCTCAGGAATGGCAACGTATAGGGGGTATCATGGACGAAACAGTATACTCTGTTATGTCCATGGTACTGCTCATGTCTATAGGCGACGGTTATCACTTTCCATCAGGTGGGCCGTCAGCTTGTTTGCCATTCTAAGTCGTATAAAAAAAAACAAACTCGTAATCTGAAGGATAGAAACAATATGGAACAAAATCTTTAAGTTTTAATATAAGTATATCGGAACTGGGGGGGGGGGGGGCAATGAATAGATGCAGGCAACCATCGTTCTGAATTCCAGGTGTATTCATCACGATGACTTATCTGTCCTGTCTTCTTTCTTCTTTCTATTTTAATTCTCACCTATCATTATTCACGATGAGATATATCTCTCCTCTATTTTTCATTAGTGCTTGCAAGCGAGGTTACAATTTCATTATCATCCATTAAAAAAGATATTATAAGTATATTAATATGCAGTCAATAGTAACTTTCCTCAAGGATTATAGATGAAATTTCATAAAGAAGTCGAGAGTTAAATTAGCCAAAATCTAAATTCATAGTCATGGGTTTTGAAAATTACTAAGAATTTTAAAATGTATACTAATATAGAGAAAATGGGTTGTCAGCTTGTTTGCCATTCTAAGTTGTATAAAAAAAAAGATACAAATGTGCAATTGTAGATTCATCATCATTATATTCGTTGTTTACTGTCCACTGTCCTAGGCCTCTCCCTATTTTAAGGTTCTGCCAGTAGTTGCCACGTATGGCAATTGGGTTAAAAATAGGCTTTGGTGATGTTTAAATAGA